ACTAGAAATAAGGATTCCGACGAAATCGGTAAACAAAACAATTGATGAACGTGACGGAAGAAGACAATAATGTTTCCGACAGCAAACGAGATCTAACAAAGGAAGGATGAAGAATTGAAGAAGTACTGCCGCGAATAAAAACCCAGCAATGGCAGAACGAAGACGGCCGGCGACGAGCAAGACACCAACTACAACAATCAGGGAACAACAAAATTGAGACGATGGACAAAAAAAATAAAATCGACTAGCTAACGAGGCGAGGAAGATTGGGGAGTATATTCAGATGGCTTATCGCCGAAAAATTTTTTCGAATCAAGATTTTGACCGGCTCCATCGCGGTCGGGTGACATTGGATTCCTTTTATAAAAAAGGACAGTTCAGATATTTTATCTGATTCAATTTTGACTTTTTGTGAAACTGAACTATTTCTTTGGGATAACATTTTTTTATTAAATTGGGCTATTTTTGTGAAACGGAGGGAGTATTTATTTTTTTAATGTTTTCCTGGGAGAGTCCTGCCAAATTACTTCGAGAGAAATGATGTGTAGTGAAAATGTATAACAAAATGATATAGCATAAATGTATTTTTAAAATTATCGATAATTATTAGGAGAGAAAGTCCATCATTTTATATTTTCGTTAGTGATTATCTTTTTCACTATGATTTCTCATTGCCTATATCATTATTTGTAATTCAATGCCTGGTCTAAGTTTAACAACGTTGGATCATTCTCTCTCCGTCTCGCGAAAAAATGTCGAGAACAATATTAATTTACCTAGTATATTTCCAACCAAATTGAAGTATATGGGTCATATGCACGGAACCTTAGTCTTATAACTATACAAAAAGGTGGTTTCCATTGCGACTCAAGATATATTGCATCATTTGAAGTATTGATTTGAAGTATTGATTTCGAGCAACTTCACTTATAGAAGAAGAACTGGAATTTTGTAGTCATATTGATTTAGTCTATAATTAACATAAACGAAAAGAATTGCCAATCATAACTATTCTACCTCTATTTAGAACGGACAAATACTCGATATTGTATATAGTAACATGTACTAAAAATAATATAATCTACAATTTATGACATAGAATAGACTATTTAATTTTATGAGACAAAGAAAGTAGTATTATTTTATATCATAAACATTTTCCTTCTACATCTCGAATTCCAACGAACTGATTATTAGAGAAAGAGAGTTTACTTTTGTCTTTCCTTTCATTTTTTTTTTGTTTTTTTTTTGTTTGTGGCTAGCTAGCAGAATTCGTCATACATAATAATAATAATAACAATAATAATTTTCAAAATGAGAGAGTTCAACTTGTTCGTTTGCTTTTCCTTTTATGAAATTTAAAGAGTTAGGAAGTTCAACTTAGAACGGAAAGGGCAAAAGAAAAAAAAAAAAGAAGCATGCGGCTAGTACAGCCACTTTCTAATAGAGTTTTCCTTTATTTCCTTTTTCTTCTCCTTCCAATTCAATTGAAACGAATGACTTGTAATTAATCTAGGGTTTACTATGCTAGGAAAACAACAAAACGGGGGCAGACAAAATGGAATTTTTGTCCCTTGAACATTCAGCCTAGCTACTATAAAAGACCAAATGAATCAAAGTGTCTTTGAGAAATACCTTTACTTTTCAAGAGTGATGTTTTGATTTTGACAAGAGGCGAGGTTCTCCAAGCTGCATGTGTGCATCAATTGGCCATGTTTTTTTCGTTTTAGACAAATTCTTGAGTGGTATGGCGGCGGGAGCACTACTCATCCAAGTAGGATTAATTGCATCGTTCCAAGGATGAGTTTGATTAGTTTTCATGGACTTTGGTGGCAGCTTCTTCATTCAGAGGATTTCTTTATCCAATTGGTGTTGATATGATTCAAATTAAGACCGCCAAGAGATTCCAAACAGATGAGGATTGATATTGACATATTCTCGAAGGAGGTGGACCAATATTCATTGTATAACGTTTAATAACAGTAAAACCTCTCCGAATTAATAGTCTTGGGCAAAAAAAAAAATTTATCAAGTTATTAATTTATCGATAAATTAATAATTATTAATTTAAAGAGTGTTTTAAGCCTTATAGGGGATAATGTTTGTCAAGAAGAAAAGAAAAGTCTATTATAAATATGGATTTTTAATTTTATTAATACGATATTAGGGTTCTCTTTGTGTGGCTGCAAATTTTGAATCTCCATAAAAGAAGTAGTAACATCAACAACTTTTCATAATTTTTTGTTACAGTATGACAAAGCGACATCAGAACTTTTGAATGGAATCAGAATGATTAAAGATGATATCTCCATATATGTAAATTTTAAGAAAAAAAACAGAGATCAATAAATTCATATTTTACTAGATAATATTAGTTTTTGATTAAGTAATTATTAATTTATAAAAATGTGGGGACTTATATTTACAATAGGGGATTCTTGGATATTTATTATCTTATGAATTAATCTAGTCTTTTTTTTTTTTGTACTGGTCCCGAGTTGGGACCGTCAAAAATTATTATTTAATAATGACGGTTATAAATTTATAAAGGATTAATTTAGTGAGCTTTTATTGTATGTAGCAAATAAATGTTCAAAATATTAATGTTAATTTCAAACACTATTTATTATTTTCACCTTTCCAAAATGCATTTGTATCATATGTATGTACGTGTGGGTCACCAAAACCTAAGTGAGATTATATATATATATATATGGGTTGAATATAAGGTTGTTATTATCACAGATTATATATATGGGTTGAATATAGTTTTCCCGGATCCTGGTTCGCCGGTCACTCAGTGGTTCGCCGATCATTCAATGATACAAGTTGTTCTTGAACAACTTTTGGACTCTTGTTTTTGTGTGTCCTTCTTCATCAAATTGTTAGTCTTTCGTTTGTGAATAGTTTATTCACTAACAAAATAGTACGGCGGCCATTAATTAATCAAATAAATTATGCCCGGAAATTTCTTCGCTGCTGTTTCCAACTTTCATTTTGGAAGGAATCCCGTGGTGGCTCTATTTTATTTTATTTTATTCTATTCTGTTAATATCCCAAATGCATTTAAATAATATTCTTTAGGTGTTATTGAGGTAGGAGGAAAAATAAGTCATCGAATTATAAATTGAAGTAATGGAGAGAATAAAAGAAAAAAGAAATTTAGAAATTAAAAAAAAAAACTGGATGATACATTATGATCTTAGTCTTCATTTGACATGTCATGAGGGATGATGAAGCCATGAAAGGAAAACCAGCAGCTTTCGTTATCTTTTCTGTGAACCCAATGTTAATAGTATTCCATCCGTTCTGTTAATAAGATCTTAGTTACTACTAATAAAAGTTAAAATTCATAATGTGTACTGAAAGATATTCGGTTGAGATTGAAATAAATTTACTTTAAAAAAAAAGAAGAAGAAGAAGAAGAAAGGGTTCAAACTAGAATTGTGTATGATCATTAAGGGCAAAGGGGAAGGAGAATGCTACTTATTTTCTTTCTTTCTTTTTTTTTCTTTAAGCAGGTAGGATTTGGAAGTTAAATCTATTTAGACACATATTTTGTGTATTCTTCATCTTCTAATTGAAAACATTGAATAAAATTAAGACGATTCAGTCAATTGTTAATTTAAGAAATGTAAAGTAGCCGGCCTTTAAAAGAGGAAAAAATATAATCTAAAAAATGTTCAAAAAATTAAGAAATACTTTTTCATTTTACTTGACATTCATATGTGTATATTAGTGAGATTTTAGCAAAATTATATGATTTCTTTCTTCTTCTTCTTCCTTTTTTTTTTTTTTTTGATATAATGAAAGAGGCAATTTTTTATTTTTACTTTTTTTCCCGATTTGGGTATAACCCTCTTTGCATCCTTTGACAATATTTAAGAATTATCAAGACATTGGATTAAATATTCTAAATGAAGATAGGAAAAGTTTGTGTATACCTATCAATTCTTCTTAATGAAAAAACATACATACTTCATCAGAATAAAAGCTTATGCAATATAAAAGAGAATAACATAATACAAACTCCCGTTTTATGTTAATTTAAATTATTAACATGAACTTTATTAAGGAATGTAAAAAGTGCAACCAACAACAATAGTGACTAAAAATTGATGGAGCATTCAGAACTCACAAGTCAACGGTCTTCAAAGCATATCTAGGGATATTATTCGTGCACGGAAGGAACCAAGAAAAGATTGTGTTTTCTTGATGCAACTATTCCGTCGCTCTCTGTCATATCTAACTCTATATGGTTGACACCATTGGGGAGTTTCCAATCAAAATAATACAATAAATTAGCTAATAAAACCTCCATATTAGCTAAACCAAATGATATTCCTGGACAAATCCTTCTGCCGGCACCAAATGATAGAAACTCGTAATCATTTCCCATAAAGTCTATTGAATGGTTCTCAAATCTTTCCGGTTTGAAATTTTCAGGTTCGTCCCAATACCTAGAATCTCTACCAATTGCCCAAACATTAACCATGGCCCTTGTTTTCGGAGGGATGATATATCCATCAATTTCGCACTCTTCCTTGCTGCTCCTAGGAATCAATAAAGGAGCAGGAGGATGAAGTCTTAAAGTTTCTTTTATTATTAATTGTAGATAATTCAAATTCTGAATATCTGTTTCTTCTATACTTTCTTTCCCCATGCCGATTGCGTTTCTAATTTCACTTTGTGCTTTTTCTAATAAATTGGGATTTCTTATCATCTCTGCCATTGCCCATTCCACTGTTGTAGCTGTAGTGTCAATTCCAGCAATGAATAAACCCTGCAAATTGTAAAATGATTACTACCATACAATAAAAACAAAATAACAGCTTTTATATCACTGCAGTATGACTATCATTGTATGACAAATTTATGATTCAATATATATGATTTTAACGTCTGCTTTCCCTTCATCAATTAATTCATCACTTCGAGGAAATCAAATGAAATTAGTCTCTTTCATTGTATGGTGAAGAAAAAAAAAACTAATAACTTACCAGCAATACCGCCTTGATGTTGGTGTTGTTGATTGGAAACTGAAGATCACCACTTTTTTGAATCCTTAGTAGAACATCAATCAGATCTTCTTGTCCGAACTCACCGTTCCTCCCAGTTGGGTTCTCCAAATGTTTTTGTATTATGGTTTCCAAAATCTCATCAAACTCATCGTGCAATTCCTCCAACTTAGGCTTCATCAAGCTTAAGTGACAAAGAATTTTCCAGGATGGAAGAATATCGGAAATATCAAATCCACTGGCTCGCAATAACACTTCCTTCATCAGCTTAATCACTTTGTCTCTATGCTGCCCGAAAACCCTACCAAATGCAACTCTACAAACCATAGAGTTTGTGTATGAGAAAGTCTTTTGGGCCAAATTTATAGGCTTCTTTGATGGTTTCAAAGCCTCTTCCCGAATGGATGAAATGAGTTGCAAGATCTCATCTTTGCGAATCGAAGAAAATGATCGGACACTTTTGTTGCTAAGAAGCTCCAAAGTAGCTATTTTCCGCATCTGTCTCCAGTAATCGCCAAACGGAGAAAACGCGATATCGGAATTATCATAGAATATGATCTTTCCGACGAGAAAATCCGGCCTATCCGCAAAAGCAACATCGTGTGTCTTCAAAATCGCTTTCGCCATGCGTGGAGACGACGCGACGATAGCCGAGATTTCTCCGAGCTGAAGATGCATCAGATCACCATGTTTTTGGGCTAAATTTTTGAGAGCATGATGCGGAAGTGAACCAATCAATTGATGCATGTTTCCAATGATTGGAAGCTTCCATGGCCCTGCTGGAAGCTTCTTCTTGATTGCCTTATTCGTCTTCCATTTGTTCTTTACAAGATTCAAACTGAAGAGAACGAAAAAGAAAAAGGGAATCCAACTCATGAGGTCTAGATAATGCATCATGGGTTGATTAGTGTGAATTTGTGAAAGTGTATAAAGTGAGTAAACAGTAATCTTTCCCTTTTTTTCTTTTTTCTCTCTGCCCATCACATGAATGGAGAGCTATTATTTATAGGAAAAGATTTCAGTCGTTTTTGTCTCACCTAGCCCTGAGAAAGATGATTTATTAATAAGGTTTTAAAGGTGATAAGGACTAGTAATATTGTACAGCAAGTTTGACTATGCATTATATTAACCTTGTCTTTCACATCAAAATCAAAAAAAAAAAAAAAAAACACCTTGTCTTTCACATCAATAAGTGAATACCATATTTGAAGTCCGAAGATGGAAGAAAAACATAATTTTCATGAAACAAATCTTAAACTCAGTATAGACTTTTTTTTTGAAACTGAGAGAATATTAAATTACCGTTTACTTTAACTTTTCTACTCCATCTTAATAAGTTTTAATAATTATCAAGATGAGACAGACAGTACTTTTTAAACTTTTCTTTTTTTTTTTTCCATTTTTGGTGAAGAAAATCAGTAGCCATTGTTGATTTAGTTTACTAAGTCAACAGAGAATGATTAATTTATGTACAAGTCTTTTCTTGGTTTGCGACTGAGTTGGTGGCTCCAATAGATCATTTTCGAGAGTGAAGCTATGTATGACGCGGACTATAAAACTCGAGACTTGTTTATAGAGGCGTCAACTTTTTTTTACTATTTCCACTTTAATAATTGGCGATCTTTCATTTGTTAAAAAAATAAAATGCAAACCGTCTAATCTCTTACATGTACAGTTCATACTATCTTCTTTCACTCCTCGTCAAGTTTCTTTCTCAAAAAAAATAAAGGAAAATGATATATATATATATAGTGAATAAAAATAGTGACAAAATATAATGACTGATATGGATTAATCATGGCTCCTAGTTTTTTGCTACTTTCCCGTTAAAGTTTTATTTTTATCCTAAAATTATAGTTTTACCCTTGATGAATAAATAGACATGTTTAGTAAGAGGATGGTCTATTTATCTTTTCATTTATCAGTATATATTTTCACTGTACTTAGTCACTGAATGTATCATTCCTGAAAAATAAATGTAAACTATAAGAATTGGAAACACACTGTAAATGCATTTTGTAATTTATTTTTTTATTTCAATTCTAAATTTCATGTTTCAATTCGAAAAGTTTGTACACTTGTAGGACATTATAATATAGCATATAATAAAATACGATGTAAAAGTATAAGTCCTTCGTATTAATACACGTATTTTCTCATAATAATAATAATAATAATAATAATAATAATAATAATAATAATAATAATGGTGATGGAGTCTCCACTCCACGTTTGCGTTGGTGTCAAAAAAGTCACAAAGGGCGTGCGACATGTTTTTTAGGACTGGCCGTCAGAACCAAGTCACTCATAGGCCGTCTCTCTATAAGAATCTAATTATACATATGTATAGAGGAATAAATTGCTAAAAAAAGGTAAAATTAAAAATATATTTAAACAGGATACTTATACTAGTTTCTTGACACAAAACAGTTGTCATGTTTTGTTTATCACACAGTAAATACGATGATCATTTTGCAACCAAAGGAGAAGTTTATACGTAAATATTTCCTCTGTCCTGTATCGACCTTAATTTCTGAAATCCTTTTCATCTCATTAAACAGGAACTTTTTAATTGTCAATCTTTACTATCAAAATTAAATTCAAACCTTAAAACTGTGACCAATAATTATGTCAATCAGGGCAGTACGTATATCATAAACATATCAATTTAATGTATATATGTTACCCGACCAAAAAAATATCACAACCTCCGCTTCATAAAAATAGCTCATGTTGTATACAAATTATAAATTGTACTTTTTTTTTAGTATAATTTACAACTTGGACTATTTGGAGGGACATGGAAAAAAAATGTATGATGAAAAATGATACGTTGCACAAAGCATTTTTCATTCTATAGTACTGCGTTTGTCTTAAAAATATAATTCATATTGAGTTTTGCGATTTGTATTAAACTAATATAAAACTTACAACTCAATGTAAACTATTTTTCTGGAACATTGATAATAGACTATTTACTCTAACTATGAAAGTTATTTTGGATAATCTTTACTGAAAAATGGAAATTTGACAAATTGTAGAGGGTCATAGAAAATAAAATACATAAAGCCACTATGTTTGATCAAAGTACTGTCATCCTTCCGGCCAAGCACCAAAAAATCAAAAAAAAAAAAGAAAAAGAAAAATAAAAAAGAAGAAGAAGAAGAAGAAGAAGAAGAAGAAGAAGAAGAAGAAGAAGAAGAAAAACCCTTGCGAAATAAAGAAATGGTCCGTTTCATCAATTTCCCAAACATTAACATGTAGGCTTTGTATAATACTCAAGCGTAGTCTAAAATCGTCTTATCTATTTTGTTAATGGGCTCATGCATATTGGGGCGATCAAGATTGGGTGAAGGTATTGAAGAATTGGTCGAGGGTTCGAAGTTCGTTATGGACATGGAGTAACTTTAAATTCTTAAGTCAACTCTCCCATCCATCGAGGTGCCTACTATGAGCAAGAGAATTAGTCACTGTTGCCGACGGTGAACATTTTACTATATGCAAAAAAAACAAAAAAAGAATTCTAAAAAACAAATCCCATTGTGAGAACTCAAAAAATTATTTCTTCCACCCCAAAATTATCATCTTTTGTATTAAAAATGAAAATTTAAACTGGACAAAATTTTGGGATAGAGAGAGTATTCAGTGTTGATTTGGTGATGTTTAGACCCGTTCGGGTAGTGATTAATATGAAAATGTTTGGAAGTTTTGGGTTGGGTATATGGTGGATGTGTTCATTTTTCCAGATTTTGCAACTTTCTAATATATCTATCTCGGCTTTGATATCTTACTTGGTAATAGAGCATGTAGGTTTAACGGTGACCATTTTTTCCATTTTTTAGGACCCATATTGGGCCAGATTCTATCTCAAAATTTAAAGCAATTAAGTTAGGGCCTAATGATTTATTTGAATTTGATTGTGATTTTATTTTTCAAATCAAGCATTTTAATTTTCTTATTTTACAATGAAATCATTGGTACGATACTGTGTGTGTGGTTCTTAAAAGATGCAACAAAAATAGATTTAGTGTGAGAAGGAAATGGATCAATATTGACGCCAAATGGTAGAAGAAAACATTACTCTAAAACATCATTTGGGCCAATACAAGTGTTTCTTCTAAACAACAACTCTAAATCTGTTCGGCATGTTCAAGAATACCAAAAAATAAAAGTTAAAGGCGACGGTCCAATTACAAATAGCCCAGATTTTCCTTTCTATTGTTGGAGTTCTCCACTATTATTCTTTTTTTTTTATCAGGGCAAATGAAAATCAATTAGCCATTGGCCCATTGAAAAAAGAAAAACAAAACTAGCTCAGCTTTTCAAATCAAAATGAGTGAGGTGAGAGTGAGCCAAAATAATCTTTTTGAACAAAAAAATGTACTCCCTCTATCCCAAAATTATTGTCCAATTTGAGATTTCACTTTTATTACAATTTAAAGTAAAAATGAAAACCTAAACTGGACAATAATTATGGGACGAAAGGAGTACATCAATTTGGTACAAAAGAAAATTAACAGGACAACATGAGACCTCTGTTTTTCAGTTTCCATCAAGAACAGATACTCCAAAACAGACCACACAGAGGCAGAGTACCCTCGTTGACACGAATCGACACTGGTACGGGTGTGCATACCGGGTATGACATTTTCAATTTTTTTCTACAATTTTGAAGAATCTGACACTCAGATCCTGCACTAGTACCGGACACCTGTTACCCGAGTCCGGGTAACTTAGTTCTGAGGTACAATAAAAGTTTCAACAAGGTAAACAAAAAAAAAAAAAAGACAGATGATGATTTTGGCGACGACTTAAATTAAAGCACACAGATGGATTCATAACGGAGACGGAACCAAGAAAAGGTCATTTTTCATAGCCGCAGTTATTCCATAGCTCTCCGTCATGTCTAAGCCAGTGGTGATGATATCATTGGGAAGGTTCCAATCAAAGTGATATAATAGATTAGTTAAGGGGACTTCCATATTAGCTAAACCAAATGAAATTCCTGGACATATCCTTTTTCCGGTACCAAATGGTAAATATTCGTAATCGTTTCCCAGAAAGTCAATCGCGGTGTTCTCAAACCTCTCCGGTATGAAACTTTCAGGATCGTCCCAATACTTAGGGTCCCTTCCGATAGTCCAAGCATTAACGATCACCCTGGTTTTGGGAGGGATGATGTATCCATCTACTTCATATTGTTCTCTACTGTCTCTAGGAACCAACAGAGGCAAGGGAGGATGAACCCTTAGAGTTTCTTTGATTACCAACTTCAAGTACCTCAGCTTTTGAATGTCAGATTCTTCAATTGTTATCGGTTTGTTCCCCGCGGATAATATAACTTGCCGGATTTCAGTTTGTGCCTTTGCCAGTACCCGTGGATTTCTCATCATTTCCGCCATTGCCCACACCACCACGGTGAGTGAAGTTTCAGCTCCTCCTGTGAACATATCCTGCAAAAATCAGTCCATCAAACTCTCCATTAGGTCGTCATCCTGTTCCATTTGAAAATGAAATCTTAAAAATACTTTATAATATTTAGAACAACACAATAAACATGAATATGTATTATATTTTTTAAGATTTTATTTTCAATCGAAATGCATTATAATAAGGACCAGAGGGAGTAGCTTATTACCAGTAAAATACCCTTGATATTTGTGTTGGTAAGAGGGAAATTGTAGTCACCGCCGCCTTGTTTGATCCTCAGCAGAACATCAATCAGATCTTCTTGGCCGAATTCGCCGTTTTTTCCAGTTGGGTTCTCCACATGATCTTGAATTATGACATCTAAAATCTCATCAGCCCTACTTCGCAACTCCATCAACTTGGGCTTCATCAAGCTTAAATGCTGAAGAACTTTCCAGGATGGGAAAAGATCCGAAGCGTCGAATCCACTCATCCGGAAAAGCACTTCCCTCATCAGCTCCGCCAGCTTTTCTTGATGCCGCTCGAATGCCCGGCCAAATGCAGCTCTGCTAATCATCGAAATCGTGTAGGAGGAGACCTTCCGGGTCAAATTTGTGCCCTGTTTCCTCTGTTCAAACAGGGCTTCCTCCCGGATGGATGAAACGAGTTTCGAGACCTCATCTTGGCGAATCGAAGCGAATGATCGGACGCTTTTGGTGCTGAGGAGTTCCAAAGTGCATATTTTTCGCAGTTGTCTCCAGTAATCACCATACGGGGCGAATCCCAGGTCCGAATAGTCGTAGAATATGATCCTCCCCACTAGGAAATCAGGCCTATTTGAAACAGCTGTATCATGAGATTTCAATACAGTTTTTGCGACCCGAGGAGACGACACGACAATGGCCGAAATTTCACCCAACTGAAGGTGCATAAGGTCTCCATGTTTTTTGGCTAATTTTGTGAGTGCATGGTGAGGAAGTGAACCCATCAAATGATGCATATTCCCAATCAAAGGTAGCTTCCGCGGTCCTGGTGGAAGCTTCTTCTTGACTTCATTATTAGAACCCTTTATCCATTTCCTCATGAAATTCAATCCCAAAACAACTACAAGGCAAAAGGGAATCCAGATGGAAGCCATGGTTGATGATTTTGTTGACACTGTGTGATATATATATGTGTTTCTGGCTTCTGTATTTTATTTTGGTTGAAGGCCCGAAAGGGTAACTGCATTAGTCCGGATATATATAGTCAGATTATGTATGTATAGATATCGTAATGTTTTTAATATTATTTAGAATTTTAAATATGAAATATTTTTATGAAACAGATAAAATCTAACAAATTTACATGACAACCATTTTAGTGACTAAAAGAAACTCAAAATCCCGAGATACAAGTTTGTAAAGAACTTTATATGGATGTAATGTTTTCAACTAAAGAGAACTTTTAGAAGAATTTTTTTTGCTCACTCATTCATAGTTTTATTATACGATACACAAACCTCTTCAATTACATGTAAACTACCTTAAATTGATTTTATCAAAGTTAACTTCAATTGAAAGTAGTCATATTTACATTATTTTTGAAACTTGCGTTTAGTCCGAAGATTAATTTGAGAAAATAATATAAATTAGTTTCAAACTACTAACCTGTTTGATTTCAATCTTAATGTTTGAATATGTTCTTGGTTATAGTATAAAAAGTGTACTTAAAATGTCGCAAAAAGATATTCTTGGAAACACATATAGCAACAACTTATTAAATTTAACCACATTTGAGATTAAAACCACGGATAGAGTGTAGTGAAGTGAAGTGAAGTGAACCGTAAGAGAATTAAGGTCTTATGTGATCTAGTGTTGGGAGTAGAACCAAGTAGTTCAATAATATGGAACTAACTTACCCGACTTTATCTAATGTCGGAACTAAAAAGTAGGTTTCCCTTTTTCAAGTTAACCATGATGAGTAGGATTTAAGTAGATTGATACAAGAATGTTGACACTATTTATTGATTAATTATACCATTTGTGCGATAAAAGAACTCCTACATCATAATCTTGTACTATTTCGTACATCATTCATTAAAATTTTAACACATGATCCTGACGGGTTTATCTAATGGTGAGTTAGGGTGTTAGTAAAATTTTAAAAAAAAAAGTAATAATTAAATACAAAAAAATATCACAAATTTTATGTGGTGATTTAAGAAGTGTTTTAGGATTGTTTGGTGTAGGAGATCATTAATCCCATTTGTGTAATGTCACCTCTTCTCTTACCTAAAAATGCACTCTGTGGGTTCAAATTAATGGTTAATCCATCCTTAACTACTGATGGCATTATTATCACTATATGGATTCTTTATTTTGGAGATGTTCCTCCCACTTAGGGTGATGGAACGAATATAGTTTTTCTCCCTCCACCCAATCTTCGGTAAATGTCTCTGATGGCCTTTTTTTAATATATAAGAAAATTGAATTGCACTCTGTGGTTTCAAATTAATGGTTAATCCATCCTTAACTACTGACGGCATTATTAGCTAATTCTTCCCACTTAGGGTGATGAAACGAAATATAGTCTTACTCCCTGCACCCAATCTTCGGTAAATGTCTCTGATGGCCTTTTTTTTTTTTTAAAGAAAATTGAATTGCACTGCATGGATCCAAATTAATGGTTAATCCATCATTAACTACTGATGGCATTATTATCACTATATGGAATTTTTTATTTTGGAGATGCTAAATTGCTAATTCCTCCCACTTAGGGTGATGGAACGAATTTAGGCTTTGTCCATCTACCCAATCTTCGGTAAATGTCTCTGATGGCCTTTTTTTATTAAAAAAAAAAAATTGAATCCATCAATAGTAATAAATTGTTTGGTATCAACTACCAGTACCCACTGTTAGCATCAATAACTAATATACTTGCTCAGTTAAAAGCACCTATTTACTCATCCGACTAAATTGAATTTTAATGTAGCACAATTACATATCTATTCTTCATCTTGTCGCACTCGCATCCCACAAGTTACCAGGTCACAGTCCAAATTTTCAGCAATATGCGAAAATCTATAATTATATCCAGTTATAAGGTACTCTTCTAAACGTGAACCACTGAGGCTGCAATAAATTAGGGCTTCGCCTACCTTTTTATGAATGCCAACATTAATTTAATCTACGCATAAAGTTAGATTATTTCTTTCATTACTTACAAATAAATAATTTTTTGGGTAACTTCATCAATATTTGGACAAAGCTTAGTACAAATTAATCTTTAATTACTTCTACTGGAAAGGGTTGTAGTGGAGTTTATAACTATAAATACATGCAAGGATAATGGAGCTAACCACAGGATTTGTCTTTTGAGAACACGATCAATTAATTAAGCTTCTTTCACTTTGTAGTGGTACTACTTCTTTTTATTTATTTATTTATTTATTTTTTTGCTTAATCGAACTATATAGCTATACAGTTCATTCGCTTCGATGGATGCTGTTCTTAAAGCCACTGTTTCACTTCCACGTAATGATTCTGAGTCTGAACGCCGTTCCGGCAACTTCCCACCAAGCATTTGGGAAGATTTTTTGCAGGCATTGGCGGATTCCGATGATTACACAGAGGTGATCCAAAATAAGCAATCGTTTTAATTTCATGGTATTTATAATTGATACTTTTTCTGTCCTAAAATGATTGTAAAATTTTAAGTTTCATTTGTATTATAATTTGTACTAGAAATGAAAATCCAAACTGAACAATCATTTCAGGAGAACATGTCACAGGAAGAGCAGGATGAACATGCAAGACTAAAAGAAATTGTGAGGAAGATGCTGATGAATGAAGTGGACGACGATAATGATATTGATCATGGTTGCGAATCCAACGGTAGGCCTGAGAAGTTGGACTTGATTGACACTATCCAACGCCTGGGAGTGGCCTATCACTATGAAAGTGAAATTCAGGCATTATTATTATTATCTGTCCAATTCATGGAAGAAGATGGCCATGGTGACAACCTCCATGAAGTTGCTCTTTGTTTTCGATTACTAAGACAACTCGGTCATTTTGTATCTTGTGGTAACAACTAGTAATTAAATATTACTGATTTATAATTTGTCACAATTAAATTATTGTTGATACTAAAAAAATGTTATGTTTGTATGTGTATTTATTATTACATGCATATGTATGCAGATGTATTCAACCAATTCAAGGACGAAGAAGGGAATTTCAAGGAATCTTTAACAAAAGATGTAAGAGGTTTACTGAGCTTTTACGAGGCAGCGAATTATAGGGTTCATGATGAGGATATTTTGGAGGAAGCAATGGATTTTACCACCTCCCAGCACGTATCTGTATCACAAACTCTAGACGGCTTCTGGGCATCCCGAGTCAAACAAGCTCTAGCCATGCCAATTCAAAAGACTCTCAACCGGGTGGGAGCCAGGCGATTTATATCTCTTTATCAGGAAGACACATCACGTGATGCAGTTTTGCTGAAATTTGCCAAATTGGACTATAATATTCTGCAGAGTGAATACCGAAAGGAGCTACGTATTCTAGCAAAGTAATTTGATTAATGATCCTACCTCAACTTTTTTTTTCAATTATTTATATTTATTAAGCTCAATCACAATAATTAATCATGTAGATCAATTCTTACCAGAACAAGAGATCAGAGATTCAAGTTTTATGATGAAACTAACTTTTGATGTACCCTTTTGTTAATGCATGGATTTTGAGGCAGGTGGTGGAAAAGCTTAGATACGGAAGCAAATTTCCCATTTGCAAGAGAGAGGGTGGTAGAGTGCTACCTTTGGAGTGTGGGAGTGTATTTTGAACCCAAGTACAGTTTAGCTCGGATATCATTGGCTAAAATCTGTTGCATGACATCTATAGTGGATGATATCTATGACACGTATGGACTCCTTAAAGAACTTATCCTTTTCACAGATGCAATAGAAAGGTACGTACAGGATCAAGCGAACCCTAAGTTAACATTTTCGTTTTCAAGGGTTCAATAATTCGCATGATGAATTATATCACCATGCAACCTCAATTTCTCAGAATGATTTTATTTTATTTTATATTTTTTTGGTTTTTTGAGGGTCCTTGAATGGTTATGATTGATGAATATTACAGGTGGGATATTAGTGCATCACATCAATTACCGGCATATATGAGACATTGTTATCGTGCCCTCTTAGACGTTTATATTGAGATAGAGGAAAGGTTAGCAAAGGAAGAGAAATCAGACCTAGTGGCTTATGCAATATCATCAGTACGTATATATATATATATGGTTTAATTATTAAAACTTTTCTGAATTTGTTAGTCGATCGAGAAGAGATTGATTAGAGGTGATGATTTATTATTGCACAAATTTGTGCGTGTGTTTCAGATGAAAGATTTGGTGAGGTCGTATTTTGAAGAGGCAAAGTGGATACATAGCGGGCATGTTCCGAATTTCGAAGAGTACATGAAAGTTGCACTTGTTAGTTGTACGTATGAAATGTTATCCATGAACTCTTTGGTGTGCATGGGGGACTTTGTGACAGAAGATGCACTTGATTGGATTGAAGAGAGACCCATGATTATACGATCCTCCACTGTGATTTGCAGGCTAATGGACGACATGATTGAGTATGAGGTACACTAAAATGGTTTAACAAAGGATCATAGAAAACATACAGTAACCCTTTTTAAATTGAGAAAAAAAGTCGCTTATAAGAAGAAGAATGTGTCCGCTCATAAATTAATGGAAAATGATATTTCTAGTGAAAAAAAAGATAACGAGTGATGTGGAGTATTCTTGATCCCTAGTTTTTGTTATTTTCCCATTAAAATTTTATCTTTCCCTGAAAATTACATTTTTACCTTTAATTAATAAGTACACATATTAAGTAAGGATGGTGTATTTGTCTTTTCATTAGTCACTACACTTTTTCACTATAATTAGTCACTATCTCTATCATTGCTCTAAATTAATTATTATTATTTGCAGTCAGGAAAAGATAAGGGAGAATTAGCTTCCGCGGTTGATTGTTACTGTTGGAATAATCCAAATACTGTAGAGACCTTCACATCAAATTATTGAGAACTATATGAAAGCGGAAGCGTACCTTAATCTGTAGCGGCAAGAACATCGATCCGGGTTTGATCTTCCAGATGATTCCGTCAAGCTCTTGCGGGAACCTCTGACAAACGGGGAGTCGAGATTTGACATCACGGCTCATCTGGGGACCACAACCAATATATAATAGGGTTTCTGGTTCCACTCATCACAGAACAGGAAACTAGACCTTAGGGTTTCTACACAATACTGGGCCACACCTTATAACTTAATTATTATAATTAGTCCAAACTTTAGTTGATTTAATTAGATCACTTTATGTGGGCTAGTATTTTATGATAACTTATAACATACAATTATATATATTTGTGTATAAAGTCCACATAGATCTTACAGTTACATGAACCAATATGACACTTCTAAAGAAGAAACATTTACTGTGTTTGAGAGACAGCTCTCAAACGCATGGAAGCATATAAACAAGGGATGCCTCAACCTGACTCCAACAATACCAATGTTCATCCGTGAGAGAATCTTGAATTTTTGGAGGATAATGTTTCTTCTTTTCCAAGGCAACGATGGATATACGAATCCTTCCGCCGAGGACAAAGACCTCATTAAGTCCCTGTTGATTGATCCTGTTCCATTAATGGTGTAGCCCAATCCGCCGGGACGATGTTGCTCCAACAGTCTCGACGGGCCATGGTTAGCCTGTCGAGGCACCCAAAAATTAATCCGATAATCCTACCGAACTACAAATTTTGCAGTAGTAGCAGTACCAGGTCGAATCCCAAAGGAGCTAGATTTTTAGTTCTTAGTTTGACAATGTCCAAAAAGATTTTGTTTGTTGATCTACTAACTACTAAGACAAAATAAAAAATTACGAATTTTAAAAGCAAGGATAGGTAAACAAGGAGAAAATTTAATATCACAAAGGTTCTGACTCAAGGAACGGATCATCCAATTATTTTACAGATCATTGGTAACTAAAATTATTCTTGCAGTTCGAGCTCTCAAGTTTAAGCATACTAGGATAGCCGTAGTAAACATAAAATTCCCCTAAATTAACTAACCAAACCTAGCATTCAGTTAGCACTTATCATGAAACGCTGGGCACGATAGCGTTCCATACAAATCAATGATAACAATAAAAACCAAGGAAATATGCTTGAAACACAATTCAAAATTATTGAGATAGTTACAATAAATTAAATTATGATTTGTCGATCCTACTCCTAGGCATACAAAAGCATCCAAGTCTCACAAATACCAATGGTCCACCTAGTTGCTACTAAATTCCAATGGTTCGTGTCAAATACGTAACATACAACCAAATGATAGCAATAAAAAGAAAATACACAACCAAGTTATCAATTTAATTGGTATTCACTCTCATAAATTTAAAACAAGAATAACAAATAACTCAAACCATAGACAAGATTAAATTAAAACCAAAACCTCACATGTAAAATAATTGAATTAAATCCCTTGAATCAGAAACAAAAGGTTTAGCTACTCATAATCATGGACATGATAGCTAATTTATTCATAGAAAAATAGTACCAAGTCTAGAAGAATTGAAAACCCGGAGAAACGGAGACAGCCTTGACCTCCAAAGCCAAAAGAAAAAGCTGCGCACTCTTGTTGTTTCTTCGAAAAAAAAACGACGGCCGTGCGATGAAGTGAAAAAAGGATGGCCAAAACAAGAAAACATACGGCCTTATATAGAATTAGGTCAGCCGTATGTTGCCAAAAGTTAAACAACAAATTGCAGCATTGGTCCTTCCACTTCTAACTCTCTTTCAATTTGGCCCAAACTTTCTTCAATGATAAAATTCAGTCCATAAAGTTTCTTATTAGCAGCTTCTTCTCCCAACAACTTCAATACTTTGTAATTAGGTCCATCATTGGAGTGAACTTCTTCCTTTGCTCAAGTTGGATGATTTTTTTCAGACTCTTTTTGTATCAATTAGCTCCAAAAAGTTGTAAACTCCGATTCCCAGCTCCTAACACAAAACATTAATAAAACTTAATGAATTAAAACCATCCAAGTCCATAAACTCATAAAATAATAATAATTAAAGCATAATTTATGGACTCTATCAGGCCATATTAAGTGCTTTTTGTTTTTGTTTTTTGTTTTTTTTTTCTGTGGGTGCATGTATTTCATTTGAAATCTACATTTGTTGTTTAATGTTTTATTCTTTCTTTTCCTTTTCCCTTTTTTTTTAACTATTAGCAACCCAATTGTGTACTACAAATAAGTATCCTCCGTCAGGGATACATGATTGTGAGAGATTATTAAATCTCCATGCTGTTTTGCCAGACTTCTAAGAGTATGGTAATTAAGGAAGTGAACCTATGAAATGATCCAGACCTTTATTCTTGATAAAACAAAGACTAAAGATGAATTCTAGAAGGAAGAAAAAACACTATCCAGCTGAAGTTTAGCTGACTGAAATTTAGGGAAGTGGTTGTGGTTTGGCTGTGTGATAAAAGATGAATTATAAAGATGTTGTTGTGCATGATAATTAACCAGCATTTTCTTAAATAATCTCATAAAAAATATATAGTTGCACTCGACGTGACACACTCATTGAAGGAGATCACCGATTTATCTACTAATACTTCTGTCTAAAAATAATAATCCACGATGAGTCTTGTGAACGAGATAATTATTATGTGTGACAAGGACCTACCGAGTTCAAGTGGAAACAAACCAGAGGCCACCAACAAAACAGTACAAATATAAAAATTCAATGTGAAATTTTTTTTTTTTGGGAATATAATATTGATGCATTGAACGAGACGTGATAAGGAGCTATCGAGTTTAAGTGGAAATAAACATGAGGCAGTTTTGATCTATTCCACATAACACTTTCTCATCAGGGCACTCTAGATTAGCCATCATCCTATCTCAATTATACAAAGATTACATGTATCACTCTGTCACGTCACTATAATTTATCTTCTAGCTCTATCTGAAAAATTCAAATAGCTTCTCACAATTTGATCGGGTAACTCAACAGTCGACATGATAGCATTTTCTTTCACGAAATTCTACTGCCTGCATCTAAAAAATAATAATAATAAAAAATAAATAAATTATTTTTTCTATCTAAAGAACTTATACAACTTTCTAAATTTTCCCTTAAACCACATTTTTAATCTCATCTCAAATTTAAAACAAAAACCAAAACACAATGTTTGTCCATACAAACTAAGATCATGGAAATTTTGACTCTAGAATCTAGAACATGGAACTAATTGGACAAGAAAGTTAAGACATTAACAAGCACCTTGATCCCTACTACTTACTTAAATGTGTTTACCAATGGATTCGGCTTCGTACATAGTGGCAATCAAGAAAAGCTGGCTTTTCCTTCCTGCAACTATTCCACTTGTCTCCGACATGTCTAAATCAACACCATTGATTTCATTTGGGAGTTTCCAATCAAAGTAGAACAACAAATTAGCTAATGGCAGTTCCACATTAGCTATACCAAATGATAATCCCGGACAACTCCTCCTCCCCGCACCAAATGGTAGTAATTCGTAATTGCTTCCAGTGAAATCAACCAAGCTATTGTCAAACCTCTCTGGTTTGAAATTTTCGGGATCATCCCAATACTTCGAATCTCTTCCTATTGCCCAAACGTTAACTATGGCTCTTGTTCTGTCAGGGATGATGTATCCGTCTATTTCGCATTGCGCCCTACTCTCTCGAGGAATCAATAACGGCAATGGAGGATGAAGTCGAAGAGTTTCTTTAATTACTAATTTTAAGTAACTTAATTTTTGGATATCGGCTTCTTCAATCATTGTCTTTCCCTTGAGTAATTCCCTGATTTCACTTTGTGCTTTTGCCAACACATTTGGATATCTTATCATCTCTGCCATAGCCCACTCCACCACATTAGCTGAAGTTTCAGTTCCTCCCGTGAATATATCCTACAAATCAACAATCAATCAGATTCCCTTTTGATGTCTCTAACTGAACAATAATACTAAAAGTGAAATTTCAAACTGGATGATAATTTAGGTACAGAGGGAGTACAATAAAGCTTCCCATTTCTTAATTTAATTATACAAATGCGTGTTACGGCTGGATGGTTGAACATTATAAACTAATTAGAGGACTAAAAGAAAAAAGGAAAATTAACTGACTGACTTACCAATATGACGGCCTTGATACTCGCATTGGTGATCGGAAAATCAGGATCACCACTTTGTTTGATCCTTAGAAGAATATCAAGCAGATCTTCTTGTCCTAACTCAGAGTTCCTCCCAGTTGGGTTTTCCACATGTTGTTGAATAATGGTTTCCAGAATTCCGTCAATCCGGTTATGCAACTCCACCAGCTCAGGCTTCATGGAGATGAAGCGATGAAGAATTTTCCAGGATGGAAAAACATCAGAAACATCGAACCCGCTCGCCAGAATCAAAACTTTGTTCAGTATCTCCACCAGTTCCGCCTGATGCCGTCCAAATGCTCGACCAAATGCCGCTGCGCAAATCATCGAACTCGTGTACGAGGAGATTTTCCGGGTCAAATTTATGCCCTCTTTTGACTGAAACAGGGGAATAGCATCCTCCCGGATCGATGAAACCAGCTTCGAAACTTCATCTCGGCGAATCGAACCAAACGATCGGACTCTTTTTGCGCTGAGAAGTTCCAAAGTGCAGAGTTTCCTGAGCTGCCTCCAGTATTCGCCATATGGAGAAAACGCAATGTCGGAATAGTTGTAGGCGATGATCTTCCCAAGCAGAACACTCGGCCTATCCGAGAATGCGAGATCATGGGTTTTCAGGACCGATTTCGCCATTCCAGGAGATGATACCACAATGGTTGAGATTTCTCCAAGCTGAAGATGCATCAGATCACCATGTTTTTGGGCTAAATTTCTCAGAGCATGATGGGGCAGAGAACCACCCATCATCAACTGATGTATGTTTCCAATGATGGGTAGCTTCCATGGCCCTGGTGGCAGCTTCTTCTTGAATCCATCGGATCCCTTCTTCCATTTCTTGATGAAAATCAAACTCAACACAGCTAAAAGGCAAATGAGAATCCAGCTTATTACAGCCGAATGCTTCATGCTTGGTGTGTGTGTGTGTGTGTGTGTGTGGTTTGACCTGATCTATAAGATTCGGCTCTGCAGCTCAATTTGATCTGATCTAGACGCGAAACATTATTTTAATTTAACGATAAAGACAAAGACAAAGACAATAATGGTATTTTAGCAAAGGCAAAGACAAAGACAATAATTTAATTTAGCATTTTGAATTTTCTGCCTTTTGTAATTAGTTTTATCAACTTGTAATTCCCTCTATTATTTGATAATAATGGTAGTTTGAATTTGTAGTGACAGTCCCAACAAACGCTATTGGACCTTAATGATGTTACCACCACTCTGGTTTCTTATTATTTGTTCACAAAAGGCCATATTGTGATGTTAACTTTAGACCATTAATCTTACTACTGAATGTTTGTTTTTTCACCGAAAATAATTACTTTCTCTGTCACAAAAAAAAAAAAAAACACACACACACACATGTTTGTTTCCTTTTTCTCATGGTTTTTCCAGAATAATATATTAATATCTGTCACATCCCAACATACCTTTTTACATTTTCAATACACTTTTTTACATTCCCAATACAAAAAACACCTAAAAACACACACTAAAAAAACAAAATAAACATATTTATACATGAAAATAATTAAAAATATTTTTTTTCTTGATGCAGTTAGTCATTGTTATTGCTAATATATCATTTAATTGGGAGTTTCCATTCAAAAGAGTAGAACATATAAACTATAAAGTAATGGCCATATAAGTTAAACCAAATAAAATTAGTCAAAATACTAGACACATCCTTCCACGCCCCCATTTACGGTACCAGAAGCAAAAGCTTCCTTTAGTGTATCAAGTTAATGGATCATATTTTGCAGCAGCTTCAATTTGTATCTTAAAGACACTCCACTTCTCATTTATAATGGGTTGAATGAATACTTTATCCATGTGAAAATGATTTTTGGGCTGCGCTAGAATGAATGGATTGAACTTGTTATATTTGTTGTCTCTCCAACATTGGGATTTGATTAGGGCAAAAGTGAAAACTAATTAGCCATTGCGATAAAGATAAAACTAGCTCAGCTTTTCAAATGAAAATGAGTGAGGTGAGGAAGTGATTAAAAAAGATAGCACTAGTTTTTTTCTCCCTGCGCTACGCGCAGGTGACCACTATTTGTTCAAGATTTATAAAATAAAATATGATTTTTTATTTAAAATAATGCACATGTGCGATAGGGTAATAATAAATTGTTATTTGCATGCAAAAAATATGAATCAAGTTGCAACAATTTTTTTTTTGTTGACAAAGAGACATTATTTTGTATTATAGTGGTCATATTAAATAAAGAGTTATAATAGAGACAATGATTATTTTTATAGTGAAACGATATAGTAATTTATGAAATGATAAATAACATATACCATTCTTTTAGTAACTATCCATATATGATAAGGAACAATTATATATTTTTATAAATGTCACATTAGTTACTATGCTAGTTCACCACCTGTTTTACATATTATTTTCCTTAAATTAGAATGGATAAACATATTTGAAGACCAATTTAGAAGAGGAGACCAATTTATCTTTATTTTTATTTTTCATTTGTTAGGAGAGTAAATTTAATTCTAAAAAAATAGACAACTAATGACAAGATCGCACGGGTAAGTGGTACAGTTTGGTCCATTTATATATCCAAAAGTTTTTTTCTTGACAAGGTGATTCAAATTTAACTAACCCTGCTTTTCTTAAAAAAAAAAAAAAAAAAAAAAGTGCAATCTTGTTCAAGTGCAACGACGACGACGAACGAAAAAGGTACCGTAGAATCTGAGGTTCCCACTTTATATAAGGAACTAGATATTGATGCATGTTTCCAAATTCCAATGAATGGTAGCTTCCATCAGCTTCTTCATGATTTCATTAGATCTCATTAGATTTGGTTGAATGGATACGCCTCATGTTTACTTATCCACGTAATGAAATCAAACATTTGAACCCAATATATATGTTTTATACACTTCTCCTCTTATTACTAATAGGTTGAGTTAAAATTACATGTGGGTCTATATTTGAGCCTTCAAGATAGTATCAGAGCGGATTTTAATTCGCGGACTTGTGGGACTTGTGGGGCGAGGTGGACTGATTCAAATTGGGTCTTGAAACTTTGACCAACTCACGGAAGAATTCTGAGATTTGACTTTGAACTTTGACTGACCCGACAGACGACGGTTTATTCAGGAAAATAACCGATCGCAAGACTGAAAAAAATATATATATAAAAAAAAATTACCCGTCCAAACCCATTGGGTTTGAGAGGGACGTGTTGAATGAATACGCATCATGTTCCCTTATTTTACATGGATGGAAGAAAACACTTGAATCCAACATATATACCCTATGTACTATTCCCCTCATCATTAATTAGTTTTGAGGTGAAACCACATATAAGCCTATATCTGGGCCTTCAAAAAATCTGTTCTTCTTACATTTCTCAATCAAACTCAAGATCACAGCTGAAACAAATGAACGGAATCATACTGCTCGTCATGAGGGCTATGTTTAGTTGTTTCTCTCTTTCTTCTTTCTTAATGCGTTTAGGTTGATGTCTAAGAAGCTTAATAGAAAACCTTACAGATGTAGGGAATTTGGTCATGAGTGACTTGCAACTGGATCGTTGATCAGAATTTGGTACTTGCCATAAAATTTATACTCCCTTGATCGTCTCATTTAAAATTTCACTTCTGGTACAATTTGTATTATAGATAAAAATTCAAATGAGATAATTATTTTAAGACAAGAGAATAAATTATGTAATGGAAAACACACATGATTAATTGTCTGTGTCGCTGTTAAATCACCACCTAAACTGTGTGTTTAAAATCAATTTTCAGTCATGCACCAAATTCAATAGAGATGTGTGGTTTTTTAAGAAGATGGAGAAAACACATAATAATGGTAATCTGTTGCTCTGGTTGAGATGATTACATGCGATTAATAAATCGCAAAATGGTGTACGAAAGCACTTGCAATAAACTGATTAATTATTAGCCTTTTCCATTGCTTGTGAAGCGATTTATACATGGAGGCATCTAAGAAAAGGTTACATTTCCTTGATGCTGATAATCCACTTGTTTCTTCCATGTTTAAATCCACAGCTTTCATATTTTTGGGTCGTTTCCAGTCAAAGTAGTACAACAAATTGGCTAATGGAACTTGGACGTTAGCTAAACCATAAGAAATTCCGGGACATATCCTTCTTCCACCACCAAATGGTACATACTCATATTTTGTTCTTGTGAAGTCCGCAACATTGTTCTCAAATCTTTCTGGTTTAAAACTTTCAGGATCATCCCAATATTTAGGATCTCTTCCAATAGCCCAAACATTAACAATTGCTCTTGTTTAAGGAGGAATGATATATCCGTCTATTTCACACCGCTCGTTGCTGTTTCTAGGAACCAATATAGGTCCAGGAGGATGAAGACGTGGAGTTTCTTTAATTACTAAATGTAAGTAACTCAATTTCCGTATATCATTTTCTTTAATCATTACCATTTCTTCTCCCATGCATAACACTTCTCTTATTTCACTTTGCGCCTTTGCCATTATATTCGGATTTCTTATCAGTTCTGCCATGGCCCACTCCACCACGGTAGTCGAAGTTTCAGTTACCGCTAAGAACATGTCCTGCAAATTAATTACTCTGTCTGTTCTAAAATAATTGTCCAGTTTGAATTTTCATTTTTAGTACAAATTGAGCTCAAAGTGAAAATTCAAACTGGATTATAATTTTGAGACAGAAGAAATGTTATTTATTACTTATATCATTAGACAATTTACTTCTGGATATCATCTTCCATCAAATATGTCTCTCTTCTAAAATGGTATGTTCTACTATATATGTTTCAAACAATTTTGCACATCAACCATAACCACATTTCAGTAGATTCTTTTTGCAGAAGGAGGTAATTGTCTAGTACTCTAAATCATAGCAGATTGCGGATGTGCAACAATAACAATAACAATGTCAGAGTTTAGCAAATTAAGTTCAAGTTTAGAAAAATTACCAATATAATAGCTTTGATATTTTTGTAGGTAATTAGAAATTGGAGGTCACCACCACTTTGTTTGATCCTAAGCAGAATGTCAACCAGATCTTCTTAATTGGTTGAACTCACTGTTGCTTCCAACTGGATTTTCAATATGCTCTTGGATTATGGTGTCCAAAATTTCATCAATTTTTGTATGCAACCTTGCCAGCTTAGGCTTCATCAAGCTTAAGTGATGAAGAATTTTCAAAGATGGGAAAATATCAGAAACATCAAACCCACTCGTCCAAGCTAAGACTTCCTTTTGATACTTCACCAATTTGTCGCGATATTCCTCTCCAAATGCTCGTCCAAATGCCGCTTTACAAACCATCGAACTAGTGTACGAGGAAACTTTTTTGGTCACATTGATACCTTGTTTTGATTGCATCATCAGGGCTTGTTCCCGAATCGAAGCCACGAGTTTTGAGACCTCGTCTTGGCGAATCGAACCAAATGACCGGACATTTTGTTGCTAAGAAGTTCCGAAGTGCATATTTTTCGCATCTGTCTCCAGTAATCACCGTAAGGGGAGAACACAATGTCCGAACAGTCGTACAATATGATCTTCCCTACTAGGAGGATTTTCTTGTTTGTAAAAGCGAGATCATGAGTTTTAAGAATATCTTTTGCAGGACGTGGAGATGATGCAACAATGGCTGAAACTTCTCCCATCTGAAGATGCATCAAATCTCCATATTTTTGGGATAAATTATTGAGAGCATGATGAGGAAGTGGACCCATCAAATTATGCAAATTTCCAATGATGGGTAGCTTCCTTGGCCCTGGTGGCAGCTTTTTCTTGATTGCATTTCTGATCTCTTCCTTCTTCCATTTCTTCTTGATGATGTTCAAACTCATCAAGAAAGCTATAAGGAAAACAATGGGAATCCAGCTGAAGGCCAGATCCATTCTTGTTGATACTTTTACTTGTTCTTTTTTTTCCCCTCCCCTTTTCTGGTTGATGGAGCAAAGGGAATGCTTAGTACTAGGTAAGGCAGTGCATATATAGACTCAATTTGGTGACATTTTAACTGTTTGTTTGAGTTAGAGTCTGAGAAGATGTCAATCAATATTGAAAAGAAGAACAAGGTTAAAAAAAAAAAAGGTTACTTGATCCTATGAGAAGTGATTCACTTTATTCTTTGATAGGTGAAATTTCAAAGGTTGCTGTCTTGATCACAGCAATTACATCTCACATGTTGACAAATATATGGTAGGTTTAGCTACTTTCTAAAAATTTCTAATACGATTTTTTTTACATTCTCAACAAAAAAAAAAATTTAGCCTTTCAAACAAAACTAATATAGTCACACAAAGGAATGTTTGCTTGTTATTTAAGAAATGCACTGGACAAAACAAAGGTACATGCATGACTCCATTGTCATTCATCAAAATCTATGATGCTGTTGTGTTTTTTTATTGTAACAAGCGTTACAAAGTTGTATAGCTAAGGCGGCACTTGATAGGAATAGGGGATTATATTTTTTTTATATTTCCCCAAGTTGTATAGCTATGGTGCTAGAGCAGGATTGTGTAGGTTCCTTCACATGTAGTTTGAGGCGTTAGCCCTCTATTGATCTTGTCTACCAAAAAAAAAAAAAAAAAAACGTTACAAAGTTGGAATAAAGATGTGCCAGAAGACCATCTTTCTTTCTCTCTTATTTGGAGAAAAGAGTAATTAAGTTTATTAAGGATGCTGTGAATTACTGCAGTTGACGGAAAAAAAGTAATTCAAAGCACATTTTGAACATAAAAGCTACTGTGTTTTTACATAAAAGGTTAATTCGTAAACCCAACGGGCACTCCTCCAATATTATTCATTTCGAACACACAAGACATTAGACAAGATGCTGCAAAAAATAAATAAATAAATAAAATTCCGAGTTCAAATATAAGCACCATGGGTATATTTGTCTCACATTGGTATCGTGAGAGAATTTATATCAGTATATAAGCACCATGAGTTACTCCCCTCATTGCCAATTGGTTTTGAGGTAGAACTCCATGGATTTTTATATGGTATCAGAGCGGCTCGGCCTGTGGTGAATTCCGCGATGTTATTATGTAACCCGTGATGTTATTTCACGGTTATTTTCCTGACCCAGCAGTGTATCTGGTGATTTAGTCCAAACCCGTTGGGCTTGAGGGGGAGTGATGAAATTCCAAGTTATATTTGTCCCACATTAGTATCATGAAAGACTTTGTATCAATATATAAGCAACGTGGGCTATTTTCTTCATTATCAATTAGTTTTGAGGTAAAATCCCATGAACTTCTATACTTGTCAATGGTGAAGAAAAAGAAGAAAATGAAAATGTCGACAACCTCATATATTGTTCACGGAATCATTTAATTGATGGAACTTTTACATTTTTTCCTGCCACATCATCTTGATTTGGCTGTTTAGATCATTAACTGAACTATCCAATCCATGAAATTACGATCATTCTCATGAGGTTCTTTTCATTATTTTGTTTTATGCTCTAGTTTATAGAAAGTGAGAGCGAAAAGGGTTATCACTTTATTATACATTATAATTGTATGAATTTGCTAATAATTTGAATGTACATGTATATAGATGTGTTCAACGCATTTAAGGATCAATTCAAGAAGGCAATTTTAAAGATTCTTTCACAATGGATGTTCGAGGTCTGCTAAGCTTTTATGAAGCAGCAAATTATAGGGTTCATGATGAGTATATTTTGGAGGAAGCGTTGACTTTCACTCCCTCCAAACTTGTATCCTTATTACCAAACCTTAACAGCTCTTGAGTCCAACGAGTCAAGCATGCTCTAGAGTTTCCAATTCAAAAAATACTAAATCGGTTCGGTGTTAGACAGTTTGTATCTTTTTGTTAACACGACATATCAAACGATCCAGATTTATTAAAATTCGCCAAGTTGGACTTTAGTATCCTGCAGAGACAATACCAAAAGGAAGACGCCATCAATCATAAGAGCCGCTTCGCTGATTTCTAGGTTAATGGACGACCTAGCTGACGCCGAGGTATTATTTCCACTTCAATTTATTTGTTGCATTTATCTAAGCGAACATTGTCTATAATACCTATTTATAAACTGTTGTTGCAGGATGGAAAAAAGAGTGGAGAATTAGCATCAGCTGTTGAATATTACATGAAACAGTATAGGAGGACATCGAGAGAAGAAACCTTTGTTGAGTTAGAGAAAAGAGTTGCAAATGCATGGAAAGATATAAACAAAGAATGTCTCAATCCAACTTCCGATGATGTACCCCTGTCCGTCCTTGAAATAATCTTGAATTTTTGCAGGGATTATTCACTGTCTATATCACATCGGCAATGATGGATTCACTACTCCTTGCAGCGAGGTTAAAGACACTATCAAGTATGTCCTGTTTGATCCTGTTCCGATGTAATATAATCCAGGCCTATAAATTGGTCTTAGCGTGAACTTAAAATGTAAGGTGTGATCTTCTTTGTTCTTGACCATATGTTGATGAACCCTAATATTTTAGGCCTAAACTGTCTTCGAGATGTACCTTGTATGCTACAAAAGCATACTTATTTTCCTCTTCTATGGTTAAGCAATGTTCGAATATCGAAAGTGCAACTTCCCTAAAAGTAAACAGTACGGTTGTTTATGTTTATATTCAAAACCACTATTTGCTAGCTAAAACCTTCGAAATGATATAGAAAAATTTTGAAGGGGTCGAATGGAAAATTGTTAGAACGTGTCTATGAAACGCTATACTGTATATCAAACCAAAAACATATCCACAAAAGGTAAAACACTCACATTTTTTCACTTCTATTTATCTATCAATCTCGCCTTATTACTACTAATAATTCACACATAACTCACCGGAGATAATGATATATGGTATTTATTTATGATTCCAATCGTTTATCAATTAACAATAGCGTAAAATTGGCACACAAAATATTAACTGGCCCCCTATATTTTATGGTTTACCAAGAGTTTCGTACTTGGAGGCAACTAAGAAAAGGTTGTTTTTCTTTGTTGCGGTAAGTCCATAGGTTTCTTCCATGTCAAAACCAATATTTTCAACATCTTCTGGGAGTCTCCAGTCAAAGTTGTAGAGCAGATAAGCTAATGGAACTTCAACGTTAGCTAAACCAAATGAAATCCCAGGACACATCCTTCTACCCCCACCAAAAGGTAAATATTCATAATCGCTTCCCGTAAAGTTAATGGGATTGTTTTCAAACCTCTCTGGTTTGAAAATTTCTGGATCGTCCCAATAATTAGGATCTCTTCCAATCGCCCAAGCATTAACTATAGCTCTTGTTTTGAGAGGGATGATGTATCCGTCAATCTCACACTGTTCCCTGTTATTCCTCGGAATCAAGAACGGCCCAGGAGGATGAAGTCGTAAAGTTTCTTTAATTACTAACTGCAAATAACTCAATTCTTGAATATCTTTCTCTTCAATAGTTTCTTGTTCCGGTGACAACACTTTCCTGATTTCACATTGTGCCTTCGCCATTATTCTTGGATTTCTCATTAATTCTGCCATTGCCCATTCCACTGTGGCCGTTGAAGATTCAGTTCCTCCTAGAAATATGTCCTGTAAATTCCACAGTATTTAATTGTCATCTTGAACCAACAAAATTTGTAATATCAGCTTAAATTTTATTCTTTGATTGTTGCCATGGTTTCCATAGTCTAACAAAAGATACACAAATATATTATTACTCTCCAAATTAGATGTAATCGAAATTTATATGTAATCCCCCAAGTTTATAATATTATCGTATGCATGATAACTTATTCGTCTCATTTTAATGGTCTATTTTAATGATAAAAAGTGAACTCGTTAAATTTCACTAGAGAACAAAAATATATATATATATATGTAACTCACCAAGATTAAAGCCCGGATACTTGAGTTGGTTAGTGGAAAATGGAGGTCACCACCAGTTTGTTTGATCCTCAACAGAACATCAATTAGATCTTCTTGTCCGAACTCACCGTTTCTCCCACTTGGGTTCTTCACATGTGCTTGAATTACAATATCAAAGATTTCATCAATTCTGTCTCGCAATCTCCTCAGCTTAGGCTTCATCAAGCTTAAGTGATGAAGAGTTTTCCAGGATGGAAAAACATCAGAAACATCAAACCCACTGGTCAAAACCAATACTTCCTTCTGAATCTCGATCAGCTTGTCCTGATAATGCCTTCCAAACGCTCGACCAAATGCCGCTCTGCAAACCATCGAACTCGTGTACGAGGACACCTTTTTGGTCAAATTTATACCCTGTTTTGGATGCAACAGGGCTTCTTCCCGGATCGATGAAACCAGGTTCAACGCCTCGTCTTGGCGAATCGAACTCAGTGATCGGACCATTTTGTTGTTGAGGAGTTCCGACGTACATATTTTTCGCATCTGTCTCCAGTATTCGCCGTATGGAGCAAATGCAATGTCCAAACTGTTGTCTACTATGATCTCCCCAACCAAACAATCTAGCCTGTCTGCAAAAGCAAGATCATTTGTTTTGAGAATCGCTTTCGCTGTACGTGGAGACGATGCGACAATGGCTGAAACCTCTCCGAGCTGAAGATGCATCAAATCACCATGTTTTTGGGCTAGTTTTGTGATGGCATGATGAGGAAGTGAACCCATTAATTGATGCAGATTTCCAATGATGGGCAGCTTCCATGGCCCTGGTGGAAGTTTCTTCATTTCATTGGATCCCTTCTTCTTCTTCTTCCATTTCTTGATCAAATTCAAACTCAAAACAAGTAAAAGAAAAAATGGAATCAAACTCATGACTGAAAAAGCTGATATGGATTGCTGATGAGGTGTGTTCTCTGTTCTTTCTCTGTTTTTTGGTTGATGAGCAGAGAAGTTTTAATGACACTGTGAATAAATAGACAATCTTTTTGGTTCAGATCATCAAAAAAATTTTGTACTCCCTTCATCGTCGTCCACAAAATTCATTGAAAGATATGAATTGTTGCAGTCAATACCAACCCTGGATTTGTCGGTTTTCATTGAACTGAAGTAAGATGACCTCGTCATTCATTCATTGATCTGAAGCCTCATGTAAGAAAAACTTAAACAGTCTGAAACATCTATATAACAACCATCATGCAACACATTTTTGAGGCTGAGGTTTGGTGAAGAAGATTGAAGACTTGAAGATATCCGACATGGGGGGCATCCCCATTGCTGAACCTTCTCTCTCGTACCATACTGTTTGATTTAGTCACATTTTTAATTTTGCATTTTTCAAGTTTGATATTGTTCCATTATTATTAGTTCAGGTTTTATTGCTTTTTGTTATTGTCAATAATTGGATGTCTAAATAATAGAGAAAAAATCAACACGTTCAATTAAAGAAGATTTCAGTAACGCTTTTAATATTTTTTTTTGTTACACCATTTAAATAGAGAAGTAAAATCAAACTGCATTACCCTTTAAATATTGAAGTGTGTCTAATCACTTATTGATTAGCTCCGTATATCATTTTTAGTTACTTCTATCAAATTATTGAAGGTATAGTACAAGATTAACGCTCATATTAAACTACTCTAACTATAATATAAGTGTAACACTAAAAATATTAAGGGTCGAACCGAAGAGGGTAGTAGTGTGTCATGAGCACAAAAACTTGGAGTTTTGCAATATTGGATTCCCAATTTTCTTAAATGTGTGATTGTATTTTCATTGTCTGGAGTCACGAGAGAAGGAAGTCGTAATTAACCTATGGATATGACACATCTCCAAGTTTTTTGATTTTCTTTCTTTAATTTCTGAAGCAACTATGTACTTGCCATACACGTTCCTTTTATACTACCAACTTCCAGTTCCTGTGGTTAAGCAGCAACAGCAAATCAGACTCATATATCTACTGGTGTCTACAGGCCTGCGTTCCTAATAATAAGACACATACAATATCTACCGGGGTATGAAGACTTTCTATGAACTATGGTACAAAATTAAGGTTGTTATAAATTATAATGTCTTTGAACCGTAAAATTACAATAAATGACAAAAGGGTTACAAGTTTATAATAATTGAGAATAAAATTTTAAAAATATTTTATAATAATTGAGAAAGTACAGAACAAATGTAAAAATATATTTTTAATATTTTATTTTCAATTAGAAAAATATACTAAATGAAATTTAAGACAAATTAAAATTACTTATAATAAGGAGGGGAGGGAGTACTAAATTAAGAAATTTTTTTAATTGATTAATATTGTTAATGTTATGCTTAATTATTATTATTAATTAAATTAGTAAATAGTTTGTGCTAAAATTAAGTTAGTTATTATCAAAAATGATTTTCTTTATTAATTAAGGAAGTATGTTTTATAATTATTTAGTAAGATTAGTGAAGTAAGATATTTTTTATATTAAATAATAGTTAAGTTAGTTAATATATGATTAATAGTTAAGTTAATTAATAATTATAGTATTTAAATCACTCATTTTAGAATGAAAAAATGAAAATGTCGAAATCGTACTTTTTCCGGCAGTCTATAACTTAATCCTAACCGCCTATAACACAACTCTTATTTTAGGAGGGAGACAATGCCAAACATATTTGATTTCAAGACTCTTTGGTCTATCAACTCATAATCGAATCAATTGGTTTTTATATTTTAGTCGAATCACTGGAAATGCTCTTCTTCCCTTATCGTAACCCACTTTGTTTTTTTAATCCAATTTTCATTTTCCGCATCTTCTCAATCGATCTTTCGCAACTTCATACACTAACATCTCCCTGAATTTATTACATAATCTAAAACAATGCTGGATTTCTGGTCCTTAAAAAAAAAATTGAGGAACTCTATATAGAAGACTAAAAAACTTGGAAAAATTGCATGAAATATCATTATCAAATATTTTTATCCAAACTACGTGAATGCCCACATGCTTATTCTAACTTATGTTCGCAAAATCAAGATTCCATTAGGCCTGAATAGGACTGTACAAAAGTGGGCGCTTAGAAGAGGGCACTCTTTGCTGAGTAATTTTTATTTTCAAAAAATCAGATTATCTTCAACCAGATTTGAACCATAACTTCGACCTCGTTAATAATAACAGTTTATCACGACCAAACCTAATTCTAGTAAACCTATATATATATATATATATATATATATATACTAGATGTTTGCCTCGGGTGAATGTCCGGGGTGTCGCCTGTATTTTTAAATTGATTAAATAAAAAATACGAATCATTCTTAAAAGAATAAAAAAAAATTAGAAGAATAAAAAATCGATTGAAAGAACGGAAACTGAGCTATTACACATAAATCTATGCCGAGATTTACAACATTTAATTTATAACAGTTAACTTATGCCTGGGTTTACATAAATCATAAACCAACAGAAGAATAAAAAAAAATCATCCTTAAAAAATCAAATTTCTTTCATGACAGCTTATTTTTCTCTATTGTAGAAAGAGATGGATTGATAATTTATGTAATTTATTTAAAGGCACGAGTGTGAGAGAGGAGCAGAATGAAAGAGATTCTTTGAAATTAGGGATTGGGAAGACATTACTAGTGTTTCACTTGATTTAAGGGGATTTCCTTACATTTGATTTTATCAATTAAATATTGTTATTTTAAAGGATTAGTATATACCTATAATTAAGATATTTTTATGTAGCTATAATGAAAGAATTTATGTATTTATCTATTCTATCTTTTTTTTCTGATTAGTTAGAGTGCCACGTGTCAAAAATGATTTTGTACTGAAAATGACTTTTGGCAGAAAAATTTTCATTGTGGTGGTGACACATGTCTTTCTTGTTTTCTGCTTTAATTAAGTACTATAGATATGTTCACCAGTAGTCTTTTATATTTAGCCAATAAAGAAAAGGAGGAACAAAAACCTAAAAAAAAAAAAAAACCCTTAGATTATCTTCTCTTTTTGAAAGTGAAATTCAGGCTTTGCCTTATCAGATGACATATAGCTTTCATTTTGATTGTGTTCGATGATGGTTGGAAATTAGGACTCCCTCCTCCTCCGTCCCAAAATTATCGTCCAATTTAAATTTTTAGTTTTATTACAAAATAAATTAAAAGTAAAAACTCAAAATGCACAATAATTTTGGGACGAAATAAGTATTACTCAATATTTATTCAGAAGTGAAACGGCAAGTCGCGAAAGTAGTTTGCAAAATTCACTTTGGCGAAGCTGACATTTTTACGCAAATTAACCATCAAATTCCTTAAATCAATATTTTCTTCCTCACTGTTCTTTCTTTTTTTTCCTAAAACCACATAGTGTATCTGACAACCGCTAAATTAATCTAGTCCTGCGTAGAGCACATTTTCACAAAGAAATATTGTTTCAAAATAATTCCTCCAAAACAAAAACAAAAGCAAAAAATAAAAAATAAAAATAAAAAAATTAAAGGAACTCAATTAAATTTGTTTAAACAATTAGAAATGTTGGAACTGCCCCAAAAAAACCAGAAGAAGAAGATTTAGTGAAACTTATCATAAAATTTCGCCTATTTTTCCAAGCATATGGGATGAACATTTTCAAGCCTATTAAAACGTTGATGATGTCGGCAAGGTATTATATTTTCTAATTTCAAAATGTATGTATATACTACTTCTCTAAGTGTATCATAAAATTTTTTGTAATTTGTGTTATTTGAATTTGTTGCAGGAAATCTTTATCCAACAAGAAGAAGAACTTGAGCGACTCAAAGAAGAAGATGCGGATTAATGTCGAAACTCATCACAATGTTGACAAATCCAACGGCTGGCAGAAGCCGAAGTTGGAGTTGATTGACACTATCCAACGTCTTGGAGTGTCTTAAATACCATTGTGAAGTCGAAATCGAAGTACGTTTAACGTCGATATGTTAATGGAACAAAGAAGAAGGAGACCTTCAATTCATGAAGTTGCTCTTCGTTCTCGTTTGCTGAAGACAACTTGGTTGTTACGTGTCTTGTGGTATAATTAACCATATAAATAAAGCCGTGCAGAGATAACATCTTGAGGAGCTTATAGTTGTAGCAAAGTAAGTGGACTCCATTTAAACCTAGATAATTATAAGGAAATTAGAAACAACGTACGAAGTAAAATAGTAATCCTTGAAAATATGAATTTGCCGATTATAAACCCTAAACCTTAAATTCTACCTATGATTATACCTTTTTCACTCATATATAATCACCTCGTTCATTGTATCTTTTAAGTAGCTATATGTATCATTAATTTCTGCGTACATTTGTATATGCAGATGATGGAAAGGCTTAGATCATCCGAATGAGTAGCCATTCACGATAGACAGAATAGCAGCTAGAGTGTTTTTTGTTGGATCTGGAAGTGTATTTTTGAGCCAAAACATAGTTCAACAAGGGTATTGTTAACCAAAATGATCAAATTGATATCCATAACGGATGACATCTACCATACGTATGGATTTCTTGATGAATTCTTTTTTTTTTTTTTACGGACGTATTAGAAAAGATACATACGTACAATATCACTACCCTCAAATTAATGAAACCTCTTCATTTTACATTTCATCCTTTAATTTAATTTACCAAAATGAAAACTATAGCTAATAGGGCATGATGACAAGCCAGGATCAACTAAGGTACAATGCAGTCGTTTGATATACCAGATTATCTGAGCCGAAAATGTACGTGCGAGTCTTCATCACTTCTTATAGATCTCTCGCTCGTGTAATAAGTTAAAAACTTTTATAAAATATTTTCTTTTTGTTTCGAATTTATTATCCACCGAAATAAAAATTTCAAATTGAACAATAATTTCATAACGTAATGAGTACAGGATTAATGCATGGCATATTTGAAGAGGAAAACAAAAGTGAAGTCAATGTATCAAATGCTAACTGTCATTACCTGTCCAAAGAAATGTAAGAATCAATAATGTGGAAGAAAGGAAAAGTGATTTAATGAAATCTTTGTTCACTAGGGTTAAAACTACGATTTATCATTTTTAATAACGAAAATGAATTTTCTTCTTAGAACTTGAAAATATTTTAACCATTTGTCGTATTTTTATTAGAGGGTAGATCATCACATTCATTTTTTTTATTTATTTATTTTTTTTGGTGCAGATACACAAACATAAAAAGATCAGAATGACAATTTAAAAGATTCCAAAGCTTTTTTCTTTGTGAAACACCAGAAAAAAATTACATTAATTTTTACTTCTTCCGTCTTACTTTTAACAGTTGTAAAAATTGATCAATCAAACAAACAAAACAAACAAATTGCAGATTCTGGATCTTGAATCTGTACGGCTGTACCTTAAAATTATTTTTTAAACCACACGCTCCTCTTTGTACACACAACCGCAGGGGATCACAACCCCTTTATGGTAACTTTTTCCAGAGATCCAATAGACCCCACCAAAGATTAACCAATTTCCAGGTGGATTCAAGACTCACAGACGAATTTTCCGCAGCCACCACGTCTGATATTTCGCCACGTGTCCACAAAAAATAACCATATACCAATTTTTTTTTTCCCTTAAAAAAAAGAAAAAACTGAATATTGACAGAGCCTCCAGAGAAGGAAGAAAGAAAGAAACAGAACAGAACAGAACAGAACAGGGAAGGAGGAAAGTTTTGGAGTGAAGGTTTTTTTTAAAAAAAAAATAAAAAATGCATCTTTTAAATGCTGCTTGGATTCTGAGAATGGTTACCTCCTACAATGGCAATTCACTTGGGGCAGAGATAGAATTTGGGACTGTATGGTGGTTTGTGTATGCTGGGATCTCGTGTTTCCTGGTATTATTTGCGGGAATTATGTCTGGATTGACTTTGGGTTTGATGTCTTTAAGCCTTGTTGATCTTGAGATTCTTCAGAGAAGCGGGACACCTTCGGAGAAGAAGCAAGCTGGTAAAATTTTAATATCCCATTTTGCTGCTGATCAAGTTCACAGTTTTTTCTGGGACAGAGTTGGGATTTTAATCTTTGAGGAATTGTGGAGGGTTTTTTTTCTTTAACTTTACAAATGGTGATCATTAGGCTGTTGGGATTCTGGGACTGATCATTTGCTTATGTGGGTTTTGTGCGGAATTTGAATTTAGGCCTTATTGACTTATTCTTGATGTTTTGGAAATGGAAGTTGGGTTTTTGGTATCAGGAAGATGTTTGTTTGTTTCTTTATATCTGTCGTTTTAGTTCAATTACTTAAGCAAAAGTTCGTGCAATGAAAGTGTTGTAGAAATGAAGGTGTTTCTGTCAATGTGATTACAATGTGGTGGTAACTAGTTGGTTGGCTTGACATTTCGGTATCTTATGGAGGCACGGTGTTGGTTCCAAGAAATTTGATTGCTGCCTAATAGTGAGATTTGAGTACTTGTACGGACAACATAGGATGCCCTTAACATGCTTGATGTGTTTACGTCTTGGAGATGTATTAATTCCTTCCTTATGAAATGCTTATTACTAATTAATTTTCGAAGTAAATGTTATCTATTCGGCCTGGAGGGAAATTTTAGCAGTTTTATGATCGATATATCCAATTAGAAATTATGAAGCTCTTGCGTGTTTCTGTTGGCCTGAAAAGTAATTTGTCCCTACCTTTCATTGTTCTTTTCTGTTTCAGCTACTATACTTCCAGTGGTTAAGAAGCAACACCAACTGCTTGTGACATTGCTCCTGTGTAATGCTGCTGCTATGGAGGTGAAATTGAAATAGTTCCACATTTCTTGCATTGGACTATTTCGAAGAAGATAAAAATAAATATTGATTTTCTTAAATTAGAAAGATTTGTGATACTAGTAGTTGAAAACATGTGGAATTGTCTTCCCATATGATGAGACTGCATGTAAGTTTAATTTTTTTTTTATATGCAGGCCCTTCCAATATACCTGGATAAGATGTTCAATCAATATGTTGCAATCATATTGTCGGTGACTTTTGTTCTAGCATTTGGAGAGGTAAACTGCTTTCAAAAGGTTTTTATCTAAGTAGATAACACAATGATGTTCTTCTGTCATTCTCAACTTTTTTTTAATTTATTCCTATTTTATGGTTAGGTTATTCCTCAAGCAATTTGCACTCGATATGGACTTGCTGTTGGTGCAAATTTTATTTGGCTTGTGCGCGTACTGATGATCATCTGCTATCCTATTGCTTATCCTATTGGAAAGGTAAGGAGAATTAGATTCAATCAAATGTATTGTTCTTTGTTCTACCACACACGTAAGTTGTTGGGTGGAAATTTTCCTGTATTTTTGCCATCATTACTGTGTGCTCCAGTAAGACTTATTTGAATCTTTGGTGTTTACAGATTCTAGATTGTGTCTTAGGACATAATGAAGCACTGTTTAGGCGAGCTCAACTGAAAGCCCTCGTCTCTATCCATAGTCAGGAGGTACATTTCTTTCTATAATGAGGCAGACAGCATCCTCTATGAAACAACAGTGTTGCATCTCAATGGTTCGTAATGTTTTTCTTGTTATGTAACTATATTGTTTCTCTATCCCCAGGCTGGTAAAGGTGGTGAACTTACCCATGATGAAACAACAATTATTAGTGGAGCACTTGATTTGACGGAGAAGGTAACCGGGCAGGAGATCATGACTCTCAGTTTTTCTTATTCTCATCTCTTTCCTTTTCTTTTCTGTTTGATTGTCCTTTCGTTACACCTGAGGAATTGGTCATTTGATGTTTATGACTTTAGAGACATTCTTTCTCATGTGATACTTCATAGTTTTTCTGCTGTGATCTTATGACCCTGAGTTAAATGCTTGTGATTACTTCTCTTTTGAATTTAATTCTTTTCAGAAAGATCCCGCATGGTAATATTTTCCTCATATTTTATTTGATTTTTCTTTTTATCTTTGTGTGCAGACTGCTGAGGAGGCCATGACACCGATTGAGTCAACCTTTTCATTGGATGTCAACTCCAAATTGGACTGGTAAATTTCAGTGTTATAGTTGGACTTCCGATTTATGCTTGTGTGGATGCAGTGTGCGTAAAGTTAAATTTTTGCTGGAAGGCTCACATTCATTTACTTCTTATGATTGGCATTACCATTTACATGTTTTCTGTTTTATAATTTTGTATTTTGTTGGAAGTATATGAATATGTTATTTTGCTGTTTCTGTTGTACTGAAGTTGGAAGATATCCAAGGTCGGTGAGAAAGGAAAGGTGTAGATGAAAGGGGTTGGTGTATTCTGTTGCCTCATTATTTTCGACCGCAATGTTGTTGAACAATCACTTTAATATTTGTTTTCTTCAGGAAAATATTTGTGAACTTCTTTATGGATTACTTTATGATTGAGCTAATATGCTCACATCTATCTATATGATTAGGAAATGCTGATGCATGTTAACTGACCAGGGTTCTTGTTTTAATCAGGGAGGCGATGGGAAAAATTCTTGCTCGTGGTCATAGCCGAGTTCCTGTGTACTCTGGAAACCCAAAAAATATCATTGGACTTCTATTGGTTAATCTCCATAAATGCTAGAATCTGCTGTCTTTCTGTTACTTATGAAAATTTTATGGTAACAATATTTACATTTTTCAGGTCAAGAGTCTTCTTACTGTTCGGCCTGAAACAGAAACTCCAGTTAGTGCTGTTTCTATCCGAAGAATTCCAAGGTTTAATTTCTTACCTTAGACCAACTGACTTCTGTTGTTAGAACTTACTGTTTTAATGCTTTCATAACTATGGTCCAGTTAGTTAACTTAAGCTGTTTCACACAGGGTGCCATCAGACATGCCTCTATATGACATATTGAATGAGTTTCAAAAAGGCAGCAGCCATATGGCTGCTGTGGTGAAAGCTAAAGGGAAAAACAGACATCCAACATCAACTGCAGATGATGAAAATAATGCCGCTGGTGACAGAAGTTCTCAATTAACAACACCCCTGTTATCCACGCAGCCTGAAAATCCAGGAAGTGTTGTTGTTGACATTGAAAAGCCTCGTAAACATTCCTCAAAAAATGTACTGACATACGGTGAGGCAGTATCAAATGGTGTTTCCCACTCATCAGAGGACATTGAAGAGGGTGAAGTAATCGGTATTATCACCTTGGAGGATGTATTTGAAGAACTGTTGCAGGTGATGCTTTGGTTTACTTTGTCCTAGACTAAACTGGTACTCCCTCCGGTCCTAATTATAGGGCAACAATTTGTTTTGTGCCTTATAATTAGGATCGGAGGGAGTACTATGTTTGCTTGAGTTAGCTGAAAGGAATTAACATATTATTTTTCTTCATGCAGGAAGAAATTGTAGATGAGACTGATGAATTTGTTGATGTACATAAAAGGTTATAAGACTCGAATTATTTTTGAATAGGCACAAGTGCCAAGGTTATTGGAAGCAAAGGAACTAATTTCACAACTCTTTTGCAGGATACGTGTGGCTGCTGCTGCTGCTGCGTCATCAGTGGCACGTGCGCCATCAATCAGGAGGTTAACTGCGAAAGGATCTGTAAGTTTGCTGTCACAACAACATTTCGCTGTTTGATAACTTTATGATTTCAACACGATGCTTAGTTTCAATATCGAACGGGAGTCTTTAAAGGAAAGATTGTCAGGGACATCTAGTCCTGTTTTTACCCTTTACATTGGGAAGTATCCCAGTTACTGCAAAACTTCTTATTGCATGAGTACGTCATTGACAAAATTATGATTCTCTGTCCATACTTCAAAAGATCCTGTGAACAAAGATTTGGATAGAGAATATTGTAATACGTTAAGCAATCCTTGCTCATCTTATTTCTTGTTATATTACTGTGGTAAGCACCATGAGAGTTGTATAGAGTAATTTAAAATAAATTCCTCAGGTCGCCCAACTTAAGCAAGGACAAACTCCAAGGAAAGCAGGCGAGGTTGATTCATCTTCAGCGAAACCACCAGGAAATCTTGGAGAACCCCTTCTTGAGACAAAGAAATGAACAGGTCCGTAAGTTGAAATTTTGAGGAGTCCAAAGGGTACATAGCCTATGTTTGAGATCGATAGAAGAACACAATTTCGATTTATATTGTGGCTCTGCCGTTATAAGTTATTCGTTTGTATATGCTTCAGGAAAATTTTGCCACATCTGTAGACAGATTTTATCTGGAACGTTTTTCAGATAATTCATGTATTCTCTGCTGCTACAAGGTGAACAGATTACAAACTCAAAAAAAGATGAAAAAGAGGCTCTTCACTTGGTTTCTTGTATATTAGCCGTAGGAAGGTGGGAAAACCGAGTTTATTCGGCAAGGGGGAGGAAGGCTAGACTAGAGTAGAGATGTCACATGTACATCAGAAAAAAGTTTACATGAACTTCAAAGAGCATCTGTCTTTATATACCATTATGATCGTAACCTTCGTGGGAATTCTCTCTTCTATACTGCATCACTTGTCTTTGCTAGTTCGTGGAGTCATCCCAAACTGCAATGCATAGCACAGAACTGACATGAACCCCTTTGTAACAGTAGTTGACCTTGATCCTCTGGAACTACCTTTTTTCACAACTCATTCCAGGGTAGGAGAAGCAATGAACACCTCCATATTATGTAGAGGCGTGTTCGCTGCTCCTGCACATACCTCGAACACCCGCGCCACGAGAAAACCCTTCTCTTCTTTTTGCTCAAAGTAGAGTTTGCAGCCATGTTCTTAGGTTGCAGAAACCGGAGACTTTTCTGTATCTTTAGAGGCAATATATGTGCAAAGTGTATTACAAAATGCAGGGATATGAGAATCATCAAGAGATGAAGGTATTTTATATATAGTGTTGATTGAAAATTTCGGAAGAAACGTGTGTGGTGCTCAACAGATGTTGGTTTCTGATTGGATGATATTGAGGACAGCATGGAAAGGGTCCCATTTGTTTCATCTGGTTGTCTTCCTTTCGTATATGTTAGATTGATGGAGCATTTTCTGTCAGTTTATAGCTACATATTTTGTCAAGCTGCTTCAAGATAAACGGTTTTTTTTTTTTCAAAAAAAAAAAAAATTTCACAATCTCACTCAAAATCAGATATAATTTCCAGAAATTTCGGTTCGTGTTTCTTCATGTTTTGTTCTTTTTCTCTTAACTGATTGTGTGTGTTTTGCCATTTATATATTTAATTATAAGAGCAAGTTGAAAATTTGCAAAGCATAATTGCAATTGGTCTATGGCAAAATGTCACTATCATAAGACGTGGAAATTAAAAAGGAATCAAATTACAAAGCGTTTGGTATGAATTCATTGGTGGAATATTGTTATTGAGTTGGTACTTAGTACTTGGTTCTCAATAAATTAATACCCCAAAAAATGAAAAAAAAAAAAAAGAAGAAGAAGAAGAAAAATATCCGTTTCATAATTGTAATAATATATGTAGTTGTGCTTAGTCTATTATCATTTTTTCTGTTTGAAGGATGTAGGATTTAGTTCTGTTTAGTTTATAATGTAAGACTAAAAATTTCCATAACTTTGATTTGATGACATAACCACCAATTAATCATTTGTTAATAATGCTAATCTATAATACATTTTCTATAATAGCCTCACCAATCCTTTTGTTAATTATTAACATATAACAACTCTCAAAACAAAAACAAATAAATTTTATTTTTTCGCCTCTTTTCAAAAGTCAATTATATATCCAATGCAAAGAAAACTTGTGCCTATAGAAAATCTTAGCACATATATGCAAAAACAGGATATTCCTAAATCATATTTGTTCTTTTTGCCTGATTTCAATCACTTTTGCATAAAAAGGCCGTTCTAATCTTCTCTATATCGTTCCAATTTATCACAAATGTTGCCAAACATCTTACATGGACTTGAATTCCAAAAAAGGGGGGAAAATGGAAATGAGAAGAACATAAAGAAAACACAATAATTTTTTTTTAACAAAATAAAATTTCTATCAACTGCATGCATGCAGACGTACGTTGGAGCAAATCAGAAATTAATCAAAAACAGAAGCTAAGATGCTGGAATGCCATTTACAAATGCATGAGAGAAACATATCAACTAACTCAAAATAAAACAATCAACAAGACATCCAAATAGTTACTCTCTCCGTCCCAAAATGTTGAAATATGTATTTCCTCCTTCGTATCATCATTTTCGGACACAAAAAATATTAGTACAACAGACAAGGCTACCATTTCAAAATGGAATTAAGTTGTACTAATTAAAAAGAAACATGAGAAAAGTAGTATTAATCTGCTTACATGGCTATATATAGATGGTTGTACAAACAAAAACACAAGTTCAATTGATATGGAATTCTAACTATAAACAGAAACAAAACTATACCTAATTATAGTACAGATCGAGCTACAACAGATTCAGTGTACTGAATTAATTTCCAACTTCTAAGAGTACTTATCATCCCAACACAAAAGCATGGTAATGCAAACCCTAATAATGTAGAGCTTCCCTCTCTTCTGCCTCACTGTTCTTCTCCATTTTTCATATCTCTTTCCCATATCTACAAATTCTTTCTGCTACCTAACTCCTTGGATTCCAAGTACTACTAATTAAGACAGCTTTTCTTTGAGCACATATTTCAGGACTGAAATGTGGCAATGGTTATATGCTTAAATAGTTGTGTGCAAAATGACTGGATCAAACCAATTGGATCCACAAATTTGCCAATTCTTAGCAGACATTATTATGGGATACTTTTGAGTTAATTTTGTACTTTGTGGGGACTTATTGTTTCCCCAGAATCCATTGGTTTCACGTGGCTCCTCAGACTTCTCGACCAATTCAAAGACTTGCAATTGCCTGCCACTTATCATTGCCACCCGTGTTCACTATTTGATGAAACTGTTGAATGTTGTGTAACACACACAAAAGCTTGGGTCCTAAATTCTTAATTTCAACAAGTTATTAATGGAATCGTCCCTACAAATGGTCCATTCTTCAATTAGAGAAAATTCATAAAATTACTGGAAATCGTCCAATACTAAATGATCGACAAGATTTTGAAAGTTTAGTCCATATACATGCTCAGTTATATCCGATCGTTTAATTAATTGAGTAAAAGAATGCGCTACGGCATATTCCTCTATTAATCCAAGATAAACTATAACGTGAGAACGTATTAGTAATTATATAAGCCTAATATTCTTCGAAGATAAAAATGAACCCCCCAATAACCCTAAATATTACCCTATACTTAGACATCTCTCTTACTAAGCTTACTCATATGTAAAGCATGTGAAGACTATATAGGGTTGTCCATAACTATCACCATTTTAGACCTAGTATGTAATTAAGGCCAGATCACTTTGATCTCTTGAAAAGGGTTTCTCTTTTCTAACTTGTGTCTGGGAGTATCATTAATCTTACTCAGAAACGATCATGTTAACCTTTTTTTTTGTAGAGTTTCAATTTTATCAGATGTCTAGAAAAGACTGGTCAATAAAGGTTCGACTTTCGAGTGGAAATTAAGCTTATAGGTAACAATGAGGTGCAGGTTAGTGATAAGACGCCTCCCCGTTTCCAATAGGTCACAGGTTTGAGTCACACTAAGGTAAGTGGGGAACCACTATTCATGCTTTTGGGGGGGGAAAAAAAAGAGCTTATAGGTTTTAGCAGGCCACATTTACTCTGAGGTTTTATTCACTTTCTAACTGGCTGCCATTCGCAATGAAAGCTAAGAAAAACAAGAAGGGCTCACTTCAATTTTTATCATAATCAAGAAGATCAAAGAGATAAGATACGTATTACTAAACAGCCTAACAGGATAAATCAATGTGGACCTTTTGGGACATCAAAAGCATTCGATAATACCAGCTCAATTTTCAGGCTTAATGTGGTTAAAACAATTTTTGGCCCCCTTCGATAGTTTAGAGTTGATACCATTTGCGGACACATATAAGTAAGCACTGTTTCTGTCTTCAATGGACATCTTAGGCAAGTGGCACAACATTATTGGGGAAATGTTGACAAGCTGGAGACAACTTAAATGCTTCTGCTCTACGACATCTTACGTTCTAAAATTAGAGTCATGTTTGTTGAATTATTTTAATACAGTATACCAGACTTTTATTTCTGGGTCGATGATACTTTCTTATGATGTTTTCGGTTTTTCTTGTTGAATCTTTGTGCTTGATTTCTTGGTGAGGATAGTACAATAATGCATGGAGATGGGGTAGTTGGTCTGGAGTCCAATGACATGACTAACTGAGTCTCCACAATCACAACATTCCCTTTCAAAGGGACAAAAAGATAAAATGGACAAAGATGGATAAGAAGAGAGAGATTCCAACTTCAAAAAGAAATTAATTATTGTTATGTGACAAAATTGTGATAAGAGAAACTTGAGAAAGCTTTGCTTAAAGTAATGATAGTGAATTGAAGGAAGTGATAACTGATAATGTTTTCTTGTCCCACAAAAAGCTAAGTCGATTGACTGATTTTTCTTGTTCATCTACTCAAATATCTTTGCTAAAAATGATCTCAATTATTAAATTGATCCATTTTGGTTTTTTTTTTTTGGATCCTTCTTCTCAGTCCAGTACTCCTCAACCCCAATACATAAATCTAAATGAGGTTCTACTCTAAAACCAATTGATAATAGAGAGAGTAATCCAGTAAACTTATATACTGAGTTTGGAACTCTCCCGTCATCGATGTGTGGGATTGGGTTTGCACACCCAACATTCTTTACCCTATTGTAGAAGGACAATGTGCAAAATGGGGATAAACTGCAAGGAATTAACAGCGCAAATGCTAAGAGTTGGTTTGTCTGTTGATTTGATGGAGGAGGGAAATATATCCGGTACATAGTGATTCTCTAATAATTTCTCGACAGATTATTATAACATGGCTATAGCTTTCACGTTTTTAAAGAGATGTTGAGCAATCGGTTGATAAGTTCATGTTCTCCGACCTATTGTGACATAATTTATTTCCATAATGTAGTGATACTATCTATCATAATAAAAAGTTGACGAATAAATATAACTTTTTATATCTTACTTGCAATTTATTTATCTCATAGAATTTATAGTTAGCTGTTCATAGTTCTCAATTGTCACTTGGTTATGCTGGTCACGTCATAAAAGAATTAGAAAGGGAATTCCATTAGATTGACGTCAATGAATTAAGGAAATCCTATGCAATGAATTGATATCTTAACAACAATTGATAAGAAAGCCAAAATTGATTGAATGACATGCATTTTTAAAGCTCTTTATTCTGTGCTTCTAGGCTAAGTGATTAGCTAGTATGTTCAAAATGAGAAATTTAATGTACGAGGCAAGAACTTCTGATATGCTTCCTACATTACTACATTGAACTACTACTAATATCAAATATTTTTTTTTAAAGAAATAGATTATATAAAACTTGCTGGAAATCAGCCAGCCCTGAATGATACAAATAACTTGGTGGATTCAACCAAATTATATCATTTGTTACATGAGATTTAGCATAAGCAGTTATAACATGAGATACTTCATTTTCTTGACTACTAATATCAACTCTTAACCATTATTAGTATATCAAAAAAGATTATTTACGATTAATATGATATAAAAAGAAAATTAAGCGGTCATGGGTATGAATCACTGCTAACAACTAAACGAAGTAGAATGCTTAAATCAACAAGAAGGGGGAAAAAAAATAAGACAACTTTGTTTTAACAAAAAAAAATTTAAAAGAAATTACGAGATTTGTCCAAGAAAAACAAAAGAGGAGGTCAATTGAAATGTTGAAACTTGAAAGATCAAATATTGGAGTGTACCGTAATTCCAAAAAACTTCAGGGGGTTGACTATAAATAAATTCTCATTCCTATTACTTTCCATATTCCAACTCGGAACTTTCCAGTTTGATTGAGCTCGGGTATCATCGGAGAGCTCATTTCATTCCCTGTCTGATCTTTTTCCAGCAGCTCAGAATACGCACAGAACACCTAGAAACACACAGTAGGAGTTATGTCTTGCTTAGCTTCATGCTGTGTATCTCTGACATGTGGGCTTTGTACCTCAGTGGCCTCAGGGATCAGCAAGAAGTCAGCTAGATTAGCTTACTGTGGCATCTTCGGCTTGTCTTTGATCATTTCTTGGGTTATCCGAGAATTCGGTGCTCCCATCTTACAGAAATTCCCATGTAAGTTCTCTTAATGATCCCACTTTTTGGGCAAAATTCAATCTTTCTTGGAGAATTTTCGATTTTGGTACCTGGGTTCTGTAAATAAGTACATATAGTTTTGGTTGAGTGAGATTAATTGAGTGTTTCTTTAATTCCGGGAGCTGTTCTGTACTTTTTTCTTTTTTTTTTTTGGAATTAGAGATGTACTGGATTAGCTGTTCAGTCTCATATAGCCTCATGAATTGGGAATTATGGTGATGAGAAAAAATAATGATCTTGATGGTTGGTTTATTTGGATTAAAAAGTTTGTAACTTGATGATTAATGATACACTATCTGGAATTTCTGAGCTTATTTTGGGTGTTATGTATTATAAATTTTTTCAGGGCCATGAGGCGTTAGACTAAATAAAGGGATTTTTGTTGTAATTAAGATTGTATATGATTGAGTTTAGGTGCTGCTCATCAAGAAACTGACCTTAACTGTAGCCTGTAAATCTTCAATAACTTGGAATAAATTTAAGCTTCAGCGCAATCTTGTCTTATGGAAAAGTAATTATATAACAAACGCCTTTCAATTTTTGTTTTCTCCCATCTGCAGGGATAAATGATTCGGAGGATCATTCAAAAGTATGGTTCCAAATGCAAGCAGTTCTCCGTGTCAGCTTGGGGAACTTCTTGTTTTTCGGGATTCTTTCCCTGATAATGATAGGCATCAAAGATCAAAATGATAAGCGTGAATCCATACACCACAGTGGATGGCCTGTCAAGATGATGATTTGGGTGTTACTCGTGGGCTTGATGTTTTTTCTTCCGAATGTCGTTATAACAGTTTATGGTCAGTCTGATCTAGTTTCTTTGAAATATGATACTTGCAGTTAGTTAGTTATCTACTGTTTCTGTTGAAAATAAAAATTATTATTGTCTTGATCATTTTCAAGATTAAAAAGTAGGCAGTTTTTGATATGCCATTCCTCAAAATGCATTCTTTTACTTCTCCTAAGCTGTAGTATGCTAATTTTTTTTTTGTGTTATGATAGTAAAAGTTAATGCTCTACTGTAATCATCTGAGCTTGTCGTGAAACAAAAATGAGGGAACTTGATGAAACTAAACTTATCTCAATCTTTTGGTGAGCTGGTCCTAGGAAATGGTTGAGAATGATGTGCTTGCTATCTTAAGAATTTTGAGTTGTCCAGTTTGATTCGTTGGTTCTCTTTGAGATTAGTGAACATGTCTATGAATTTTTTTTTACAGGATTCCTGTCAAAGTTTGGGGCAGGGTTGTTCTTATTGGTTCAAGTTATAATATTATTAGACGCTACACATTCATGGAATGATGCTTGGGTTGCTAAAGATGAGCAGAAGTGGTAGGTTCAAGATCTGATTTTTATTTTTTTTATTCTTTGATTAGCTAATATTTGATAGTTTGGTTTCCCTAGTTTCTGTGTTGATTCTCTTGTACTTGCTGATCTTTGATAGGTATATAGCTTTACTGGTGATATCTGTCGGATGCTATATTGGAACTTATGCAATTTCAGGAATTCTGTTCATCTGGTTCAATCCTTCTGGTTATGACTGTGGTCTTAATGTCTTCTTCCTTGTCATGACCATGATTCTTGCTTTTGCCTTTGCTGTCATTGCGTTGCATCCGAAGGTAATCCTTTCGTCCGTAATTCCAGTCATTGCTTAGGATATGGATAGTATCATCCAATATATTAGGAGTTTATTAACTGCTATCTAGTGTCCTATAGTTGTAGAATAATTCCAAAAAAATAGAGATAGTGGATATTACTCATTAGATTCTGACGTTGTAAGATTACTAAGATGACAAGCTATAGTCTAGGCAGCTAACCCCACTAAGGGGATAAACACTTGGTTGTCATTGTTATTGTTTGTGGTGCTCAATTTTTTGATTACTTATGGAATGGCGAATATATACTGATTTCTTGCTTTTGCCCTCTTAATCAAGTGTGCGTTTCTTTGTTTCTTTGAGCTGTAACTTAAGGGTTTGAAACACAGAATCATCTTGTCTGTGAATGAATGTCTGAATTGCCTCACGCTGATCTTCTTCTTTTTTCTTTTCTTTTTTCTTCCTTTTTTCTGTTGGGGTAAAATGTAAATATATTAATCAGAATATATACCAAGTTTGTATATTGCCTATTTCCCTGCTTTTACAAAGCTGGAAGTATTTTATCAACAGTAACACCAATTTCCTTCAAAAACTTAATTTCACTATTCCTGCCTTTTTTACAACTCCACTGGACCTTTAGTATAACTTCTAATTTCACTTCATTAAACAATATATCAACTGGTTTCAATCTTTGACCATGTTTCATCTCATTTCTTTGTTTCCCTAGATGGTAGGTTTCTGCAACAAGAGCTGAAAACATCACCATAGGTTGATCTTCACTCACGATTTCCTGAATTACTAATACCTTATCAATTTGACAAGAGCTAAAACTTGAAAATTTTCTAGAGATAACCTTATCAATTTCTATTTATTTATTTTATATATTCTAGATGGCAATTTAGCATGCGTCATAGTGTACTTGTTGCTTATATATAGTTGTTCCAAATATTATGCAGTTTGACAATAGTTTAAGTGTTTCTTTTGTACTCTTTATGTTCTCACCTATGTGATTGCAACAAGAAGATGAGGTAAAGCTGTGTTGGTAATATTCGCTTGTTGTCTTGATATAACTTTACAATTTAAGGAGAACCATATTCTTGAATAATCTTTCTGAGCTTACAATCAGTATTTAAAGATTATGATAATTTGTGCTTGTGGGCAGGTAAATGGTAGCCTCTTTCCGGCTTCTGTTATCTCCATTTATTGTGCTTATGTGTGCTATACTGGTCTCTCTAGTGAACCTCGAGATTACGTATGCAATGGTCTCCACAACAAATCTAAAGCAGTGACAATGAGTACTCTCTTTCTTGGGATGCTTACAACTGTCCTCTCACTTATGTATTCTGCATTTCGTGCTGGATCTTCTACAACCTTTCTATCCCCGCCAGATTCGCCCAGATCAGGTATCAAGACTAAGCATAATTTGGTCCTTCATTAATGTCTATATAATTGGATAGGTTAAATACACCATGTGTGTAAAAGAAAAATTAATGTTATTAACACGTGTGGTGTTTTTGGCCCATCAATGCCATCTTTTTTCAATTAATTATTTCTTATATAACTCAAAAGCTCAAAATGTAAATCCGTTTCGAGGACCTCAAACTGGATTGTGATCGCGGCATTAATATAAGTTGTGAATTAACTTTTAACAGGTGGAAAGGCACCCCTTCTCAAGTCTGATGAGTTGGAAGCCGGAAAAGAGAGTGCAGAAACTGCAGCGCCACCAGTTACTTACTCCTACTCATTCTTCCATCTTATATTTGCCCTTGCTTGCATGTATTCAGCTATGCTTCTTTCGGGGTGGACTGATAGTTCTGAGACCTCAGATCTGATTAATGTTGGGTGGACGTCAGTTTGGGTTCGTATCTGCACAGAATGGGTAACTGCTGGGCTATACATCTGGTCCTTGGTGGCCCCTTTGATCTTCCCTGATCGTGAATTTTACTAAATTTCTTGTTGATCTTGTGACAAAGTCTGTTTAAAGTAGTGTAAATCCTACGGTAACTACCCTCCAATCTTAAATATTTAGCATGTCATGTTATGTAAAATTGTAAACAGATACTTCACTTTAGGTTACAATGTCAATAGTTAGCTAAAATTTGCTAATTCGAAAAAGTTAAGAACTGTTTGAGGCAAGCTGCATTCTCTTTGCAGCATTCTGCCTGTCTTTGATGAATATGCTGCTCCACTTTTCTGCTCTAAGGTGCAAGTTTTGCGCCGTGTGGGACTGATTCAGCAGCGATAGATTGATCAATGAGGTCAGAAGACCTTTCAGTATGCACTCTGCCGTCTTCCAGAGAACAGGGCTCTGAAGATTGCCATAGTTCACATGACCATATCTGTAGTCTGTACCATCCAAGAACCCTGAGAAAGAAGTTAAAAAGCTAGGAAGATTCCTACCATTCTGAACAGGAGGATGCATAAAGCATTTGTTTTACTTGCCTTAAGGTAAAGCTAATAGCAGGGTCCTTACAAAACAACTGCAAAACCAAAGGTTTGTGCAACTTTGAAAATGCAACATTATATTTTGTTTCTTCTGTACTTCCAAGCTAAAATCAATGAGAGAGGTGTTCAAAAAACATAAAGAAATGGCAAAATCCTCACATTTGATTTGGTCCAATCCAACATTATTATAAGGGAATCGAACTGATATTGACTTATGATTGATCATTGAATTATAAATAAGACACTCAAAACTCAATATTATAAGCAAACAAAAAAATAAATAAATAAATAAAAATCTGTCTTCCTTTCAATTTTCTTTTACATTTCATAAACTAAGTTATCCAAAAGGAAACAACAAGAAGAAGAACAAGGCATAATATAAACTAGAAAGTGCAAAAGAAAATTGCAAAACAAAGAAGCCAAGTGGAGCAGTGGACTAAATGAAGTCCTTACTCTATATTGACTTCCAGTTGAGCTGATTTAATGTATGCTAACGTACGCAGCACCTCCCTCCACCGTGCTAACGTACGCACCTCTTCTTTTTCCTTATTTTCTGTCATAATAACTTCCTTTTCATCAGCCTAAGAAAAAAAAAAACAAAACTTTAATAAAGAAAGAAAAAAAAAAGATGTAAACCGAAAAAAAATACGTTCTTTTTTCATTCTTCCCTTCCGGCGGAGTTTTTTTTTCTCTAACATGCGCCATCATCACCTGCTATTCTCAACGATCACCACCGTCATGTCTCCTTCTTCTTCTTCCTCCTCCACCTCCACCTCCAACTCCGCCGCTGGCGGCGGCGTAATCCATTCAAAACCCCTAAAAAAACCCAGTAATTCAAGCTCCTTCAATCCCCATACTTGCCCGGTGGCCAACTCCCTCTGCAAACACCCGCCGTCCGCCACCCTTGACCTCCTCATACTCATCCTCGTCCTCTTCGCCGGAACTTTCCTAGTCTTGTCCTACTTTTCCTACATATCCCAAACCATGTCTCTCCTCCTCCCTTCATTCTCCTTCTCCTTAGTTCTTTCCCTTGTCTATACTCATATCCAATCCCAGCCCATTTTCTATACATCCTTGGTTCTTTCCCTTCTGTCTGTGCTGGTTTTTTTTGAGATCTGTTGCGGGCCCAGATCAAGAAAGTGCGGGAAAATTAATTGTAAAGGGTTGAAGAAGGCGATGGAGTTTGATTTGCAGTTGCAGGGGGAGGATTGTTTGAAATCGGGGAAAGGTAATAATAATAATAAGGCTGTCAAGGAGATTGATGAGTTGCCGTGGAAAGGTGGGACTGAGTTTAACCCGGATTACGAATGCTTGAGGGCCGAATTGAGGAAAATGGCGCCGCCTAATGGACGGGCGGTGTTGCTTTTCAGGGCTAAGTGTGGATGTCCGATTGCTAAATTGGAAGGCTGGGGCCCTAAACGTGGCCGCCGGCCTAAGAAGTGAGTTTTTTTTTTCCTTTTTTTATTTTGATGTTCTCTTACTGATTTCCGGTGATGAACTCGGTATAAAAGTTGCTGGATTTTGATGTGCATTGTTGCCTGTTTTAATGCAATGTTGATAGTTGAATAGAATTTCTGGGATTGGCAATTTAAATGACAAAAACTGAGCTGCTGGTACATGAGTATACGATCAAACTGATTTGTAATTTTTTAGGGTGTCGGTGACTTGTGTTGCCACTGCTTATGAATGTAGTGTACAGACCTAAGCCTATCCACCGAGTTTGGCTACGAGGGCCACTCTTGCCTGTCGAAACTCAGATTTTGTCGAGGTTTAACTAAACGTATGATGTCTTTTCTGATAGTTTTTCGCTCATGAAGGTCTTGCATGCTGTACTAAGTTATACGAAGGTCTCCAGTGCTCTTGTCCAAACCCTTTTAATTCATGATGATACTGAGTTTGTCGTTTACTTTTTGCTTGCGATGAAAGGAAGAAAGCTATTTAGCTCCGCTGTTTGTGCTTATTTGTCTCTTTTGAAAAAGGACATGTTTGTCGGTTATGAGCTCATATAGGAATGAGTTCGCCTGAAATCTATGATTTTGATTGACATTGTCTTGTTTATACTGTTTGGGCTTGATTCTATGTAAAGATGCTAGTCTTTAGAGATTGTTTCACGTGGTAAGTCTCCTGTGTGGATATAACGCTTACTAGAAAGGCTCCGTAGCTCCAGACTTAAACTTAAACTTGAACGAAATGCAAGCTTCTTTTCCTCATTTATTCGCTAAGGAGTCTTGTTAATTTTTTTGAGAATTTGTTTCTCTGTAGTGGCTTTCTAAAAGATGAGAATGGATAGAGCTTGTTCTTCACATGTCTATTAAGGTTGCTCATACTGTAGTGCCTAATTTTTAATCTTGTTAGCTGCTATGTGGTAGTAACCCTAACCCTGATTTTGAACAATTTAGGAAACTAGTTTGGGGCGTGGTCATTAATATTCCACTGAAACCAAAATGGCGTGTTTCGCTTTATAGTGATTCATTTAATGAATTCTTTGAAGCAAACCAAATTTAGATTCAGCCCTCGATGCTGTTCGTAACCAGAATTCATCTACTTTAAAATTCAATTAGACAAATAAGAGAGTACCTGAGAAGATAATTTGAACTGGGAGTTTGAAAGTTAATTAATTAGAGGGTGAGTGATTTGTGGGATGAGGTTTGAAGATGGTTTTTATGGCCGGATCTTGTGTGTGTATGTATTTGCTATTTTCGATGCAGTTAATGTACATTAGAATAAGGAAAGATGATGTAGGCAAAATGACATCGCATGATGCAGTGGTCATTTAGGAGGGAAAACAACTGGTGAGGAAGCGACATGTGTCCGATCTTCACTCTACTTTAAGTAGGTGTATGGATTATTTGCCTTAAAAGAATGTATTTCGTTGTACATTTTAGTTTGTACGTTATATCATATTATGCTATAAGATTATTCCGCTTGAATCTAGACTTCAGAACCCTTAATTAGTTTGTACAAAACTGCAAATCTAGGAAAAGGCTGCTTTTCAATTTCATCTGTTTTCCTTTCCTTGGTCCGAAATGATAGCTTTTCACAGTGAGCCGTCAGTTTTTCCTTGCATAACATTTTCTTTTCACCATTTTAGAGTAGGTTAAGTCCTAAGTTAAAAAGAAAGACTATGACGCTATGAAATTTTTATTTGATTGTGAGTGCTATGCTGTAGACTGAAGTGTAGTGGTAAGTAACAAAGACTGAAATTGTGTTCTTAAACTTATCTGACAGATGCAAATAGAAAATCCTTGGTGTCATTTCAACTTGTTGCAAAACTTTATCATCCTGTAAGTTCCATTGCACTTGTAAAATGCATCCCGGGTATTACAGTTACGTTTTCAAAATTACTGTGACCTTGTTGTAAGTTCAACTTCCTAAATCCAAATTGTAACTTAACGTTTTTGCTTGGAGTGAAAAAAAACGCATATAACTTGTTTGTTGTGCATATGGACATTCTAAACTTTCATTTCTGCTACGCAACTGAAGTACAAAGAATAACTCGAATTGCTGTTTCTGAATAGCTGAGGACAAAAATGGGCTCCCATGTTGTTTTCTTTCATTCGTTTTTATCACTGTGGAGTCAGGCTGGATGTAGGGATCATTTTCGCTGTATTTGTCTCATAACTTGAGACATGTTATTTGCTGCCTAAGTTTGTAATGGTATCCTTAAGGAAGTTTATTGATCTCCAAGTCTTCTTGCTCGTTGCATTTCAACTGTTGAAGAAATTAATGAATTGAGTTCTGAAGTTTGTTTACTGAGATGATTTTTCTTTTCTTTCCTTTTTTTTTTTTTCCTGGGTTTGGGAAGCAAATCTTAGCAGCCTTCGCTGACCATAACTCCTCCTCAGCCTGATTACTGAAGATTGGCACTTTTTGCCTTTTTGTTACCTTTTGTACTTTATTTTTTGGGTGAATTCTTTTGAGAGTCTTTTGGATGAGAGTTTTCAACACTACGCTACATGTATCTGCTTTCTTTCCTGTTAGGAATTGTATGTTTTCTCATTCGGTTTTCTCCTGAAAAATCTTCCTGGGTAGTAATGATTTGCTGGATTATTAATTTGCAGGAGCCTGGCTCTTTACGGTGCTGGAGACCATCGCTGAGCTGACTGCAGCTGTCATGGCTGGGAGGCGCCGGTTACATCTAGTATTAGGCTGTCATTTCCCGTATGTAGTTCAAATGTTAGATCTGTCATTCTGGAATACTTGATGTATTCTTGTTTAGGAGGATTATTCAGATCTAATTTTATTAGAAACAACTCAAACTTTATAAACTTGACGGGAAGGATACCATACCAAAAGTTGGAATAAATGAAAGAAAAATAGACAATTTGTTACAGCCTCATCTTAGCCTATTAGTTCTTCAATTTTGCATCCTTGTGTTCAATTATAGCAAAAGCAGAGAGCTTTAACAACATTACATTTAGCCACACCATGAGTATCCCTCACAAAAGCAGCATCTTGAAGCGCTCTGGATCTTCTGTATCGCTTATTGTGTAACACGTCAAGCCTTTGATAAGAACAGGAACCAGTGTAAATCAAATGTTTACTTACATATCGAGTGTAAATCAAATGTTTACTTACATATCGAGCCCTCGTGAGTTGGTTACTTACTTAGCGAGCCCTAGCGAAATTAAACCCTAGCCAAGGGATAAGACAATTTTTCGTCAATTTAGTTGGTACATTCATTCATCAATGCTCAAAAAGTCAAAATAGTTCAGAATTCAGATAAAGAAGCACAAAGGCTACGAGGTTTTCTGTTCAGTCCATGAACTGCCGCCAACTTTTCTTTCAAAAGTTCGTTCGTTAACTAACAACATATGAAACTCTCTGAAATCTCTAATTCCGGAATCATTCACGCCTAATGATATCGTCTAATGAACATAGCTTTCAGAACCAATTCATCCCATGTTTCTTTCTTCATTCACCAAACTCGCAAATGTCTTTCCACCATAATTTCTCAGAATTTCCCTTTTACTGCTTCCCCATCCACCCGCTTAGCCGTTGCAGAAAACCCGAACAAACCCGGAAACGTAAAGAACGATTACGAACTCTCGATCATCTCTGCACTGAGAGAATGCTCTGCGAATTCGTGGGTTCCTCGTGGTCAACAGCTCCATGGTCATGTTGTCAAATCAGGACTTGATAGGAATGTTTTTATTAACAATAGTTTGATTAGTTTTTATGTCAAATGTGGTTGGATTCGTGTTGCGAAACGGATATTTGATGAAAGCGAAAAGCTTGATGCCGTTTCTTGCAACATTATGGTTTCCGGGTACGTGAGAGCGGGTTACATGAACGAAGCCCGCGAGCTGTTTGATAAAATGCCTGGAAAGAATTGTGTTTCTTTCACTACGATGATAATCGGGTTGGCTCAGAATGAGTGTTGGAGTGAGGCGATCCGAGTTTTCGAGCAAATGAGGTCTGCAGGGGTTTCTCCGAACGAGGTGACTATGGGGACTGTGATCTCGGCTTTCTTGCATGTGTGTGGTTGGAAGGTCGAGAAGGGTAGAACATTGCACGGGCTGGTGATGAAACTTGGACTTCTCAGACAGGTTCTTGTTTCGACTAATTTACTACACATGTATTGTTTGTGTTCGCAGTTGAGTGATGCGAGGTTGTTGTTCAATGAGATGCCTGAAAGAAATGTAGTTTCATGGAATGTGATATTGAATGGATATGCAAAGGCAGGTTTCCTTGATTCTGCTAGAGATTTATTTGATAAGATTGATGATAAAGATGTGGTTTCTTGGGGTACTATTATTGGTGGTTACCTGCAATTTGGGAGGTTGACTGAGGCTTTGTCCTTGTACCTTGAAATGATCCGTACAGGTGTAGGTTCAAATGATGTTATGATTGTGGATATGATTTCAGCTTGTGCAGAAGCCAGTGCCTTTACAGAGGGTCAACAGTTCCATGCTGTAACGATAAAGAAGGCCTTTGATTGTTACGACTTCATGCAGACAACAATAATTCATTATTATGCTGCTTGTGAGAAAATCAGTTCTGCATGTTTGCAGTTCAAACTTGGAAGCAAGCTCCATATCGCAAACTGGAATGCTCTTGTTTCAGGTCTAATTAGAAATGGAAGGCTCGATGAAGCTAGGGGTTTGTTCGATGAGATGCCAGAGAGGGATGTTTTTTCATGGAGCTCCATGATTTCTGGTTATTCGCAGAATGAGAAGCCCGAGTTGGCACTAGAGCTTTTCCATGAGATGGTTAGTGCTGAGTTCAAACCGAATGAAGTTACAATGGTTAGCGTACTATCTGCTATTGCTTCTTTGGGTATATTAAAGGAAGGGAAATGGGCCCATGATTTCATAATCAATAATTCCATCTCTATTACTGACAATCTGAGTGCAGCAATCATCGACATGTACGCTAAGTGCGGTAGTATCAGCAGTGCGGTGGAAGTGTTCACTCAAGTGAAAGATAAAACATCTGATGTGTCACCGTGGAATGCTATGATCTGTGGCTCAGCAATGCACGGGCATGCAGAATTGGCTCTCAGAATATTTTCCGATTTGCAACAGCGAGAAATCAGACCCAATCCCATTACCTTTGTTGGAGTCTTAACCGCATGTTGCCATGCAGGGTTGGTGAATGAAGGAAAGAAGCATTTTAAGAGCATGACGAGCATTTACAAATTAGAGCCTAGTGTCAAGCACTATGGATGCATGGTTGATATTCTAGGTAGAGCAGGGAGACTAAAAGAAGCTGAAGAACTAATACAAAGCATGCCTATGGAGGCAGACATCGCGATATGGGGAACCCTTTTGGCCGCATCAAAAACACATGGCAACGTGGATGTAGGAGAAAGGGCTGCCAAGAGTTTGGCTAGGTTGGAGCCTTCTAATGGACCAAGTAGAGTTCTTTTATCTAACATTTATGCTGATGCTGGCCGATGGAGTGATGTTTTTTCAGTCAGGGAAGCCATGGTTAACCAGCGATTGACCAGGTCACCAGCATATAGTGGAGTTGTATGATGTAAAAACAATGGTCCAAACTGCTCTTGTACCATTAATTATGATGTTTTTCATTCTATTGAGTTATCTTAAGTCTTGTCCAAGTCTCTCTGCTTTACATTTTTATTTTCCCGTCTGTTTAGCTGAATTTGGATCGTGTTTCTGAAATATCCATTCATTTCTTGACTCAAAGATTATGGAAGAATCTTGATTTCTCATTCTGCAAAAGATTACCTACCTGAATACAAGGTTACATATATTCTGTCTACTGACTTTATCTACAAAATTTCCAATGTTCATGAGAACTACAAGTCAATATTTAGGATGAGTTCAGCAGCTGCCCCTATTGTGCCAACACCGCCAACCCCAAGCAAGGCTAGAGCAAGCTCTTCCTCATTCCATTTCTTAAGTCCTTCACTTAGTTTCTTCAACAATTTACTGTCCACTTCTGACATCCAAGCGGGAAAGCATTCGACCATCAAGCTCAGAAATCCTGAAACATAAGCACGCCAGGTTGCTGGGTGACAGCCAACCGATATCTTGCCATCAAGGACGCTAGCTAGAAAATGAAAATGACACCCGAGAACTTTTGGGTGTCGTTTTGATGCTGATGATGTTGTATCCAACCCCCATCCGTGGGCTACACAGAACACCGTCAAGTATGCTAGGGCATAACCTCGGAGCTTTGGAACATTCATTCTAGATTCTCCATCATAATCTGATGGATGAACAGACACAAACCAGGAAGGTAGAAATTCTTTAATCAATGAATGCACCAGACCCAGTCCACCAGTTAACCATGCCAATGAAGCACACAGAGAAGCTGCTAATTTCACCCTCGTCATTGTTGTAGCAAGAGAGCCACGCCCATACTTTCCGTTTTTGGGGTTCCTTAGCTTTTCAGGTGGTTGTCCAGTGAGTCCACTGCAAGCTATGTCTTTCACGGATTGCATCAATATAGAAACAAATTCTTCTTTCAAGAACATGATATCTCTGATCGATCTGTAAACTCGTAGATAAAGAATCCCAGGGGCCACTGGAGAAAGCCCTCCATAAATATGCGATCCAAATCCATGTCCAAGAAGGGATCCAACACCCCCATTGCTTGTGATTGACTTAGTATTTAAACCAAGAGTTGCATTGAAGCAGCTTTTTAGCAGTTGAACCACTGCATCGTTGTTGTGCAGAAAGACAGTACGAGAAGCTGAAAAAATAAGGAAGTCGCTCCATCTTTTTGCCTTTTGGGTCCACAAAGAAGCAACATTTGCCATACACGGCCATGGACAACCTGCCGCAAGAGACTCCAAAGCTGGGCCTGCCAAATCGAGAAACCGCTGCGAGGATTTATCAAGTTTGTATGTTATTGTAAGGCTAACAAATGCTGCCAAGGGTAGTGGAAGTGTTGCTGGAGCGTTTCCCCCTGAAAGTGCAAGTCAGCTGTTGGAATATGGAATAACATATTAACATAACAGGACCAATAAAAGAATTGTGGCCAGGAGGACGAACCTGCAGAAAGGCTCGGAACATCAACGCCAGTACCAGCTAAAATATTCTTAATGTGTTCCTCAACATAGGAGAGATTTGTTGCTGGACTTGGCCAATCTGTGCCGTTCATGAAAACTGGTTTCCAGACACCGCGAGTTACTTCGGCAGAAAAATAACTAACTATGGTCGCCAAAGATGCAGGCAGGTAATCAGCCAAGTCTTTAAGGCCTGAAAAGGATTTCCACGTTTGAGAAGCGAAAAAAAAATAAATAAATAAATAAATTACGATATCAATACCTACATACATGAACTGGAATAATAACTTTGCTTTGAGATGCAAGTGTGTTTTAAGCTGCACTAACTTGGTGCATTGTGGAAATGGCTTTTGCAGGATTGATGGGGTAATCCTCAAGGAGATGCTGTGCAAATACTAAATTGATGTATGTAATTCCAATGTAATATACTCCATTGGACATCTAAGTTTGCTTGAGGACATCTAAGCATGATAAGTTTCATTACCAGCAGAAGCTAAAGATGGCATCAACAAACCTGTGCAAAGTTCCCGAGGAGAAAGTCTTCCATGTGCACAAGCTGTTAGAGCAGCATCAACAACAAAAGGGACAGCTTCTAGGATATCCCAGGCCGGTAATACAGGCCTTGGAAACATATCTTCACTACCTTGACCAGAGGAACTGCTACTCCCCGAGGTGATAGAAGTTACTGACTGGCTGCCTCTGCTACATTTTCTGAACATCATGTTTAGAAGTGCATCAACCGTGTGATGAACAGGAGTTCCATGAACAAGGCCTGAGAGGGGAGATGCTATGCAAGCCAGATGTTGCCTGTACCAAACTTTAAGTTTTGGGAATGAGTCTACAAAGATGGGTTTAGGGTATGAAGCACTTGCAACAGCAGAAAGTCTCCTTCTGTTTGGGTCACTTAGTGAGTTGCCAGAGGACACGAGGAGGGAGTTGCGCACAAGGAGGAGGTATTCAGGAGTTAATTGGCTACCCACTGGTGGCACGTCCCCAACTCCATATTCAATGGGAGGATGGTTAAATCTCCATAACTTTAGAAGAAGAGTAAAGGCATTGGAAAATACAGCATGCGCAGAGATTTCCTCTCCTGTTGTAAGTGTCCATGAATTATTTGGAACACAAGAGCCGAATATCTCACAAATTGTCATCAATGAGCAAGCGAGTTGTGGAACCTGACAAAAAAGTATACCATTTTCTCAGAAGTAATGTTTTAATGAAGTTCACTGAATATCATCATATATAAAGCTTTATGAATAGTTTCTACTCTATTGCAATTCTTCCTAAACTTCATGGATGAGTTGCAACGACTTACCATGCCATGAAGCGAGAAAATCTGGAAACAATCAACAGGTGAAATGCCAACAAGCAAGACGTTCAGCATAGGTGCATAACCTATCAAATGACTGTCGTTTCCATTGTAATCAGCAGGAATTGGCGGAGACAATAATCTAGTTATAAAGTAAACAGTGTGTTCCTGCAAGATCAAGTAACAAACAAAGTTACCGAAAGTTATTTGTCCAGCAGGAAAGTAAAAGAATTTGATAATAAGAAGCAATTTAGTTAGTGCTGTTCGCTTAAGAAAAAGGTCTGCATGCGGCATGCAAAATACACCAAATTGATAACCATCTGTAGGGTTTGTTCAATAAGTAAAAGGGTTTGATAAGGAATTTTCTTCATTCTGATTTACCTGGATATTCCAACCGCAAATCAAGGAGGCACCAACAAGAATACTTGCAGCAGCTACCTTCTCATCATCAGATCCTTTGACAGCTAACTCAAAGACCTTTTCTAGTTCTGCTAAACTTACATCAAATCGATGAGCTTAATTTCAGTTGCTTTACTCTTTCTAAAGTAATAAAGAAAAATGTCTCATAATGTAGCTTCGGCAAAGGAAATACTTTAGATAATAAAAGGAACATAAAAAATAATACACAGAAGCCACTGTGACGTTTATTTTAAATTGAACGTATCAAAATTCATCTTTATTCTATGAAGGGGACTAATTGTATCACTAATTAACTCCGTTGGTGGTAGTTTAATTACACAAACTGGAGTATAAACTCAGTGACAGGAAGAACGCAGGAGATATGACATTTGAATCAAAAGAATTGGAACAAACCTGGAAGCAGGAGCTGCCACTAAAGCGTTTATCAACAGTGGCGTAAGTGCAGCACCTTTCATAAAGGATGACCAACTAGGCATTTGAGTGGGAACAGTCTGAGGTAATTGATTAATGCTTCCATTCACATAGCCTGGCCAGAAGTAAGCAGATGTATCCAATAAATTTCTGGCAATGCATGCCTCAACTATCAAATGGCGGAGGTTGCCGGCTGCAAAAACAGTAAAGAACTAATTTAATTAGGTCAACACAGTAATGCCTGCTTTTATATCTTCAATTTTGTAAGAAAGCCTATCAAATTCTTGCTTCGTATTTACTCATTTTTCTTCTTTCTAAAGATGTTTAAATTCTTAGCCAGTCCACAAATATGACTTACAACAGTTTATTGGAATATCTGTCATGCTGATGGATTCGAAGTATGCGCTGCCCACATTAATGCCTGAGACGAACATCATTCCCTTTGCAGCAGCCTGGTTTGCTGCTGGAATAACAGAGTGGGTAGGAGTTAATAGCATTTCATAATCACCCAGATTCTGTAAACTGGAGACTAAATCCCTTCTACGACTTCCAAGAGGCTCTTTCATGCTGTGACTGTCCAGGTCAGAGGCAATCTCATCGCTGGGAGCAGTTTCCTGTTCTTCAATAAGATCAGCAACCACCAGAGTTGTGATAGAAAATAACATGCACAACCGTGTATCCAGGCGAGGGACAGGTCCTTCAATTGGATCCCTTTCCTACCAATAAACCCAAAGGAAATATAAATAGAACATTATTAGTTAATTGGATGGATATGGGCTAGTTTTCATACCAGATTAAGTAAACTCATTCAACCCAATGTCTTAATGCTAAAAGTTCAGCAGAAGTTCTAACCCTCTGAACAAGATGTAAAGCTGCCTTCCACAGTCCTAAGAAGGTTTCATGCCATGTGCTTCCATTGATGGCTTGAAGAGCTTTAACTAAACCTGCAAACAAAAGAAATGGAAAACTTTAAAGGAGATAACCTAATATCGAGTACACAAATCAAGTCAAGTCATCATTACAGTGTCGAACCAATTTACCAGTAAGAGTTTCAACAGCACTAGTTGCATTGACGAGTGAGTTATCCATTGCATCTTCCAGTACCAGATCAAGAGGAAGCCAAAGAGATGCACGACTAAGCCCAACACAAAGGTCAGAACCATGTGCTAGAGATCTAAAATGTGAAACGCCTGACAACTGCTTTGCAGAACGCATTCTGTACTGCCGAAGCATAACCTTGTCATTTTCTGATAATAACTGCAGAAGAGCCTCTGGACTCAGAAGTTTAGAATTTCTTATGGCTGTTGAATGGGATGCAAGCAGCTTGATTCGCTGGACAAAACTGCACCATTGTGCTGGACTGAAAAGGCAGCAAGCAATCCTTTAGGATGAAATCCGGCATATTCATCTTCAAAATGTGGAACGTCCAGTTTTTAGTTCAAAAAAAAAAAAAAAATCATTTTTTTAAAAACATGTGGATCACCTAAATCTCAAGCGTCAACTTCCCAATTTGATCTGTTCATGTTATGAAAACCAGAAAACAAGGTACTAGTTTAACCAGACCAGAAATTATGTGGCATCTGCAGTAATACAAATACGCTTCTAGTCTTGTATAAATAGCTTTCTGTATGCAATGCAAAGACATAAATTTTCAAATACGTCCAATGAAGGATGAGAAATGGGACAATAAACATAAGACTTCCATGCATCACATATCAAATATTTGCTATGCAGCAACTGATAGAAGAAAGTAAATTTACAAGGAACGAAGTTCTAACATGTTTTTGCGAGCCAAGTAAAGAATCCTGGAAGTTACTTTGTTATGCAGAAATTGACCAATCAACTCTATTGCCATGACAGTATTAGAACTCCTCAACCTCTCTCTGAGTTCAAGCCTCAATCCATCAGAACTGTCATAGCAATCTATCTCCATATCTGGTGGTTTAGTAGGCCATCCAGATTTCTTTTCAGTAGTAAACTGTAGCAAGCCTTCATCATCCAAGGTTGCATCAACAAACTGCCAAACAAGTGAATAGATGATCTCAATGATAACAACCCCAGGCTCATTCACTGTCTGGTCAGTTATCTGGCAATGGAGAATGTTACTTAGTGAATTCCTGATCCTGCAAAGATGACAGGTTATAGGTATTACATTTTGCGATTCAGAGAATATTGTACTCACAGGAATTGCCTGAAAGATTTTTAAGCTCTTGTTTATCCATCATTTGCAATTATCAAATGAGCATCTGGCAGGTTGAAACTTACTATAGTCTAATGTCTTATAATCGAAATCCCTCATACATTAAGATGATTATGCAGAACTCATTTCCCCTGTTCAAGAAGCCAAACAGTAATTAACAACAATGTAGATCTTATGGAGGAAATAAGTACTCACTTCTGGTAATTTGGCAGATTTAAATGACTTTTAAATGAAAAAGCATGTATCTTTACGAGTTCCATGTAAAGCCTAAATGCCGCTGGCCACACATGTCGATTTGGGATTACCCTGCAAAGTTGTACCGAAAACATATTTAGTGCATCTTAAGACATAAAACACAAAATGCAGCAGCAAAATTTGTTTCTCGTTACAATGATTCTGCAAGATATTAAAGGAACACACTATCAATCATCCCAGATGAGGTTGAAGTACCAAATACAGTCACAGTTTAAAAGACAGGTTAAATCAGTTATTCAGGAACCACATTCTTCAATTTCTATCTGAAAAATGATTTTTATATATTGATGCAAGGTGGGATCCAACCATGCTAAACTAGTCTACCGCATTTCCAAAAGCAGCAACACATTCCAGAACCTGCCGGTGTTCCTTCAGAAATGCCAGCAGTAATCTGACTTCCACTTTACTTCTGTTTAGTAAATACTCATCTCACTGATTCAATTATATCATTTCCATCATTCCATGTCATTTCAAGTATATTCAATACTACTCAAGTACTATTTGGAGTTTATCTACCAGCATCGCAGCGAAAATTGCATCAGATGATACAATTAATCACTTGCCAAAAAAGATATTTTCTTCAACTGGGTTTTTTGGCTTGTGACTGCAGGTATAGTGTTTTACTGAGGTCATTTAACGCTTGTCCAGCTAAACTTTAACTTACCAACCTAAAGGTCCCAAAATACTATACAAAGCTATTGAAGAAAGGACCACAAAAGAAAAGTATGATATTTTGTCTGGAGAGTGAATTCTAACTCAAATAATGTCCATAGCACATTTCATGGATAGAACCAATGAAACCCAATGTTGAGAAGGAGAAGAAGAAACAAGAAGAACAGCACGAAACAAAAGAATTTTTTTGCCTTTTCTCAGAGGAATCAGCATAATGCCAAAAGCAAAAGAACAAAATTTAAAAGACTGTGGCAATATCAATGTGGATTGAAACCAATCAAGGTCATCGTTTTCCCAGAATATACTGTTCAACAAAGGATAAAAAATAAAATGGAAATTTCAAAAATCACTTATGGGGCCAGGAACATCATCAACCTAATTTTAGGGGGAAAAGGAAGCCATTGTTTTCCCTTGAAAGCTTTGATCTTTGGAAAATGCAGACTGTAGCTAAACTACTTGTTCTGAAAGAGGGCCCCTCGCAGCCAAAAATATACAAGTTGATCAGAGTACAAAATTCAAACTTTTTCCTGTCTTTTGGGCAAAATCAAAGCTAGGACACTATCAAAAGCACTCATCTTTGACATTTCTTTGCTGGGTATATGAAATTACGACTATGGGACAAACTTGGTAGGTGAAACAAACCCCAGCATTGTCATATGATTCATAAGTATTCAGTGTTTCATAATAATTCAGTCAGCATTCAATGAATTTTTAAGCATTAATCACCCCAACAAACAAAAGGGATTCAGCAAAATGCAAAAAGATTGTTACTTGCTGCAAGGAAAATCTTCATATAGATTAGAAGGAAATGAAAACAAGAAAGATCAAGGTGCAGAAAGAGAACCTTGAGGAAAGCAGAGCAAGAAGAGGAAGAGAAGGGACAATCTTGAAAACCAGAGCTTTCTCCAAGAATTTCCAGGCTATGGGGACATTGTTATCCCAGAAAATATATGAAACCAAGAAGTTGGCCAGCTCAAAAGAAGGGAAAGACACCCCTGAAGAGCTCAAGATTGAGGAAACTTGAATTGCCCATGATGAAGGATCACCTCCATTTTCTTGGGCTAATTTTGTTACCTCCAAAACACCATCCCATAAGCTGGAGAACTGATAGTTTGATTCAGAGAACTCCATATCAAAAGAATCCCTTCAACTACTACAATATCTGATTATGTATGATTCATCATTCTGTACTTTGATTCCTTCTGCTTCTTTCCTAGTGTTTGTAAAAATGTGTGAGATTGAATGGAAAAGAATGCCTTCAGGAAAGAAGCAAGATGGTTTGTTATGTTGCTGATGAGACTTTAGGATGGCTAGCTAATGGAAATTTGCCAATGTTGTTGGTCTGAAATGAAGAAGTCAAACTAAACTCAAAGGGGGGCTTTTGAAGAATATTTAAAAACCAGAAGAGAGATGAGAGAGATCCAGTGAGGAGGGGATCCAGTGGGGAAGGGGGACATGGGAATTAAAATAACAGTTTTAAGAAAAGTAAAGGCTGTTTTATAGTGTGTGTATATGTAAAAAGAATTGTTTCATTTGTCTGATAGTCTCTCATCAGGTTATGATAAACTTTTTTTGGAGGCTTTTCAGTCCCACACTCCAACCACATTCATATAAGTGCTGTTTTTTTGTTTTTTAGATTTCTTACTGCTTTGAGCTAATAAATAAACTTTACTTCATTCGGTTTCATTGGAAGTTGAAAGGTTAAAAAGTTTGAAGGTGTATGATTCAGTTTAACCTCTCTAAGTTACAGAAAAGGGAAAATATCTCTCTTCCATTTGGGTTCAATCAAGGATTTAAACCACTTGATCATAAATTTTATCTTTTAAGAGAATTGTTACAACTATTAGATCATCGACTAAACTATTGATCGATTGGACTATAAGATTTCCCTTGATGAAATCCAATGTATACACAGTATTAAACTTATACGATTGTTCATAGCAAATTTAAATGGGTTGATCGTCTTATATTTAATAATTGTATCAATAACGTACAAACAAAATTAAATTGTTTTACTAGTGGAACAATAGGGACATTGATATGAATGAAGGGAATCAATGACAAGTTCAAAAAACTCTCTCAGCCAAGAAGATACAAGTAGAAGTGAAATATGCACTGAAATTTGTTGTTTGGAATTTTACCAAGAATAGTGTATTGTTTTTATGCTATTTACCGTTGCATGTGATCCTACTGCAGCAGGTTGGCGTAACGTACGCACTGAAACTCATGCCTCTGAACTGGACAACTAATCCATTTATGAAAAATACATTACTTCTGAAAATTTGGTGGAATAATCACAATGATACAACTTATAAGCTTCCAAAATGGTCAATCCAGAATGTCTGCTACTCTTGTGATTGTGAATCAGGAGATTTTTCTGCATGATTTGTTGTATTACACTCTCCAAAAAGAAAAACAAATTTACTGAAATGAACATGTAACAACAATTAAAACCTCTGCCGAAAGAAGTTGATCTTAGGAAAAAAAAAAACTTATCCGGCTCAAATTTAGAGTAGAAATCGGAGTACCTACCCGGCTCAAATTTGGATTAGTCAGAGCAAAGATTTCAGATGCGTAATATAAAAAAAAAATAGAAATCGGAGTAATAGATACATTTTGAAAGAAAAAATGGTAAATTTGCTGGTGTTGTGCATGGAAAACTATAGATGTTGACAAAACGAATTTCTAGCCTTAATTAATTAAAAGAAAAAAAGACTTGACAAAATAATTGGCTCTCTTCATTGATTAACATTAATTCAACCTCTGGATGAGGTGATTAGGTAGGCTCTTCAGGTTGACTTGTATAACATGCTGGATTTCACACAAGATTATTATCTTATGACTAGTTTTAGTCTTACTATCTGAAATTAAAAATGTGGAAACCAAATCATAGGTCAAAGTGTATATGATGGCTGATCTATCATTAATAGTAAAATATTAATGTAGTTAGTTGTTTACTGTTGAAGGAAAAAGTGAAAGTGAGAAGTCAATGGTTAAGAATTATTTTACTCAAAAAAGATTTTAGTTTTTGAGAACTTCCTTGTCATTAGACAAACTGGATGTGAAAATTTCACATTATCAAAACATCCTTAACTTTGGCTTTAGAATTTTGTGTTTACAAATTTAACAATGAAAAATATTTTTTGTCGTATCACAAATTGTCACCCATCGTCTCTACGCAAGTATGTTATTTCCAAGCCATTTGCATTTCCATTTTATTTTCAATTGGCTCTCTCTTTGATTTTTCACAACTCATGATTTTCACTTTCTCTCAGAGTTGAAAGTACAATTCCACATATTGAAAAAAGATTATGTAGTAGTATGGTGGTTAGGGGTAGGTGGAGATGATGACATGGTGACATCCCTTTCATAGTTGGTCCTTAATGATATTTACACAAAGCTTTTTTTGCCTTTTGCCTTTAGGTATGGAAAGCCAACCATTTTCATCTTCCCCTTTTTCCACTAAGGTTCATTTATAGAGAGAGGCTAATGACAACAAAAAATTATTCTTTTCTGCTGTTTAGAATAGTAGTTTTTGGATGATCATATCCTTTTGCCTTTGGTAGGTAAGCACTAGTGACTAACTAAAGGCTGTTTTTTAATGTGATACTCCATCCATATATATAGGGAAATCATAGGGGGGGAAAAAAATTTTATAATGGCCCTATCACCATCCCAATTTCACAATCAATGTGGAATACTTCAATAATGCTTGATGATTCTAAAATCTTTTCTTCACAAATTAACAGCATAAATGTTTTATTAGACTTGTTTTGTTTCAAATCAACCGTAACTGTATAGAACTGGTGAATCTTAAAAAGCCATAATCGTAACTAGATAGTTTTCTTTTTATGCAATTTAGATACAAAGTGATCAAACTTATCTGCTTGATCAATAACCACTCAATTTTCAACTACTACATTAACAAGAATTTGGGAATTTGTTGATACGTAATGTATCTCTTCACTACTCCATATATAGACCAACACAAGTATTGATATCAAAAGACATTTTCTTCATGGGTCAATGAGCTCTGAAAATCTTTGGCATAAGTTACAATATTTGACAACTGACAACAAATTCTTCAAGAAAAGACTAATTATGATAAAAGCCATGATCATTTCTACATCCAATTCATAGCTGGACAAGTAGTAACCATAAAAAAGTGGATTAGGTGAAATGATTCAGTCGTGCACTAGAAAGATATATAACTGCCCCATGAAAAGGTACAAACAAGTTGATGAGTTTTGAGCGTGGTGAATGGGGGAATGGGTATATAAATTGACAAAAGAGTAATGGATGATGGATCAAAAGATACTATGAGCTAGTTGAGATATTTGAGTTTTTTTTTTTTTTTTCATTCCAGATGTTAAGTTGGGAGTTTTAGGTATTTTTATTGCTTCATCAGTCTCGAACTAAAAATAGAAACCTAAACTGAATAATAATTTCATGTCAGAAAAAGTATTACCTTATCGCTACAAAGTTAATATGAAACTAATACAATGAAATATAACTATATGAAACTAATACAATGAAATATAACTAGTGACATCACTCATCTATTCACACTCCATTCCAAGTAAAAGCATTTTGTTGCGTTACATTAATTGAATTTCATTCTTGTTATAAAAAAATAAAAAAAATAAAAAAAAATAAAAAACTCGTCATGCAATAGAATAGGAGGGTACACATTGTACATGTTATTACAACATCTCACCAACCCCTTTGTTTCACTTTCAGCACAATTTCCTTCTTCTAAGTTATAAAATGCCAAATCATGGATGAATGCTAGCCAGTAAGGGATTGAAAATGAGGTTTGCTAATGTGGGCAATGCTTTGATGGAAAGACAATTTTTTGAAAGTAAAGAAAAGAAAACAGTTAAAAAACGGCAAAGGCAAGCAAACTTAATTGGGTGGCAACTACTACTACTATACCACTATAAGAGAAAGAATGAATTTTTTAAGAGTAAGAAAAACAACCCTAGACATATCCTATTTTTGGACTGCTTTTCTTATTTTGGGTGGTTGGTTCATGATGAGTAGTAGTAGTTTTAGTGGCCCAAATCACCCATGTTGCTCCACTATCACCCTCCATCAACCACTTCCTCAACAGTGACATATTTGAGGTTTTAAAATAGTCTCATCCATTTTAGAATAAGGTCCTGTCTGTTAAACTCTTTCATCAATCTCATCCTAAATTTTAGAATGAAGTTTCCAAATCCTTTTAGGGTTAATCGCATCAATCAACTAAAGAAAGTCAGCTGTTAGATTAACAGTTTTAGCGTATGATATGTGTAGTCAGAGAACTTCTCTCTTGTTTTCAATAAGTCACAGGTTCGAGTTAACGTTATGAAAGACAGCTTAAAAACGAAATTTCATTACTTTAGAGTAGTAGAGGCAATCAAATGCACTTCGCATCGGTAGTGATACTTACTATGAACAGATATTTTACAAAAGAAATCTTGTAAAAGTCTACTGCCAGTGTTTTAGGCCTTAAGGTTCTTGATGACTAGAAATCTTCATCAAGCTTGAATACAAAGTTCTTGGGATTTGTATCTTGCAAGCTTGGCATGACAGAAGCCTTCTGATATTCACCGACCCTCCTTTCGAAGAAGTTTGTTTTCCCTCTGTTACAGCAGAAAATGAGTTGAACACAAGGGCAAAAAAGCTTCAACATAATAAATCGAGAAGCATTCAAGAGACAGTAGTTTCTAATTTAACAACTTTCTTGGCATGTGTAGTGTAGAAAACTGCAGTTAGATGCAATCACTAAAACATCACGAAGCACCAACAGAAAAAGAAAGGCTATTGAGTTGAAAATCAAATGTTCAGATAAGTTTCTTCATAAATATCACACAAAGTTTTCCGTACAAGCCACTTAGTGGTAACAGACAGATTCTCCTTAAGTTTTGACACACTTACTGAAGGGAGATAAACTCCATCCACTCAAAGGGGTTATCAACGCTGTATATTTTCTGGTAACCTAAAGCAACCTGTGAAGCAAGACCAAATGATCACTTCCTAATTAAAGATGGACACTCAGGTAATATCAAATGATAAAGGGCACATCCACCAAAACAACGAGCACTAACTTACCAATAGCCGGTCCGCTACAAACTTGATGTATTGGCTCATCAGTGTAGCATTCATACCAATCAAGGCACAAGGAAGGGCATCGCAGACGAACTCAATCTCTATTTCAACTGCCTCATGGAAAATTTGTTGAACTTTTTGCCAAGACACTCGCTTCTTCAACAAGCTGCAGAAATATTAACTGATAAGGTATATCCTGAAGGTGATGGGTTCTACTAGTAAATATTTAATGCAAATCTCTTTTAAGATTTCCAGTCGTGAATTCCGTTTAGTGCTACAAAAGAATGGCATGAAATGATAAACAGACCTGTACAAGAGGCAAGCGAAGTCACAGTGCAGACCCTCATCCCTTGATATAAGCTCATTCGAGAATGTCAATCCAGGCATCAATCCCCTCTTTTTAAGCCAAAAAATGGCACAGAAGCTGAGAAAACATCATGTAACTTAGAGGGACATAGTGAGATTACATGAGAAACCAATAATGTGCCACCAAGTGCATACCTTCCAGAGAAAAAGATTCCTTCAACGCATGCAAAGGCCATAAGTCTCTCAGCAAACGTGTTGGAACTGCATGAACACATACACAGCCATAATGAGCACCAGTTGGGTACTAGAACTCCAGAAGACAAATGCATGAATCCAAAATGGCAAACCAAACTGATGTAAGAACACCATCCACAACACAGCCTCTCCAACCCCCCCCCCACCCCCCCACCCAATCCAATGGTGAAAATCCACTTCTCCTGTCTCTTTCTCCCCCAAAATTTTCTGGAAAAAACCACCACCAGTCAATGCCGAACCAAATATTGCATTACCTCTGAATCCAATTCAAAGCCCAGTTGGCCTTTTTGGCCACACAAGGAACATTTTCCATAGCATTGAACAATCTATTCTTTTCCCTGGAATCTTTGATATAAGTTTCCAACAGCAAGCTGTACATCTCTACCAATTGAAAGAAGAGAAATTTCATTATGAGAGACCCCCAGAACGCACATTCATTGAATGGCAATACTGCTGATTTAAACTATTACCAGAATGTATATTTTCAATGGCAATTTGAAAACCATAAAATGCACGAGCCTGAAAAGATAACAAGCCAGATCAGTCAGTTTTAGGGATGATCAAAGCCACATATCAAAAGGTAAGTGAGAAAAGAAATCAAATAACACATCAATTTTCAGTGACTCTGTTCTGTACCTCTGGGATTTGGACATCTTTCAAGAACCTAGCAGCCAAATTTTCTAAGACAATGCCATCTGAAGAAGCAAAAAAGGCCAGAACATGGCTAATGAAATGCTTCTCTGACTGAGACAATGTTTGCCAATGTTGCACATCAAGAGAGAGATCTACCTCCTCAGCTGAAACAATAAGTACATTTCAGAACACTTACCCATAGAACAGAAGCACTGCCTTCTACGAAAACGAAAGGCAGAAAGAATCTAGTTTTAAATTATAATTCATTGAAGAAGAAGAAATTGCAAACATAATTCAAATCCAGAATAAATTTCAAGCACAAATTCCTAGTCTCCTTAATATGAAAAAGAACAAATGAAAAGGCAGGGCTCAATTTCAGCCAGAAATATCAGCTGACACCACAACAGGGGAACGTCAAATGAAAGACGTTTTCCCACCTTCTTTTCCCCTAAGGAATTTAAACAAGAAAAGATGAAGGGCCAAGACATACTTTATGTGCCTCTAAGAAGCTTGAAAATTAAATTCTCATCTTCAAACAAGAATGTCAGAAGATGGTTGTCTCAGTAAACACCAACACGCTGCCTTCAACCATGGTAAATATTGTGCCTTTCTTAGAATGAGATTACCATCAAATGATGTCGATGGCTTAAACCAGACATCAAGATTAACTAGCTAAAATGGTCATATCCTAAATAATTATTTGATTATGGTAATATTGCTTTGCACATCAAACACATCAACAAAAACTCATCTTATTGAGTTCAGCGTTCACAATATATGTGCAATTCCTCCAAGTCAACTTGCAAGGATTTATCAATTTCTAAAAGCATGCAACACTGTAGATAAAGGTTTCGAGTACAATCAAGAATCTAATTTTGCATCATTCTACAATCAAGTAAAGCTTTTAGGGCAATGGCCCACCCAGACCAGGGAGGCTAAGGCTGTAAATGCAATCATGAAACCCGTCTAAATAGTTTCAACAACCACCATTATAAGAACAGCAAAAATGCTTACTAAAAATAAAGCATTGAAGCAAAATAACATTTAAGATGTCTACAATTGCAAGAAAGTTGCTCAAGCAAGCTTCCCTATTTCTATTCTTCTCACAGTTAACATAATCGTCCGTAAATTATACACATTCTCGAAATACACCACATTTTATGCCAATCCGGGAGATTTAGCATTGGTGGCCTAGCTGGAGGGAAGAACATATTGTGTGTTGGTACAACAACTTTAAATCTTCCACTGTTACCTCCAAACTTTATACTGTTTCCTTTAATTCGGAGGATACTAACTGTTGTGTAGCTTTTGGCTGCCCAACAAGAGGTAATTCCGACTGTCACTGAGTACATTCTAAAGGAGACCAGGTTAAAGAAAGGTTGTCCCACCACAAAAAGAAACTCAATAACTAAGTCGAACAATGCATTGCATGATTCAACAACTTTTACATTAAACTTTATCTGCTCCCCGAAACCAGAACCCTCAGTTCAATGTTTAAGCTAGATTACAAATTTGTTTTTAGCAACAGAACAGTGGCATCAAAATCCAATCTTTGGGCACCTTATTCTTGATAATTCCCAAAAATGGAGTAATTCACGCAAAACAGCTTGAACCTCAAGAACCAATTTTGAAACACAAAAACCGGAAGAAAAATTACAATCTGAGCAGGGTCCAAAATCCCACCACAATCCAATCACACAAACCCCCATATGTCAGAAGTCAGAACACATGAGCCAGCACATTGTGATTGTTTTACAACAAGAAAGTGAAATTCAGTAATATAAGAAATAGAACCTGTCCAGAAACTAGCTATAGCCTTCTTGTACATCTCCCAAAGCTGTGGGTATTTAATAGGGAACATACAGAACCTTTGAGATTGTTCCATTAATATGGGTTCTTCTTCCTCTTTTTCTTCCACCACCTCATGGAAATTCCTCGCTGTTTCATCTCTCAAAGAACCCATTTTTTCTTCTTCCTTGCAAACAATTCCCTTTTCCCTTCCCCTATAATCCTAACCTCAATATATCATCACATCAATGTGCCCACAAGTGAATACAAAAAGGGCTATTTCAGAAGAGATAAAAAGGGTGGATACAGAGTGAAAGAAACGGAGGAAAACCCCTACAAAAACCCTCCAGATAGAAGAAACCAACAGGCAGGTTTTGCTGGTTGCTGTCAAACCACAGAATTTTCCTACTTTTTTAAAAAAAAAATTATTTTTTTACTGGGGGCAATTTGCATGAAGAATTGATGCTGACATGATGGAAGGCTTGTAGAAAACACCTGCAATACAAACTCCTGAACGGCGTCGTGTAGATCTTATCCAATGTGGGATAATTTTATTGTTTTTAGAAGCAAGTCAAGTAGTCCAAACTAGGATTTGGGTTTCTCCTTTCCTAGCTTTTAGGGCCCAATTTTAAGGTCCATACTTAAAAGATTAAGGTTTTAAGCCATCCACGACTAATCTAGATTTGAGTCGAATGCGCCAGAAAAGTTTTGATCGAAGTCATGTCCTTATGCTAAACTAAAATTTCAAAACATTATGATCATTTATTCCTAATTAAACATATCGAATACTTCAGACATCAGATGCGTAATATACCAAAAACAGATCGAATACTTTTTGCCAAAAATGATATTTTCTCTGTCCCAGAAAAATAGTTCACACTGAACTTTGAGATTTGTACTATTTTTATTAGAAATCTCAAAACTCAATGTGGATTATTTTTATCGTCTACATTATAACTCGTGTTTTTATATTCTCCTATGAAATATCGTGTACTCGCGTGAGCCATCTAATTTTTTTACATATAAAAAAAAATTGTGTACAACTCATGTCCCCAAAAAATAGTCCATATTAAATTTTAAAATTAGTACTAGAGTTAATATTGATCTTAAAACTCAATCTGGATTATTTTTATAAGAGGGAGGGAGTAATTTTTATAATTATCTTCATTTGACCAATGAATCATTTCTCAACTTTATTGTAAATGTAATTTAACGATGGTAGTGGTGGGGGTTTCTAACTTACAAATAATTTTTTGTTAGCACAAAATATATGCGTACGTTCAATTCGGTACAGAGAAATGTCAGTACAAGGAATCAAAGTGTGTAGGCATGTAGCAGAACGACAAAACCTTAATTAAGTACTGTAGTAGATTCTCTTAATACAAGCAAATTTCACTGCTCAAACATCAAAGAAGATGATGAGGAAGAAAACTCGTTGATGTGTTATGATGGATCAAAAGAATAGTTGTATTGTTGTTGGTTTAAACCAACCTACTCTTAGAAAGTAGTGTCGAAACACACCCATTTTAACTTTTAACTTCTTCCAGTTAAAGTTACACATTCCTAAGAACATTGTATTTTCATCTACACTTACGTTCTTATTAATCTGAGTCATATAAAGGGAACATTTGTTCTTATAATTTAATATTATTTTGAGTCAGAAACTCATAGACGAACTTGTTTTCCTGTAGTAATATTTATTCTGTTGCATTACCAAATTAATCCGACTCCTCTCCTTGTTGTATTGGGTGGAAGAACAAAGAGGGTATGACAAAATCAAGATCAATGCGACATGACAAAAAAGGATTGGGATTCAATTGCACTGTAACCTGATAGTGCAATGTCGAATATGATGATCATTGATAAGGGGAAAAAAAGAAGCAAATTCATATTCGTTTTATAACATTGATCGAGTTGATTGAATGAAATTAAACTTCAGAAAGAATTTGATTAGTACAATTAAAAATTTACAATGCTCATTTCTTTTCTAGGGACGAAAATAGAATTCCGAGTACAAACTTAGATGGAATCCTACTTTATACAATTCAAATTTACTTTGTGCAATTCTTTTTTTTAAAAAAAAATGACACGATCTAATGTGTATTATATAATTGTATGAGATGGAGAGATTTCAGAAAGAAGTAAAAATTTAAAGCTGAACTCGCAATATCTCTTATAACACAGAAGAGTCTCTATTGGGATGAAATACTCTGCAATTCCATCATTTCTTCTCCCCTAGAATGTCTACACACCCTTAACCTAGGTAAGATAGAACCCACCAGTGTCGGACAAGTATAAGATGGCAATAAACATTAGCCTGATATGATTGAAGTAGTTGTCCTCATTTACATGGATTAACATAAAAAAAAAAAATGAAATCCTCGAACGCAACCACATAAAGAGCGCACTTTACCAGCAAGGAAAAGTTAAGGCAGACTAATTCTTGTAGTCTGTGTATGGGACGAGATTGTATTTTTCATTTGAGTAGTACTAGAACGGATGCAATGGCAACAGTTAAAATAGTATCAAGGTGAAACAAACCGTTCATACTCGCAGATCGGGGTGTATTCGAGTTGAGTCGAGTCAAGTAGTAATATACATGCTTACAACTTCTAATTTCTAATACCAAAGATAAGATGGCCAATTAGTTTAACAAAATAACCCCATAACACCTATTTCTAATTTTTATACAGTTAATGCACAAAAGATCATCTTAGTCATCAACAAAATCCACCTAAATCATCAGAGATCATCACGCCACCTTTTTGTATTGTTTATTATACATCTTAATATCCAATAGATCCATCTTCAAAATCAACAAAAGTTCACCATACCAACCTGCAAAAGAGATTGACAAATAACAATAATATGATTCCTCAGTTTTTAATTTTTCACCATCAAAGTAAAGACGTGCACTTCACGTGAGAAAAGTTTAGCTTGGTATTTCATAAGCTCTTGATAAACATTATCAACAGTCATTATAATGCACCAAAATCAATCTATCAAACTCTATAAAATTAATCATGTCCACCATCTCATAATTTTTTTGGTTTCCCTTTCAACACAAACAATCCACTCAAACTCTAGTTCAATAAAGATCAGCTAAAACTATAATTAAAGTTGAGAAGTTATATCAAGAAACATTTCATATAAACAAACTAAATTGATCTGAGATTGAAATCATAGATAAATTCCATAAGTAACATTAAGAAACCTATTACGTTTGATAAGATGCATGCTCAAGAAAGTAACAAGTTAGAAAATGAAGATGTACCTAGTTTGTGCAGCAAGACTAGTGAATCTATCATTTAAGAAGCAGAATTTCCTTATCGGACTTCTCTTTCTACAAAACAAAAGAAGTAAAAATCAATCACGAATATAATTAGTACTAGCACCAGGCAGAAGTTTAACTAAACTAAACTAAACTTACTGTTATTTTCTTCTTCACCCCATGAAAATTCCTACACCAATCTCCACCACACATCAAGAACTCCACTGTTTTTGTAAGAGTAAGGCACGATGAGTATCAATAACTCTTGTATCGACACTAAAAGTGGCTTCCGAAGTTATAGGAATCGCTAACACATCACTAGCAATTTGAGACAAAATCTTGTACTATGACTTGAGGAATTGCTTACACATCACTAGCAATTTTAGCCAGTAAGAGAAAACCTGGTTGTGGTGCACTTTGAGATATCTGAGAATGTGTGTTGCAACCATCCAATGAATTTCCTTAGGAGCTTGTAAGAATTGGCTAAGTTGCTGTGTAGCATGAATCAAATATATTTCCTTAGAGCATCCACATCAGCCGTTCATGGAGGAGTTTATAACAGACAAATGGCCCACTCTTCTCCATGAACGGCCAAAATGCCATTGTGGGCAAGTGGAGGCAAAAAAAGGTTTATGTTCATAAACCTACAGAAAAGTGGGTTGGGCTGGCCATGTTGCTCACAAAAACAAAAGAAAACAACACCACATCATTTTCTGGGCCCATTTTTTGTCCCTTTTTTTCCTATGCCAAACGGCTGTTTTCAATTTTTGACAACAAAATGGCCTTTTTTTGTTTTTATTTTGTTAAAATTCCTTGTGGTAAAAAAAAACTCCAACGGGTAAAACTTTAAGTTTGCAACGGCTAAAAATATTTGATGTATTAATTTTTATGCATTTTTTTATTTTGAAATTTTCCAACGATAATAAATAACAATTTTTCAATTAATTATCTTTTTTATATTAATTAATTATTTAAATTTCTAATAAATATTTAATACTAATTAATTATTCTGAATTCATTTTCTATTTTAGAATTTATAATTTGTAATAAAATTAATGTAATTTTATAGTGGGTCCATGGTAGGTCCTTTTTATAAACTTGGGTATAAACTAGGATGGTTGTGGGAGGAGTTGTAATAGAATTTAATATTAGTTGTTGTTAATAGAATGTTGACGTGGACTGTTTATTGAATTTGGTTTGGTTTATGAATAAAGTTGCTCTTAGAACATTCTCAATGCTTTTACTCCTTTAAGTATTAAAAAAAAAAGATAGTCCCAAATTGAGCACTTGTACATTATAATCAGATTACATGGTTTTCAAAATTTTTGCCCACTGCTGTTACCAATTTATGTTGTCCCACAAGCATTAGTATTGGACATATATATATATCAAACGGCCCCACCTCTGATTCACTTTTTTCAGAAAAAAAATCCGGTAACAAATAGAAGAGCATGTATGTGCAAAATACTCTCCACAATACTCTGAAGTAAAAGTGGGCGTAACTGGCCCAATTTTCAATGCCAGTTACCTCACACTACAGATGTTCTTAGAGCATCCTCAACGCAGGGTAATTGGTGCTTGATAGCCGTGCCAATTGCCCCTCAATATACATGTATCCATTGCATACCATGTTGAAAGAAACACACGTTGCCTCAGAACAAACTTCTCTCTCCATCAGTAATTGTCAGAAAATGTGGGCCACCAATATACTTTTGGAAAGCTGCTATTGTCATAAAATAAAAATTTAATGAAAAAAGGGCCACATATTTTACTAAATTAAAATAATAAGCATTGGAGAAAAAAATTGCTTTTACTTGAAACTGACATAGTGGCTGAGCTGGAGACTATTGGGACCACATTTTACACTATTGCATTGAGGATGCTCTTAGGAGAATGTGTGTTGCAGCCACCTATGGTATTTTTTTTTGGACATAATTATTAACTAGCTTGGATGCACCGCACAAGGTGCGGTGTTTGAAAAAATTTACCCAGGTGATGATATTAAAGATATTGATTCGCCAATACTTTCTTGGTTTTAGTACAACTTGTATTATAAATAAAACTATTGAAACTATTGTCAGTTTTTAGTATGTTTCTATACACATGAAAGAAATCTCAATTTCCTCAGGTATATTAATAGCAAAATGCACATCTCTACAATGTATGTAAAAGTTCTCATACTATTCCTATCTGGGCAATTTAGGAACTGATTTTTATTTTTCTCCATCTACATTCCTACGGGTGATGTAGTGCTGTTAACACTAGAGTTATCAAAACTAAGATTAGGCGAAAACTCCCACTCTTCATCACTGGGAGTCTTGGGCTGCTTATCTCGCCTTGAAAGTTCTGGGGATGCTGCAACATGTAGTGTCTTTAATTCTTGATGCAGCTCTTGCCTGACGCGTATGTATCTACGTCTTCCACTCTTCCCTAGTGCATAATTTACAACAACACAATTGTATGAATTCTTTGTTGTTGAAGCGTATAATTCTTAAATATTTTTTCAAATCTCTTTTTCTTTCGTTCTGAAATCGTCATATTCTTGTTATCTTTCATCAAAATGTTACAAAAAATATTTTATAGATGGTGAAAACAATCGCCAAACATAAAAAAATCTATAACAATATGTGAAAATAAATCTAAAGGCAAGTCTTCTCAGGTAATAGGTTCCAGGTTAGTTCGTCACATATAACAAAAAAGTGAAAAGCATAATTTAGAACAAAAATGATCAGGCTCAAAACTGGATTTCTACATGGTTATCAAATGAGCAACCCTAGCACTCCTACGAACCAAGTAAATTTGCCACTCAAGTAAATTTTGAAAGAATTTTAAACCTTTACTCAAGTTGTTTTCACTTGCATATGGTGATATATGAAGGACGACTGACATCTTCTTTCACTGTTTTTTTCTTAACTATATAATATGATATATGAGAGCTAGGTGCAGACTGTATTCTTTAATACTATATTAATTTAATGAGTGAAAGATGACAGTACATATAAGAAAGATGCCAATACATACTGGAGATATTCTTATTAAGTATACCTAATTATCATGCGCATTTTTCCCTCCCCTCACAACCCTAGCCGCCCTCTCTCTTAAAAATTTTCTCCTTCCCCGTCTTCGCTCGTGGGTGGACGGGGAACTGATTTGATTTTTGTTTATTTCTTATTATTTGCATTGTCTAATAAGTGAAATTTGTCCCAAGGTATTGTTCCTTCAGTAGATCAATTGTGATCTATTGAGAAAGTAGGGTTTTTTATCGCAGGATTTGGCTTTTTGTTGCAGTATTCGTGGTGTCTTCTGTATGGTTACAGCGTTGTTCGTGATTTCATTCGTTGCTTCAAACTGTGCGATTCGAGAAAATTCAGTCATCGTAGATTTATTTGATAGATCTATGAGTCGGGGCCTTCATCAAATGATTAGAGATATATTCTTGATCAGATTGATTATCTGGTACGTGATATATCCATCGTTATATTGGGTAGATTTAGATAGGTTTATCAACGAGAAACACAACAATAGTGATATACTTGATTGTAATTAAGTTGCGTTCTTATTTTTACTGTATCTCTCATTATCAATTGTTGCTGGACGATTTCCAATAAAGAGTAATATAATATAGTTTTTATTTCAAAAAAAATTATATTGCGCATTTTATGCATGCTCAATTCACTAAGACAACCTACGAAAGAAACTGATAACATTCAGAAAGTTTATTGTCATTTTTATAGTCCCTTACCTTGCCATAGGCACAGACTGCCATATCAAATCGCCAGACACCTTGTATATTTCTAAATTTGTCACGGGAACTGAGAAAAAATGGAACTTAATCAAGAGAAACGCATTGGTACATAAATTGAACTCAACCAGAGAATATACTTGTTGCAATTAAGGACTATAAACAAATACATAACATGCATATCACATCAATTTTGACTGCATTATCAGAAACTTGTTACTGTTGCCCTCCTTCTTCAGTCAGCAAAACAAACGGGGAAAAAAAATTGCCCAGTACCAACATCAAACGCACAATAAATTCATTCAACTATCACATCCCCCTTTAAACCCTTCAATTGTATCTCCGAAAATCCAAAGTTTAAATCCTCTCTGTTCTCAACGAACGGAGAAAAAACCAAAGAAATTCACCAACAAACACGCATACAAAGCATAATAGATCCAATGACTTCCGAAATCAAGAACTCACTAACCTCGGAGCCAGATAGCTGCTACCTAATCCCAGAAAAATCCAATGGCGAAGGAAGAAAACAGGCGCGAATGGTTTCACTGAAGTGAAAGTATGCCGTCAAACCTTTTGTTATTCACGCAGCGATGAAGAGGGGAAAAAAAGCGTCAGGCAACGAGGAGCAGAAGTTTCTCATAGAGGGGTCGGTCAAAGGGGGAATACGAAGCGGTCCAACGTCAAGTGGCCATGTCAGCTTCTTTTACCGGTAACCTCCTTTAATCGTGTAACAGAAAGGGGATTCCCTTTTCAGTATACGAAGATACCAAACTTCACCACAACTGATCCTTTACATTTATGAAGGTAATAGGTATTAACGTTTTTTTTTTTTACCAAAGATTGTTCTTCTTAGTTTGAACGACACGAATCTTGTTTGTCTCAAATTGTTACTAATTTACAAACCTTTTACCAGCCGTAGGCTGGATTTTCACTTGCTTTCCAACATGTGTTTTTTTTTTTTTATATAAAAAAAAAAGATATTCTCCCTAATTAAACTAAAGAAATTGGAATCATTTTTTCGGAGGTGATAGACATCAGAGGGAGTGTTATTACTATGAAATTGAGAATTTAAATCAAATTTGTTAATGAATTGAATTATTGGATACGTAATTGATGCCTCATGATCCTCATCATTACAGACAGTATCAATTTGCGATCATTTCATTTGACCTGTAAACTAAAGTTAGTCACACAATATCATCTTCATTCCACATTTGTCTCCTTCAACCATCTTCAAAATTTCTTCACAGCTCATATATAAACTCTTCCCAATCAGTCTGGGCTAAGTTAGTGTACTAAAGTAAGTAAATTGCAAAAATGGCTGCTCCCCAAAGCTCTGTAGAAGAATTAGCAGGCCTTCAAACGTACATCACTGGAACCCGTGATTCCAAACGCGCCATCATTCTACTCTCTGATGCTTATGGTAATTACTTTGTGCCTTCATTTTTTCGATGATTCTGTTTAAAGTTGTTATCTTTTGATTATGAATCCTGATGGGTTTGAGGTTTGTAAAAGTCTAGCCTTTTGGGCTAGTTTAGATTACTGGTTTTGCGCAAAGAATCTTATTACTCCTTAGCCAATTCCGTATGAAAGTGGTCTTTTTTGCTTCGGCATTTCCGCTTGTTTGATTGTTCTGTTTAAAGTTGGTATTTTTGATTATGAATTCTGTTGGGTTTGAGGTTTTTAAAAGTCTAGTCTTTTGGGCTGGTTTAGATTAGAAGGGTTGGTTTTGCGCGCAGAATCTTGTTACTCCTTAGCCAATTCCGTATGAAAGTGGTGTTTTTTGCTTTGGCATATCTGCTTGTTTATTCATTCAGATTCAGAGTTACCTTATCCATGGCTTGGATCAAAAGGGTTGTGTAGCATTGGTTTTTCTTCCCTCGCTTTTGGAAGTATCAGAAGGGGGCTAGATTACTGGAGTCGAAAGGGTTCACTTTTTGAGTTGATGGGGTCGTTTGCAACTCTAAACATCACTATGACTTCAAAATTAGACTAATTTCTTGAATTTCATATTAATGTTTGAGTACTTTGGTTGCTTACGGTGTTTGAAATGATTATTTTGCAGGATTTGAGGGTAAGAATTTGAGGTGAGCTGCCAGGCATTATCTGATTGTTGGTAATCGTTATAGTTGTATTGTAAAAGTCTGATATAATAGAACTTTGGACATCTGATGCCCTTTGATCCAATCATATTTTTGTGCATTTCAGAATTGAGGATTACTTGGTTCAGATGTTCTACGCGAAAACATAATTGAACAGTTAAACTGGATATTTTCATACAAATGTATCATCTTTTGATACCTCTGTCTACTAGACTTTTCATATGTTTCTTTCATGGCATTCCCTAGCAACATATTGCAAGTGAAGTAATAAAAAAAAAAAAAATTTATTTCAAGCCTTTGTTTGCTATGATTCCATTGCTAGAAATAATTTGGCTGCTCTCTTTGGTTTCAGAATTGCAAAGATTACTAGCTAAGTTCAGTCCTCTGGGTTATTAAGTTTCTAATTGACTTTTACAACATAATGTATGTCCATCACTTAAAGCACATATGTTAAAATTGCTCTCCCTTGCCGCAATTGAAATTCTTGTGACAGCTTGATTGTTTTTCTATTTTGAAGGAGGCTTGCTGACAAAGTTGCAGAAGCTGGATTTTTGGTTGTAGTTCCTGATTTTTTCCGTGGGGATCCTATTGATAGTGGAAAACACTCTGACCGTGCTGAATGGTTGAGAACTCACACAGCAGTATGTTATTATTTTATTCTGCTGTTAAGTTAGAGTAAACGTGCTGGCTGCCCTTAGTTATATACTACTCATGGCAAAATTAGAGTTTCTATGTGATGATAGGAATACGTCATCAGGCAGTCTGATTAGTCAAGTATATTTTCAGAAAAAAAGGATGAACTTGTACTTAATAGACAACTTGTAAAGCCCAGTTATTTCTTCCATTTTTGTAGGAAAAAGGATGTGAAGATGCGTTGGCAGTTGTTGATGCTCTGAAGAGCAAAGGAGTTACTGCAATTGGGGCTGCAGGATTTTGCTGGGGTGGTAAGACATCTTTACTGTCTTTTTATATGATCCTCCAGAAATTGCAATGCATCGTGTCCTCATCACACAGATAATATCTATGATTGATTTTCTGCCTTCATGCATATATTTCAGGATCAACTGTGTCCAAACTTGCAAAATTTGACTGCATTAAGGCTGGAGTTCTGGTGCACCCTAGTACTCTCTTTGCTGAAGATTTTCAAGGTCCATTTCCCTCGTTTATCAAAGCCAACCTCTTTGGCTTATGAGTCGTTCTATCTGTGAATTGATGATTGTGATCTTTATTATTGCAGAAATTAAGGTCCCAATGGCTCTACTAGGAGCTGAGACTGACCATTTATGCACTGCTGAACATTTGACTAATCTGAACAGCATTTTATCTGCAAAACCCGAGGTTAGAAATGCGGTTCTTTGTTCTTGCTCTCCATAAATTAAACTATCCATTTCAATAGACTAGCACTCAAGTGAATATCTTTTAGAGCTTGTGGTTTAGACATGATTTATGGATCCAAACACTCATAAATTCATTCTTGAACTGGCAAGTTGAAGCATTACAAAGTTTTCGACAAATTTTAGGCCCTTACACGTGTTCTTTTTGTGTTAATAGGTCGATAACTTCTTAAAGATATACCCGGGAGTTAAACACGGATGGGCAATGATGTACAAAGATGAGGATAAAGCTGCCGTAAAGATGGCTGAAGAAGCTCACTCAGACATGTTGAACTGGCTGACCAAGTATGTCAAATAAAAGAGAAACTAAAAGCAATGGGTAATAAATTTCAGAAATTGGGATGCTTAATATGATCAACTTTGATGTATTCTTAGGGCTCCTCAAGCAACATTTGCCCATTGGTTGGCAAATGATAAGAATATGAAGCAATCAGATATTTCAAAGTTACTAATAAATTCTCAGTGATGATCTGGTATATTTGGGATGTTGATTCTTTGAAATCAGTGTTTTTGCCATTTGGTCATCATCATTGACAAAGACAATCCTTATTCACATTTACATCAAACCTAACTTTTGGACACCATTTTCCCCAAAGAAGTGTCCAGAGGATGAGAAGAATCTGGACAAATGAACCTAGTACTAATAATTACTCCCTCAATTTCAAAATGTAGGTCACTTTAGACTCTGTACGTCAACTAAGGAGACAATCATTCAACAATTAATTTATGTGTTAAATATCTGTTTTATCCCTCATTAATTACATTGGAACTATAAACAAGACCAAATGAAAATATATTGGCATCATTTATTGTGGATAAAATTAGAAAAATAGTCTTTAATTTGCTTAGAACTTGTAAAACGACTTATATTTTGAAAAATCTCTTCAAACCTAAAACGACCTACAAATTGAAATTAAGGGAGTATAGTTCATCATGGATCATTTCAAAGAGTTTTCTTTTTCTTTTTCCTCAAAGAAAGGAAATAAAGGAGAGACCTGTAATACCAAGATTTTTTTTTTGTTCCCTGGGACTTTCAATATTCTAGTCTCTTAGATACAAAAATACTTAATTTTGAAGATTTTTATTCTGATTTATGGTGATTGTTTGACCAATTATTTGGTTCTTTTTTCTTTTTTTCTTTTTAAAAACCCTACAACTACCCTACCACCTTGCACCCCATGAGAATGGAGCCCGGGACTCTGCCCAGGAAAGCCAAACCACAAACCACTAGGCCAGTCTCGATTCACATTTGGTTCTTCTTTGAAAGGGATACAATCTCCAAAAACCAAATATGATCATTAATGTGCGCCCCCACACCCACCCACCCCCACGAGATTCTCTAATCGTGGTGTGATGTGGCTTTAATCATTGAACCGCATTTTCATTAGAATGAAAAATAATATAATTGATTTGAGAAATATTGAGGGCCTCAAACCAAATTAGACACAAAACTTTATTCTTTTTCCAAACCAAAAACAAAAAAGAAAAACAATATCGCTTTATTATCTTGGCATGTATCCTCCACAAAAACTGAAAAAAAAGAGGTTTTTTTTTAAAAAAAAATTCCACAAACTCTAATAAACTATTATAAAAAAAAATCTTATTCAAAATTTCGAAAACAAAACTATTCACCCGATAATTAAAGAGTAATACTATAAATTATGAGAATAACTAGTTCATGGAATGGATGTAAATATAAAACTATCCGCATGGGTGGGTGGTAAATAATAAGTAAATAATTACATTATTGTACTAGTTAGTTGTATTGAGTGTAATAAGTGTAACGGTGTAAGATTTGCTCGATTCATGATGATATAATAATTATTTCATTTATTACTTTTTTACATGTAAACCAATATACTTAAAATGACAATATAATATTGAAAAATTATGATATTATACTCATAATTTAGTATTCTCTCCCGTCTTTATTATAAATATTTTGATTTGTCCTAGGTTTGTTTTGAGTTTCACCTACGATGTCTTTTTAATTAAAATAAAAATTTTAAAAATATTTCCTAATAATTAGAAGAAAACGTTGAATGTGAAAATATATTTTTAAAAAATTTTTCTAATTAAAAATACATTCTAAATGAAATTTAAGACGAAATCAAAATACTTGTAATAACGATCGGAATCAGTAAGTCATAGTGCATGCTCCAAGTTAATTATGTTGTGGAGCGTGATTCACGCACGGGCACAAGATCCGAAGTCCAGCAATTTAGCATTATCTACGTCCATACAAATCTTATGGTCCTTTTTTATATTATTATATTTGGACGAATTAAAAATGCAAGCTCGCAGCATATTCTACGCCCATGATGAAACAAAAGAAGTCACAACGGTTGATTTTTAATTTATTTTTCCCTTTTTAAGCCTCCCCACTACTACTTAGATCCAATATCACATGGTATTTGACGTTACCAAGATATGAAAAACTCCCCCCCAAAAAGAAAAAAAAAACATAGAGGTTATAATTTGGGCACAAAAACATTGGTAAAAATGTAATTATTATTATTTTTTTTTGGTATGGAAGGTGACATCACGATCGTCTTTATAGTAACTCTTAAATTATTATTTATATTTTTCTGATTTCATTTTTTGGTTACGTAAACCAATCAAGAAATTTATAAAAGATCACATAATCAATACCCGTCTTATAAAATCGTATCATCTTATACGAGATACAAGATGTTTTTAATTATTTTTCTCAATTGAAAGTGAATTGAATAATAGAATCTGTGTAAATATAAGAATCTGATTCAATCTCGTGTGCTTACACTACCATCCAATTTTAACTAAAGGGGTTGGCTGGAGAATTCAGAAATGCCAAACCAATGATTTGAAAGCATTATTATGGTATTATTATTAAAATTATGGGCAATCTGCTAACCAATCAGAATGAGGAAAAGGAGTGATGCATTTTAATAGTACTGGTATATCAATATTTAATTGAGTAATAAAATGGCCAAGAATATGGTGGTGGTAAACAATTTCTTCTCTTATAAACAACATGTACTTTCAAGCAAGGTTTTCAAAATGATCGGATCTTAGGATCTTACGATTTAGCGATCCAAAATTAAGAAATCGAACCTGGATCTTATAAATTCCTTCTTTGTAGTGGGATCTTATGAAATCTTCGAAATCTCAATTCGGATCGTAGGATCCTACGATCCAGCGATCCCATTGATTTTTTCGATACTTGTACAAATTGTTGATTTCGTATAAAAAAGAGGGGAAAATGATTAGAAAAAATAAAAAAATTGAAATTTTGAGTTGATGATACTTATGTGGGCACTAGTATAGTTGTCCTCCATGAAATCAAACAAGAATTGAACTAACAAATTGAAACTCGCAATTTTATAATTATTATAATATTTTAAATTGTTATGATCTCACCGATCCGATTCCACCGATCTAGAATCCGATTCGATCCTGAGATGCTAAAACGATCCTGTGAGAAATTCCGATTTTGAAAACATTGCTTTCAAGTTTCAACGAATCCATTCAAGTCGCGAAAAAAAAGCTAGTTTAATTCTATTGATTTTCAATAGAGAGTCGAATAAAAATTAATTTAAATATATTAATTCCGAATAAAGAGTAAAAATTAACAATTCACATGGTAGGTTCTTCTTGAAGTCGGCCCTTATTATTTGGTTTACATTTTCACCGACACTATTGCCAATTTGCCATTATCAAAATATGAAAAATTAAAGGCTTTACCTTTTCCTACGTAATTGAGACCCTAATGCATAGAATAATCTCTCCCAAAATACAACCTTTAATTAATCAGTACATAAAATCTCCAACAACTATTGCTGCTATATATACACAATACTTACGTTGTGAAACTCGAACCAGAAATTGTGACAATCCAGTCAATCATCGTTTTCATACTCGTTTTCAAGTAGCAAAACCAGCAGCAATGTTAGGTGGCCATTGTGTTTCCAATGCCCCAAAGCTTGACTCCAGTTGTGGAGCTGGAACTGTGGAGGAATTTGCAGGCCTCAAGACGTATTTCACTGGCGCTCGTGATTCCACTAAAGCCGTCCTTCTCTGCCATGATGCTTTTGGTTAGTCATACTATTGATCAGCAACCCAAAGATTCTTTCTTTTTGTTTTTTTCAATTGTTTTTTTTGTTGGTTGTTTCTTATGTGTGTTATTACTGTTATTGGAGATGAATTGCTTTTGGAAACTGTGAGGGTTGAAATTTTTCTCGGTTAGTTAGAATCTTTGCAGTTGATAAAGCTTAATAGGATCCTGGAAAGCCTAATTATTTGTTGATTGAGAGCTGTAAATCTGACTTTTATGATATGATTTGTGTCTTTTCAGCATGATTAAAGATCAATGATGCCCTTTTCCCTGTTCTTCTTCTTTTTAGATCCATATGCTCTGTATCAGTATAAGCTAGAAACTCAGTAGGTTTACTTTATTATCATACGGCTTATCTGGGTTTTCTTTGGAATTGTTTGCAGGGTATGAAGTTCCTAATTTGAGGTACGTTGAAACCTATCCCGAGATTCATAAAGGTTTATACTTTGATGAAGCAAAAATTATGAAAAAAGGCAAATACTTTGAAGTGAACAGAATCTTTTTGTGTAGAGAGAGGACATACTGATGGAATAAAAGATTATGCACACTATAAAACCTTTACTAGATCTGTTTGAATTGTCTCTTTGTTTCTATTGCAACCAGGCACTTTTGTCAGTTAATGAGTTGAAGATTGCATCTTGATAACTTAATTATTCTTAACTGTACTAGGGAGTATCCAAAGTATAGCAGCTTGATCCTTCCTTTTACCTACATGGATTTACAGTTTGCAAGTCTAGGTGTTGTGCAGTAGAACCTGTTCCTTCCTGCTAGCTTGATAATATTTCAGTTTTTTAGACATATGCTAGATAGAATAGAACAGATAGTAGTGGGACCAATACAGTAGAAGACTTACAGGCGTCGCTTCTCCTTTTGCCCTCAAGTAGAGCTGATTTATCCTAAGTGTGCACAATTTGGGGTTTTCTTTGTTTTCTTTTTCCTTGAAATTTACATCCTTTCAATTAGAAAGATTGAAAAAGATATCAAAAACCTTCATGTAATAAGTTGCAAATCAGGCAATGTCTTCTATTTGTTATCAGCAAGCCTGGTTGATGCATCAATTGGTATTTGAAGCATGGAGATAAGCTAGTTCAGAATTAAGGATTTGCACTTTTAATCTTCATTTCCTTTCTTCAATAGGAAGTTGGCAGACAGAATTGCTGGTCATGGGTACTTGGTGGTGGTTCCTGATTTCTTTTATGGGGAACCTTGTGATCTTTCAAAGCCTGGATTTGATGTGGAAGTTTGGTTCAACACTCATCATCCGGTAATGTGTAATAACAATCTTCTTTTTGGAATATAGTGCAAGTATTGTGCCACATGCCACTGTTTTACAGTAAAGTTTTCTTTCTATAAGGCCATTCTTAACAATTAAGAAGATTTTCCAGCAAAATGCCAAATCGCTTTTGAATATGTGAATAAAAATAATGGATTTCATTAAAAGGCGATTAGTTTGGTTGATGATTATCTATATTTTGCTTTCAGCGTAAAGGATCTGAAGATGCCAAGAAAGTTGTTGCTGCCTTGAAAGCACAAGGAGTGACTAAGATAGGTGCTGCAGGTTTTTGCTGGGGAGGTAAGCTTTTTTTGTAATTTACTTAAATCACAAATCGAATTGTATCATCCAGTAAGTAGATGCATCAGAGATGCGCAGGCTCATTTTCTTCTGTATCCTGTGTTCAGGCTTGCCCGTTGTCGTGTTGGCTAGCAATCCTGATTGGATTCAGGCCGGAGTTATATTTCATCCCGTTGCGTTGACTGAGGATGATATGAGGGGTAAATTTCTTTCATGTCAATTTTCATCTTGTCCTTTTCTTCTTGTATTGATGGAATTTGAACATCATTGCAGCGGTAAAGGTTCCTCTGGCTATATATGCTCCTGAGAATGACGAATTCTTTCCTGTGGATGAGCTACATCGATTGGCAAAGATTGTAGTTGAAGAAACCCCGGTAAGAAACTTCAGCTTCTTTTTATGTGGCTAGTCATTAGGACTACAATTTTGTTAGTTTTTTGTGCGGCAAAAAAAAGTTTCTGCAGACTTTAGCTTTGTTTCGGGTGCTAGCTTATTGTATATGGATGGTATATTTTCCGCACTCATTGTGCTGCCTTACAGAATTATGGAGACTAATTATGACTTTCTATTATGGCAGGCTGAATGTCACCACAAAATTTACCCAGGCACAGTGCACGGATGGACTACCAGATTCAATGAGGAGGATGCAGTAGCTTGTCAGAAAGCGGAGGAGGCGCATTGTGACTTGTTGGATTGGATTACAAAGTATGTCAAATGAAAAGAATGAAGATGCTTATTGAGAATTATTGATGTAATGGATATGATTATGAAGCTGTATTTTTCAGACAGCTTATTGAATCGAAACCATTAGATACGACATTAGCTTGAATAATGTGATCTTCCTATATTGTTTCTGTTTGGAGCTGCAATGCAATAAAACTATCCTTAAAACTTCCTCTATCTTATCCTTCATTTTAACCAACTGTTTGAAGTTACTCCATCTCCAGTCTTACATATAAAACACGAATCTGAACGAATAGGTAGTTTATATTTGTGCCGTTTTTGAGGACTGGATGGAGTAACAGATAATCACCAGAAGAGCTAAGATTCACTGGTGAAATTTTGGATGAAATAAGATCAATCTTCTGTCTCTTCCAGGTGGTCGGAAAATAAAGAAATAGTTAATATTATTCAAGATAACTGTGTCTTTACAAAATACCGTCTTGATTCACCGTGGCACAGCATGGTAAAACATTATTATTCTATAGCCTAAAAATAATGAATGAAATTTGCGGTACAAGAACCTGTACTCTGTAATGGAACAAAGTTATATTCCAATGCAGCAGACTTAAAACATCCAAGATTTTCATCGAACTGCTTGACTGCTCCGGGAAAACATATCGAATAAGAACCTCATCCTGAATGTGTGAAAGACAACCTGACTGAAAAAAGAGTTTCATTGATTCAGTGCCAAAACAATGAGTTCACTTATTCATGCAATAAAAACTAAATTTCGTTCAAGTTTGTGCCTTATAAACAGAACCGAGAAAGTTCATTTTCCTCTTGTTAGGTTGTGTAAGGCAGGCTTCTCATGTTTGACCAATTAGTTATTTAACACTTTGGCCTTTTTCAATAAGTTTAAGCACCTAATTATTACCAAAAGACAGTGTGCATCAATACATTAAGAGCTTGAAAGTCTTGTTGCTGTCTTCAACTTCATACTCGTATCCAAGGGCGTTGGCTCGATCCCTGAATTCATCCATCTCGCTTTCTGCAACTTGGATACCGACTAACACGTTTGCACCTGTTTCTCCCTTTACAATGACAAGGGAACCAGCAAGAATTCTTAGTAGACTGATCTAAACAATGTTAAAGTTGATGAACAAAAAGCAAAATCTAAGTATAAAGTGAAGGAACAAAGTAAAAGAACCTGTGTTCTGTAATGGAACAAAGTTATATTCCATCGTGGACTGAAAACATCCAGGAATTTCATCAAACTGCCAGGCCGTTCAGGGAAAACAAATCGACAGAGAATCTCATCCCGAATATGTGAAAGACGACCTGACTGGAAATGATAATTCATTTCATGAACCCAAATCAGTTCCAGGTCTACGGATAACTTCACTTGTAGGTTTGTTTTTTTTTTTTTTTTTTTGGGATCATATTGCAGAGTATTTGCTGTCGCTAATAGTAATTATTACCAAATATCGAAGATGGTCTTTGACCAAGTCATTATCTGTCAAATCCAAGGTCCCGAAATTTGATGATCGCATTCTGCTTATCATTGCTTCCAGTTCTGATTTTGTATGAAGTCCAATACTGCACCAATTAAGTTACATCAGAATTCGAGTTTTCACTAGAAAATGGTTCTTTCGGATTAGTTGGAGCAGTAAATGCGGGTGTAATATACCAAAAAAATGAAAATGCGGGTTTTTGTGTGTTCGCTTGCTCACGAAATGGAATTATGGAACAGATAAGAGCTGTTTACCTATACACTACTTGAGCTTTTTCTTTGTCTGCTTTATTACATCTGTACTTAAATTCTGTAATGTTCATATCTCCCACCTGCAAATGCTTCAATCAGTTGATCAGAAACTTTGGACAACAACGTTGTAATAGTTGATGGATATGTGGCAATTAGGATTATCATTGAGTTGCAGTGGGGCTTACGAGTTGGCAAAATTTCTTGAAGCTGCCTGGTTCTTCTGGCATGAATGTTGCAAGAACAGCTTCCTTCTGTCTACCAACGTTAGCTAGTTCAGTAACTAACCTCAGTCTGTCGAAATTCATGTTAGCGCCGCTAGTTATAGCGATGACATTTTCACCCTGCAAACCATAATATTCGCTGTATGCTTTTGCCCCTGCGAGTGCAAGTGCACCAGCCGGTTCCAAAATATTCCTTTTCTCCTCAAACATGTCCTGCATTTTTTTGAAGGAATTAAGTCCATAATCCTTTCTTTCGTCCCAAAATAAAAGTTATGTTTGTTCAGACTGACATATATACCTTTATGGATGCACAAATAGCATCCCGGCTGACAAGAACTATACCATCTATCAAGTCCTTGCACAATCTGAAGGTTTCTTCACCAACCATTTTAACAGCAACACCATCTGCGAAACCACCGACTTGATCGAGCACCACTCTTTGACCACGATGCAGTGAATGCGCCATGGCATTTGCATCAGAAGGCTCTACGCCGATGATCTTTATATCCGGAGAAACACTTTTCAGGTACGCGGCTATACCGGCTATTAGGCCGCCACCACCAACCGGCACAAAAACAGCATACAGGCTTTCTATATCCTTCATCTGGCGCACAATCTCCATTCCCACGGTTCCCTGACCGCTGATCACATCTGGGTGATCAAAGGGATGGATAAAAGTTAGGCCTTCTTCCAAAGCTCGCATTTTCGCATACGATTGTGCTTCATCATATGAATCCCCTATCAGAACAACATTCCCTCCCAACCGCTCAACTGATTTCCACTGCACATTCCAAACAAATCAGAAATTGACAGTATTCATTGTTCTCAAATCAGAACAAATATTCATGTGAAGAAATAAATTGAATCCTGAACCTTGATTTCGGGAGTAGTAACAGGCATTGCGATAACAGCATTGCAGCCAAGTTTTTTAGCAGCCAAAGCAACTCCTTGAGCATGGTTTCCAGCTGATGAGCAGATAACGCCTTTTTCGAGCTGCTCTTTAGGAAGCTTGGCCATCATATTATAAGCTCCTCGAAGCTTAAATGAGAATACCTACCAAAAAAACATCAGACAATCATTTTATCATCATACTATAAGATCATCATCGATTTAATTAGCCGCGAATAAAGGACAGTTCAAACACTGGTTGAAGATCTTCGCGCTTGAGCCAAATGTTGACTCCAATCTTCTTGGAAAGCTTAGTAGCGAGCTCCAACTTGGACTCGATGGCTACATCATACACCTTAGAAGTCAAGATTTTCCTCAGGTATGTCGCGGAGTTCAGCGCGCCGTTTCCTCCTCCACCATTCTCCACATTCAACCACCGGTTCCTCAATAAAAATCCAGGTTCACATTGTAGAGAGCTTGGCGACACGGTCAAGGACGGCTCAGATTGGACCATCGGAGCTGTTAGAGCTGCCGGAATACCGGTTAATGCAGTTTCAAGAGTACTATTCGGGCTCGAAACAACGCGCGCCCCGGCCGGCTTCAGGCAATGGTTAACTTTTAACCTGTTGGTCCCGGGCTTCCTGCAGAGACTCCATGCTGGAAAGGCGTCGACTCGGCCGCTTTCGGGAATGATTCCGAGGTTGTTGAACTTCGGTGGAAGCAGAGAAAGCGACTTAGCCGGAATAATTCTGGTAACTTCCATTTCTCAGGCTGTGACAATATTGGAGTACTTTTATTCAGGCCTGGAAAATGTCACTCCAACTCCTGAACCAAAAATAAAAACACAACAATTGTTATAGTACTACTAAGTTACTAGCTTATTATTTTAGTATATTACGTATCTAGTGTCTAGTATCCGACAATAACTGTTTTCCGACTAAAAATTACTCCCTCCATACAGTTTAAATTTTCGTTTTTAGTACATAATTTTGAGACAGAAGAAGTAACAGAAAATGTCATTTCACTAGTTCCAGCATCATTTCACTATCAATAAACTTGGTGCCTTAAATGAATCTCACTGGCGTTTACTAAATTATTGTCAGAATTTTAAATATCAATTAGATAAAAAGTACAAAAAAGCATGACGTTTTTTCAAAAATGCTAAATAGATGAAATACCTAAGAGAAGAAGGAGCAACAAACTACGGGAGAAGCTTGCTTTGTGGGATATATTTTCATGGCAACAATTTATAGTCTTATAAAAATCCCGTAATCAAAATGTTGGCTGGTTCTATGCTGTCAGTAGAAATCGTAACTCCTTTATTTAACTCTTTCAAAGATTAAAAAAAGTCATTAAAGCAAGTAACATTAATGTTTACATGATAAGAAAATTTACTAAATCAGGAGAGTTATGAGGTTGGTTTAATGTCAGCTAGTAAGCTTGAAAATGAAACACCCAATGTGTCTTCTTTGAGTAAATAGATTAATCTTTTGAAATGAATGACACAAAACTCCAATATTTCTTGCAAACACTATTGTGAACTTGTAGAAATTGGAGGTATAGTTGATAGTGAACATTTCTGTTGTCAAGGATGATGAACATTACTCTTACGGTCCTTATTATAAAGCATTTTGATTTTTCCAAGGTTTTACCTAGTATGTAATTATTTATTGAAGAAAAAATATTAAAAATATATTTTTTCGTTCGTTGTGCTATCCTAATCATCAGAAAATATTTTTAAGATTTTTTTTCAATAAAAATTATATAATAGATCAAACATATGACAAATCCAAATGACTTATATTAAAAACCGGATGGAGTAGTATTTTTGAGAAATATTCCAAAGTGTAATCTCATAAAGAACTATTATTTTTAAATGTATTCACCATCTTAATACTTCCTTTGACATTCTTAGTCCCAGTTAAGGTTATTTTATCCAAATTTTATAAGTTTTTGTATCAGTAAATACTTCTTAAAATTTTTTTGTGTCCCTTTCGTTATCCTCGACATATCCATTCCTGGTGTATGTATATGCGTTGATTTTCAATATATAAGTAAAACATAATGCTCCTTCTGTCCCATCAAATAAAACATTCAGATTATAAAATTTTTATTACAAATCATAATCTTGATTACTTCCCTGAAACGGAAAGAGAAAACAACTAAGCGGAGAAAGGGACAACGAAAGAAATCTCTTCTATTTATTTTTGGATAATGATTTCAACAATTCTTGCCGAAATTAGAACACAACAAATTTATTCACACAAGACGAATTTATCTCCAACTAAATTATCACTCTGACATAAAATATACATGTATTGTGCATGACAAAGACATCAAAATAATTGATCCACTTCTTAATTAAGGATCAAAATAGTTTTTATATTATGAAATTATGTAGCATAAAGATTTATTTTCTCTTTTTCAACAATTCGATTGAGAATTTAAGCCAAACAAATAGAATAATTGTACTCCCTCTATCCCAAAACTATTGTCCAGTTTGAGATTCCCTTTTAGTATAATTTGAACTAAAAATGAAAACCTGAACTAGACAATAATTATAGGACGGAAGGAGTAGATTTTTATAATGCATGCTCAATTCAATATCTGGTGTCAGCAGCCATCTTCAGAAATTAGAGATTACACATTCTGTAATGAATAAACCCTAAAGAACAAAGTTGAATATATGTATAGAATCCTGTAAGTGTTACCAAAATTGTAACACAAACTTACACCCACATATTCCTCGACAATTAACTATTCATTTGCGCGAAATATTCCTTAGAATAAGATCCCTTGTTTTTATTTTTTTGACATAAACAAAAAATTCTATTATCTAAAGTGACCAAAATAGATTGACAAAACATATAAGCAATAAAAAAGAGACAAATTACAACTAACTACGACAATGTGCTAGTGTTTATAATGGATTAATCAATACAATTTTTAATTTTAACATCAATTAAATTGGAGATATACCCACTCCGCACGTCTTATCTTATAATACAAAATAATTTAGATAAAGACTTGACAATTGGCGTTTTGAAATGAAAGAACAACTATATATAGTTATGCTTTGAGCTGATAATTAAATGAGCCTTCCAAGAAGAGGAAAAAAGAATTTCTGCATCAATAATATTAAATTGTTATAAATATTTAATGTGGATGTCCACAAGCCAGAAGAGTTATACAAGGAATCAACTGTTCAGAGATAATATTTAGTTAAATATTATCATTATTTATTCTTATCCTTGTATCCATCTCCTCTGTAAAAGAAGAGCAGTCTCTTCAGAAATAATACATATCAATTCTCTCTTTCCCTCTCTCAATTTGTTCTTTTCCTCTATTGTTCTTTCTCCACAGTTCATTTTATAACACGTTATCAGCATGAATCTCTATCTAACTGAGAAGATTTTAATAGTAGATCAGGGAGTGCGGTAAGGTGATTTTGATCCATAGATCAGAGAGTACGGTAAGCTTTTCTGGTTTTGTAAATATTAGATACAACCAAGTGCTTCTGTAATAGCCTTTTTCATTATAAATTTCTCATATATTGAATTTGCTTAATTAGTAGCATTTTCATGAAAATATTCAAAGGAATTTTCTTCACTTCTTAAATCAAGTGGATTTGAATATAAACTGACCACTTGAAGTGGTAAATATGAATAAACACAAACGATAATTATTGAGCCTGTCAGTCAAGACAAATTATGAGAACATCAGGAACCATTAGAAGTTGGAAATTAGTGACAACTATTTTTCAAACATTTTCAATGATTGGATAAATTTACATTCACGATATTTTTGGATTCATAAGTATAACGTCGAATTGCTCTCGAAATAGTAGTTTATCATTTTTTGTTAAATTTACTAACATAATTTTGTTAAGGAAAATTACGAGACCCCTTGATTTGATAATTTCTCACTTCTTGAAGTAAGTGGAGAATTACTTTTGCGAGTCAAGTTACAAATAGTGATTCTTATATAACAATACGAAGATCACATATAAAATATAATTTTTCACCCGAAGTGGAAGATTAGTGACAAGAGAAATTAAGGAATTGCTCCGGATGGAGCAATTTGTTTTCTTGTTACCATTAAATAAACTATTGAGTTTTTCTTTGGAGTCGTCCAAATTGGACTACTGCATTTTCTAAAGTAGATGCAATTATCAGAAATTTAATAGTGGACAAATTGAAGTCCCAAATATAATTGAGAATTGGTAATGATACGAAAAATATTTCTATTCACCAGAAGTGATAGATTTTAATGAAAATAAAAGAATCCGGCTAAAGTGGAATATTGAAGAGAGCAAAAGTGTAAAAGATAGAAAGTGTTATTGTTATAGCATAAAAAATCATCACATGTCTACTTTGTGCTAAAGACATATCGTTACTCTATATCAAAACCAGGAAACTATTTATGTTAACAAAAGTATTAACGATATTATTATGGATGTTAGTTATATGTTCTTGCTGAAGGTGAACAAATCAAGAAGCAAAACTATTTATGGATGATCATCCTGAAGGTGGTGTTAGTTATATGTTTATAATGAAAACATCTAATAGTAATTTATTTTATATTTTAGATTAGTAATTTCTTTATTGTATACATCATTGCATACTTTATTATTCCTTATGATTTATTGAGTTCAAGCAATGTCATCATTCTTTTGTTAGAAAAAAATTGATCTAAAGCTCATGTAGAGCATCTATATGAATTTCTGTACCAAATTGGACAAAATCTCCAGAAGAGCAGAATTTGCTATGACAAAATGCAATATTGTGAATGCTCCCTAACTACTGGGAATATGTAAGTACATTCCTCCATAAATAAAATTGGATGAAATCTGCTGTAGAACATCAGTTATATAATACTTTATATGTGTGCTCCAGAAGAGTAAGAATACTTTGGTAGAACGAAAATAACTGATTAAACAATACTCCTGTAGAAATAAAACTCCATTAGAGTAAATGCTCTTATGAAGAAGGGTCATTTTGACATGGTTGAATAATTAGTTTTTTATTATCTCCAAAAGACAATTTGTCAATTTGACTCTGGAAGAGTAAATAAAATGAAAAAATGATTTTGCATCAATGTCGAAAGAATTGGATAAAAGATTTTCAAACATAAGAAAATTGTTATCATATACTTGTACAATAAGAATACAGTTTCCTAAAGAAAAATATTATATGTATATTCTTTTGTGTTAAAGTACTATACATGTATTATTATCGTTGGGTTTTATGGTAAACCGGAAGTTTACTAAGGAACTAGAAGTTCACTTCTCGTACCAACAAGTCAAACCAGAAGTTTACTAATTATTATAAGTTTATACATTTGACATAACTAAGTTTGTGTGTTTTAAATTTGGAGAACCAAGAGTTTCTTCCAGCAAATTAACTGATGTGCTAAAAAATTGTTATTTGTATGCTTGTCATTAATTTGCAACCTGGAGTTTGTGAAAGTTAATTATCGACTTCAATTTAGTTATGTGTGTAATTTCATATTCTCCTATAAGAGAATTTTGATTTGTTAGTTCTGGTGCATGTATGACTCAATACAAGGATAAATGTCTCAGCGTTAAGGCTTGAACATACATTGATTATACAAGCAATAGTGAAACTGTCCCGTAGAATCGTTCATTAAATGTGTTCAAAAAGAAAGTAAGCACCCCATATATATAATTGAGGACGTGTTGAAACATAGAAAACATCAATCCAAATGGGTTATTATAAAAAATTCTCCCATACATTGGTTTTT